CCGCATCATCCTACAGCATCAGACTACGTACCGAGTGAGATTCTGAGTGAGAGGCCACAAATATACAACAACTCCCTCGTCCTCTTCCATGCTTAGATCAGTTATAGTAGACGGATTGTTGCCCTCCATCCTCATTAGCCAGGATCTTGCTGTGGCTAATCCGTATGTAAGTATGCGTATATACATTACGTTATATACAAGACAGCGGGCAATTGTGGCGACTATGTGCCATACATGGCTTTATTGTACTGTTATGGTTAGTATTGGTCATGACAATACCGCATCACGCCACCATCCTCACCGGAGGCGTACTGCCTTCAATATTCTTTTGAATTATAGTTGCATATTTGTTGACTATAGACCTAAATTATCGAGAATAAACCATAGCAATTTATGACAGTTACTGGTGGTTCTTATTCCCAAATCCATCTGCCTGGCGGGCTAATTTTACACGGGTTGCGCCACGCCTCGGCGTCGGAGGTCTGGGGAAATGAGGGCCTCAGGCGGCACCTCCACTATCTGTCTTGACTTCGATTTCAACTCCTCCTTTCTCCGTGCCTGGAACGTTGAATCCTCCATCCTTTGGACTTCATCCCCATCTCTATCTCATCACTCCTTCATTTTTTCGATTCCTTTCTTTGTTCTGTACTTCTTCCCCTTCCGGTCTTTTGTAATCTTCTCCCTCTTTCTTCTCCTTTCTCTTTGATATCCTCTCGCAAACACGGAGTATGTCTCCATCGGTCACTCCTTTCCTGTCCAGATCATGATCCCACTTAGTCCGATATTCGCGACCGCCCATAACCGCCACCATGGGAAACGACAGTAAATTCAACTATGAGTCCCTTCCAATCCCGACCTACGAAGAGGCCGTCGCCGCTCGTCCGGGCTCCTCCCGCTCCGACGAACAGGGGGATGAACCCGAGAGACAAGGCCTGCTTCGCGATAACGGAAACCCGGCCTCCGCATCCCGTCCCCATGGCTATCACCCGCCGACCGTCGAGTCGGTCCGCAACAGTCTGGACGACCTGGACTCGTCCGGCTCCCACTCCGAGAGGGAATCGCTCGAAGAGCTGCAGCGGGAACTCGCCCAGATGGACGTCGAGGACGGCACGCAACACTCACAACGCTCCCGGTTACGTTCGCAATTCTCGAAACGATTCACCAACCTGACGCGGACCCTCTCGTCGATGCACCTGCCTCTCCGTCGTTTCATACCCAGTTTCCGATTCACCATCAACCTGGATGATGCCCGTTCGGGGGTGAGGGCGCACGGGTGTTTGATCCTCCTGCGCCTGTTTGGCCTGTTTCTCGTGGTCTCGGTGGTCTATATCTTCTTCGTTTCCGACCTGTTCAACCTAAATGGAAAATTGGTCATGGGGCCGCAGTCTTACACGGCGGCGTCGGTGGAGAACTTTGTGCAAGGCCACATCAACGAGACCAATATCGCAGAGAATTTGCGGAGGATCACGAGCTACTCTCATATTGCCGGGACGGAAGGGAGCTTCGTGCTGGCAAAGTCGGTGGAGCATGCGTTCAAGACCGCCAATTTCGATCAGATTGATATCGAGGAGTTCCAGGTGTATTTGAACTACCCGAGAGACGATGGGAGGAAAGTGGCAATCGTGGATCCGCCAGAATTGAGATGGGAGGCGGATTTGGAGGAGAAAGAAGCAGAGACGCCGGTCTTCCACGGCCATTCGAAGTCCGGAAACGTCACTGGCCACCTTGTCTACGCGAACTACGGCTCTCGCGAAGATTTCAAATACCTTGCGGACAAAGGCGTCAAGTTAGAAGGCTCCATAGCGTTGGTCCGCTACTACGGCTCGGAGTCTGATCGCGCCCTGAAAATCAAGGCGGCAGAGATGGCCGGGGCGGCGGGTTGTATTATCTACTCCGATCCCGCCGAAGACGGTTTCCTCCGGGGCCCAGTGTTCCCCGACGGGCGCTACATGCCTAGTGACGGCGTCCAACGAGGTGGGGTGAGCTTGATGTCGTGGGTGGTAGGGGATGTCCTCTCACCGGGCTTCGCTTCGACCCCGGAGGAGAAGAAGCGACTCACGCTCGAAGAGAGCAAGGGTTTGCCAGCTATCCCCAGTATGCCCATCTCTTGGAGCAATGCGCAGAAGCTTTTGAAAGGTCTCAAGGGGCATGGCTCCAAGGTTCCGCGGAAGTGGGTTGGCGGTGTTCCCGACATGAAAAACTGGTGGACGGGAGATGAGAAGTCCCCCGTTGTGAACCTGGTGAATTTGCTGGACGAGGTGGAGAGACAGCCCATTTACAACGTCATTGGAACGATCATGGGATACGAGCAACCGGAGAAAAAGATCATCGTCGGCAACCATCGCGATTCGTGGTGCCTGGGGAGTTCAGACCCGGGAAGCGGTACCGCCGTCTTTCTCGAGCTGGTCCGCGTCTTCGGCGAGCTACTCACCTATGGCTGGCGCCCGAAGCGCACCATTGAGTTCATCAGCTGGGACGCAGAGGAATACAACCTCATCGGATCGACTGAGCACGTGGAGAAAGAAATCAAGAGCCTCCGCGACAACGGATACGTCTATCTCAACGTAGACGGCGCCGTCAGCGGCAAGAACTTCGAAGCGAGCGGAAGCCCGGCGGCCGAGGCCATCGTCGAACAGGTTCTCGGACGCGTCGCAGACCCAGAGACAAACGAGACGCTGAAAGAGATCTGGGATAAGAAGAAGCAAAAGTTCGGTCCGCTGGGCTCTGGAAGCGACTACGTCGCCTTCCAGGACATTGCGGGAACCTCGAGCGTGGACTTTGGGTTCGTCGGCGACCCTTTCCCCTACCACAGCTGCCACGAGAACTGGGACTGGATGAACCGGTTCGGCGACCCAGGCTTCCAATACCACAAAGCCCTCGGCCAGTTCTGGGGCTTGCTTCTCCTCCAATTCGCGCAGGGATTCCTCCTGCCATTTGACCTGGAAGGATATGCCAAACGCCTGGGCGAGTACGTGGGCGATCTGGAAAAGTACGCCTCATCGAAGAAGGTGCCCGTAGCCTCGGAGCCCAAGGCTGCGCGAGACACCACCGTCTCCTTCAAACCACTGCGCGACGCCGCGGCCAAGCTCAGCGCGGATGCCGCACAGTTTCAGAAATGGGGCAAGCTGTGGCACGATACCTTCTGGGGCGCCGGCGGACTGGAAACCAACATGATGGGCATTCAGCGGCTGGCGTATAATTCCCGCATGGCCAGCTTCGAAACCCACTTGCTGGACGATCGTATAGACGGTGGAGTACGTTCATCCCTTTACTTTTAGACAATCCCCCCCCTCCACTCTACAAACTTTATGTGTAACGAAGATACTAACGAATACAGATCCCCAACCGCACCCAATTCAAACACGTCCTCTTCGGACCCGAGCTCTGGTCCGGCTACGACTCCTCCACCTTCCCCGCCATCCGCGACAGCATCGACTCCGGCAACTGGACCTTAACCCAGGAGTGGGTAGATCGGGTTTCCAACATCATCCGCACCGCAAGCGACAAGTTATTGGAAACGTAACCTCCTGTTGAACCCAGCATACGTCCTCCTACCCACCACCAAGATACTACTACTACAACGCCGCCCCATCCCACCCAAAGACGGCTTCTTATCCTTATCCGCTTCGATCCTCTGGTATGCGATGCATCATACATACCTAGGATCTTGTCTCTATTAGCGTCTTTTATTTCTTCGTTTGTATACATGTGCATGTTCCTCGCAGCCCGTTAGCATCTCCTCCTCTTACCTTCTACCTTTGATCTACTTTCTACCTCCTACACCCCTAGGTCCCTCCCACCTACTACCTTTGATCTCCTATCTACCTCCTACATTTTACCTACCGACGTACATATCCATACACATCACATATACACACAATCTCTTGGGTCTGGTCTGGTCTGGTTTCCCGGACCGGAATTAATATGTATTATCTTTTCGTCAATCAAGCGTGTTATTTTAAAATTCATCATATTATCTATTTTCTTGTATGAGGTATTGATTGGTTTGTTCGTAATGGGTATATGCTTTTGAGCTTATCATCTTGAGCTTATAATTCCGAGTATATGCTATTGAGTGTATAACTCAGGTTCTACACAGACACCTAACCTAACCTAAGGTAGAAGGTAGAAGGAGGTAGGAAGTAAAATGTCCATCTCATTCAATACTTTTGTTTTTGTCCTACTCGACCCGACCATCAACCATCAACAACCAATTGACCAACCATCAACCAATCAACATTTTAAACAACAGTGTGAAGAACCACTCAGTAACCCCTATCATACAGTCCTCACCCTCCCATACATCAACTACACCCCCTGACTGAAACAGGTAATCAGGTAATCGGAAAAACAGTAAACCATAAAAAAAATGAAAGAAGAAGTCCCGACGAAGACAAGAGAACTCCAAAAAACACCCTCCTTAGAACTAGAAAGGTGTGAATAGAAAGTATGAGCGTACCCCTTTTAGACAACAGAAGAAAGAAAGAGAATGAAAAAAGGGGGAAAAAGAAAGAGAGACAGAAGAAAGAGAGAAAGAAAGAAAGGCCCATTCTTGTTTTGTCTCTGCGCCGCTGGTATGTATTAGCTCAAAAAATTATATATACAAATACAGGTTAAATGCGAGTGTTAGGGCCAAAAAAAGAAAGAAAGATAATAATAAGAAAGAAAGAACAGAAGAAGGGAAAGAAGGAAGAAAAATATGAAGGAAGAACAATATTAGAATAAACTGATATTTTAGTTTGCCCTTGTGGTGGGCTATTGGAGGTATACAGAGGTATGAATAGTAATACCTCTTTGCCGGGATGAGAACAGCATTAGATCGATCTCGTGGTGATCTGATTTCATGGATGGATGGGTGGTGGGTGGTCATAACTGGCCCTATAATCTGTCGAGCCCAGTAAAGGGTGGTTCCCAGATCGATAAAAAGACCGCAAAAAGAGACGCCTCTCTGTTTCCTCAATAGACATTATTTCTGGACATACTTCCTAGTCATTTTCCGACTACTTCCTGAAGCTCTCAACGCCCAGCGTTGGGGTTTCGACGTATCGATCGCAAGGAACTCCCTCGTCACGTCTCCGAGCGAAGAAACTGTCGCATTCGGACACGATCTGTGCCCATTCGGCAAGTCCACGACCCGCATATTTGCTGGCCACTATGGTGTCCTTCAGGATGATTTGGGATTCTTGTAAGATAGCCTGCTTCTTGGCGCTGACCAACGCCCTGGGTGCCGTCCCGCTGGACGGATCAGTCGACGTCTGCTCGTCATATGCCTCTTCCATACCGTCGTCTTCATCGTCGGTCTCGGTAGTAGTCGTGCTTTCAGACGCCGTGTCCATGTCGTCCCCGTCTGCCTTGGATGTAGATTGCCGATACTGAACGTGCAGCTGCGCACCTACGGGAAGGCAGGGCGTGAAAAGCCGCTTGTTCTTGCTGGGCCATTGAGGTCGGTCCATCCACTCGAGGGAAAACTTGAAGGAGTAAGGCTGGTGGGCCGTTCGGGGCCGAGGAAAGTCACCCGAGTTGGGCGCGCGCCCATGGTCATCCAAGCATTTATCGGCGGTCACCGTGGTGTCGGGAACGGTGGTCTCGGACTCGTCGGAGCTGCTCGTTGGAGAATTGTCGCCCGACCGAGAACTAGACCCGCCGAACATGGATTTGAACATCTCCCACTTCTTCCTCCCAGAAGATGGGGCGTCGGACGAGGGATCGGATTTATCGGAGCTGGCCCCCGTGGAATCCGCCGTGTCGGCCGGGACGGGAGGGACGACGCGATCGAACGACACGAATAAATTGGCCGGCGAGAGGGGGTTGTCACACCGGATGATGATGATCCTGCGTCCCGGGGCTGGTGTGCAAGGGGCGGAGGACAAAGGCGCCGAAAAATGATCCTCCGCCTGATTCTGGAAGGCGAGATAGTACTTCCATACACGGTTCAACCGATGGGAGAGTGTCTCATAAATGGTTCTGTAAAGCGCTGGGATCAGTATCGGGGAGAAGGAATCCAGCAGCTTGGAAATACATACGAGTCAAGAGGGGATGGGTCACCGCTGAACCGGCCAAGGCGCCAGCACAAAAGACGCTGGAAATAGGCGCGAACCATGGGACTCCAGTGGCTGAAGTAGTGGAAAAACAACGACTCATTCAGGAGAACACCCAGACACAGCCGAGCCTTTCGTTCCTCGCAAGCCGTCCATGTACTCCAGACAGCAAATAAAAACGAAAACACCCGGACCTCGGTGAGCGAATTGTGGCTCTGCATCATGTACCGACTGGCCTCGAGCCAAAAATCCCAATCAAACAGGTCGTGATCCACCGACTGGGAGTAGCGGGTGATGATGGGGATGACCTCCTCGACCAAGTCGCAGAGTAAGAAGCACGCGTTGTGATCGAAGAGCGAGATCTTCTGCGCGGCCGACTTCATGATGGAGCAGAACGACTCGGCGAAGAACAGTCGAGCGTGATTGGGCTCCTGCGAGGATTCGGACAGGAAGTCTCGGAGCAGGATGATGAGCCGATTTTCCGCCATAGACCGGTGACTGTTGGCGGCTCCCAGAGGGAGCGCCGATACCGCCGCGTCGGCCCCTTCGATGAAATCGTCGAAGGTGATCGCAGCCGCCGTGTGGGCGTTGTCAGGCGCCTGGGGGGTCGACTGTTTGTACAGGGTATCCTCCAGGACAACGAGGACCTGGGCGTGGATCGGCAGCAACCCCGGCGCCAAGATCCGTCGGTCTTTCGCAAAATCCGGGGCGAACGTGTCGGCGTAGAGGATATGGACGTATTTGACAAAGACAAAGAAGAGATCCGTATCCCGACCACACCACCGCGAAACCCACGGGCTCTGCCAGGGGATCTGCGCCGTGTTCAGCGGGACATCGGGCTTTTGGCGGAGATACCGCACCAGGGCCGTGTGCGTGTGGCAGGACAACGTCCGCAGGGCCGGGGGGAAGCCCAGCGCCAGATCCTGGGTGAGTGTCCGCGCATCGAGACGCCGGTCCACCCGGGACTGGGCGAGGACTTGTCGGAAGGTATTCGGGGATGTGTTCCAAAGTCGAACCAAGATGTCGGCTACGCCTGGGCAGTAAAAGAAAGCATACGCACACGCCTTCCCGCAAAAGGCCACCAGGCTGGCCGGCGCGTGTCGCATGGACATCCGGTCCACGACGAAGGCCATCTGCGACAACAGGTTCTGCGTGAAGATATTCCGGACGTTGTGATGGATGGACTCCACCAGGAAATCCGAGCCCGAGGAGGCGGAGCTCTCGGAGACGGAGGTGGCCGACGGCTGCAACGGCCAGGACGCCGTCTCGGCCGACGGCGGGCTGGGGAAGGGGACCCGCCATTCCGGCCGCGTCATGATCCCGACCACGGCGTCGAAATAGGTGGGCCGATCGGTGCCGGAGATGGATTGATTGTGCTTCCCGTTGAGCATCTCCAAGAGACCAATCCACCACTTGTTCAAGATGTTGACGCGACGGTCCAGGTCCTCGGGTCGCAAGCCCTTCAAGGATGGATGGGACTGATGGCGGGACAAGAATGGGATCAGCGACGCGCGAACGACGTTGGCTTTGAAGGCGCTGGATTTGGATTGAAATCTGTGTGTCGTCAGTAGGGAAACCCCGTGGGGTTCCAACGGTGCACTCACTTTTGAAAATCCGCCTCCAGGGCCCGAAAGGCGTTCCAGAGCTCATCCTTCTTCCGCGGGGGATCCACGCTGACGGTGGTAGCGCCCTTGGGGACCGGGGGGAGAACCGGTGTCGACACATTGAGCGACGAGGGGAGCTTTTCCAGCGACGGATGGGCTCGGAGGGACTGCTGGGAGGGACTGCTGGGGGAGCTAGAGCTATCATCTCGGCTCTGCGTGACGACGGCCACGACGGGCCGGCGCGGTCGTTTGCTCAAGATGGTTCGCTTGCGGACGGGGCTCCCCGCCGATTGCTCCGCGGCTGACTCTTGCTGGAGGCTCGTCCGGGACGGCGGCATGGGCGCGGTGGGCGGGGAGTCCTCCGTCCGAAGCGGTCGTAGCCGGGAATTTTTGGCGGACGGGGATGGCGGTCGATCGGTCGAATTGGACGCCCAGGGTTTCCGCGCAAAGCTGACCAGGCGGCCCGACATGGCGCGGGCCTTGGACGGGCGAGCCACGGGCTCCGGAGCCCTCGTCATCGGGACCTGGGGAGGGGGCTCCGGAGGGCTGGCGCTCGCCGGCGCATCGGTCACATCCTCGGCGGAGACGGTAAATCGCGAGACCGCAATGGTGGACTTGTCTTTGGACTGGAGGGAGGTTCGGCGCAGGATGTCCTTGCCGGCGGCGACATCCTCTTTGGAGGGAGGCGGGGGCGATTCGGACTGGTGCTGGGAAGCCAGGTCCGAGAAGGTCCTCCGCAGGGTGGGGGAAGGGGTATCGGACTGGATCAGATCGGGAAGGTGATTGTAGCTGGCGGCGCGCGACAAGAAGGCATGTTCTTCGGCCGTTCGATTACTGGCGATATCGGAAGCAGACATGGTCGAAAGGAGTCAATTGCGGACTAGAGATCCACGAGAAAGGGACACCGAGTCGAGGTGTACATCTCCTCCCCCCAACGGGACGGGATAGCCGGATAACTTGTTGTCGACGTTGGGGAGACCAGCTCCTCCAGCACCAGGGATCCACAGGCAATCCAGTCAGACCATGTGCGAGAGAAAAGCCGTGGACCGCATTTGAGGTTGTGAAGACCAGGAGTTTGAGGGAGAAGACAAAGCGACGAAGGAGAGGGAGGGGGGGTAGTGTTGCGAGAAGAGGGGGAGCGGGTAGGGCGGACGGCGGACGGCGAACGGCGGATTCGAAAGGAGTCAGGTCAAGCCTGCAGTGTTATGACGGCGGTGTCTGCGTGTCCGGTGGGTTGTACAGCCCAATCGCTATCGAAGACGAGACCGAAGGAAAGGTGAATCCAATTTACCCCCAAGTATGCTGGCGTTGAGTGTAGCTCCCTAGTCAACGTTAGAGGGAGGACCCCAGCGATATGCAGCGCAGCCACGCCAACCGACCGGGTCAGGGTACAGCAGCAACGAATGAAGAAAGGTGCGCGCGGTAGATCGACCGGCGGGAAGAAATCCGATGTATTGTAGACGGTAGGTTGGAAGTTGAAGGAAATCCACATACCTCTCTTAATTTGACCACTTTGGACAGATGATGCTGCAATCTCTACCATCCAAGGTTCTGGTAAAGAAGAAATCCAGAGGAAATCGAGGAAGGAGATCGAGAGGAAGGAGAGGTTGCGGCGGGGAGAAAAGGACGGAGCAAGAGGGAAAGGCAGCCGCAAAGAAAGAAAGGTGGGTAATTCCCAATACCGATCAGGGACCTCGACTAGTAAAATAAAGTGGAGGTCCAAAGTCAAAAGGAGTAGGTGTATCTTCTTTCCATGATTCGTTGACAAAGTAGAAAGATCTCTTGATGGGAAGAAGACGGAATTGAGGAATGAAGAGGAGCAGCGAAGAGAAAAGAAGAGAATCAGTTCAGAAAGAGAAAGAAAGAATCAAGAGAAGCCTGGAAGCCTGAAAGTGTGACTTTCATCTGCATTAATCCAGAGACAATTATGTACACAATGACCAAACTGATAACGGAGATATTAATACGGATCAGCCCGAACCATGGATGCCTCCATCTCGTATTGATTATTTGATCTGGATTGAATTACAAGGCTGATTTGGTTCTTAGATCCCGGTCAACAAACCTATATGGATAACTCGTGCCGTACAAATCACCCGTATTGATACGTTCGAGGTCCCCGGCCTCTTCCAGTGGCCAAAGTGGAGGCCTATGCAGTGCATATCGAAGCTTGCAGGAACTAGGCTGAGCAATGCCTCGTCTTCCTAACTCACTTTCTATCCGTCTTACGAAGCCAATGATCTTGGTTCCACAGGACCAACATCATCATCACCAATTAATCTAAAAGAACAACAGAGCAAAAGAGGCTGAACATCTCGTCCATGGCCCTTAGCGACGTTGTGTGGTCGGTGTGCAGACGGCGCTTCATCCCTCGAATCATCAAGACGGCGATGACGCCACGACCAGCACCGACTTACATACATACCTCCCCCATCTGGACGGCGTCTCTTTCCAGACGAATCCAGGAAACTCGTCTCGAACATTGCATGGGTTTGACTCTTTCTGACACATCATGTCGGTGAGCATCAGTCGAAGTGTGTATATGGATGGTTATGCTGGCCTGCCTTTCACCCACCGAACCGAACCAACATAACCCTCCTCCTGTATCCCATATTCGAACTACATACACATCTTGTCGCACAAAGACAGTAGTAGCACACCGAGGGAAGAAATACTCCCAGGAACGCTGTCTATCCTGCTTTTCCAGCGGTGGCAAATCCCTTTCCTCCTTCCACCCGGTCTCCGGCATGTAGTACAGATCAATCAATCCCTTTCGGTGTCCGTTCCAGCGAACCCTTTACAAACCATGTAGTAATTACAGTCGTTCGGCCTCCGCTCCCACTGACTAACACTAGTAGTTTCTTTCCAGATGGACTGCCTCTGCAGGGTGCGTCGCAGAGCAAATCCCCACTCTCACTCTCGTCGCCAGGATGTGGCAGGTGTACATACATACATACATATCTCTTTCCGTAGCCACATTCCACTTCCAACACTCATGGATGTAGACCAGCGTTAGTTTCTCTTCCTTGGCTCTTCACCCCCAAGCAGAAGAACCGGAAAGAAGACCCGAGAAATATTCCCATCTCATCCAACAAAGTCAATATTCTAGCGGTCTGGATATTGGTCCTGGAGCTGTCATATATTGACCGGTCTCTACGGTCTACACCCTTGCGTTCATGGCCAATTCAATCAAGCACAGAACTTTGTTTCATTCTTGTCCCCCAGCATGAACTGGACAATATTTGGTGACAAAGTAATGTAGATTCTCGTATGAATTACCGATCAAAATGGTCAACTATCTGGCTTTCGATCGTGACAATCTCACATAGCTAAAGTCAAGCACAGAGTCCCATGCGCGAAAATCCTGGCCATGCTGCGGATGAAACGTCCAGGTTGTACGGTTGGTCATCCTTGCAGGACGGGCTATTTATACTGTGTGGTGCATGTATCTGAACTGTTACTTTTATGACGTTGTTGGATAAATGTCGGTCGGGTATATGACTCCCGTGACTCCCGTCCGGCCGGCCTCAGGCCACGCTGATCCGTCTATGTGGATCAATTCCTTACACTACTTTCATCTTGCAACAGAAGGAATATGGATTCGTAAGACAGATACTGCTTGAAGATGAAGAAACTCATATGCTCCGAGTAGGTTTAATTTACAAAATGCCTCTCAGGACTCGAGAACCAAACGAAAAAGAAACATGGCGATCTACTTTCCATGTTCGCAATCTCCCCCCGTTCTCCAAATCGTCCCCACGGTTTTTCCCAAAAACCGGAACATTGATCATGGGCGAAAGTTCATCAAACCTAGTGGGCGGCAGGAGCCTCCTCCTCCTCCTCGAACCAGCTCTCCTCGACGGGGGCGGCCTCGCCAGCGGCAGCCTGGCCCTCGACCTCGACTTCCTGGGTCTCGTAGGACTTGAGCTGGTTGGCCAGGTCGGCCTCCTCGGGAGACTGGGGCGCGGCGGGCAGCTGGAACTTCTGGACGTGGGCGTCGGCGTCGCCAGCCTTGATGGGGGTGGGCTTGTAGGCACGGAGTTCACGGAGGTACAGCTCCTGAACGGGGTCGGCTATATCCAATGTTAGAATTTGCGATGCTCCTCAACAGGATAGAGGCCCCGTTTCCCAAGGCTCTCTGGGCGGAAAATTTGGGTGAAAAGGGAGCGGTTGACGTACCCTGACGGACGGCGGAGGTCAGGAAAGTGCGGCGGCCAGCAGAAGAAACCTGCTGCCGAGAGACGCGGGAGAGGAGCGAGCGCTACGAAAGGAGAGGGGAAGGTCAGCATGCATCCACGTAGTCGCAACAGGAGAGTCAGAGGATCCCCAATGACAGACTTACCGACGCTCTGAGAGACTGGGACATCATCGCGACGGGGTGGTCGATGAGGGGAAAGTTGGGGTAGAGGAGGGAGAGTGAGAAAGGGCGTTCGCTTTCAGTCTGGTCGGAAAGAAGCGTTGGAAGTTGAACTTGCACTTTCGGGTCCCTTCGGCTTGGCGCATGACTCAGCCGGTGGCAGTCCCACGTGACTCGATCGGACTTGATTCCTTCCAATCTCTACAGCATTTGGGAAATAGACAAAAAGAATGGGACCATTGTAATCAGCAAGTCCAGGGGATTCCAATGATGGTCTTAAATTTGAAAACCGAGATAAATTGTGCAATGGCCACAAAATGATCACTTTCGAGATCGCCCATCTGGGAAGCTGATTGGCCTGATTTTGGTGGGAATCTGGGATTTCGGCCGTCTCGAGGTTTCACTAGCGCCGTTTGGATGTCACATGACACAACATGATCCATCGCGGCTCTTTCTCGTGCCCTGACTAAGCCCGCTCCCTCCGCGCCACCTGACTTGACTCTGATTCTTCTTGCTCTTTGAATCACCTCCGTCTCTCTCGCTCTCGCTCTCACCTCGCTCCCTGACCTCCCCTCCCCCCATCCCCCGATCACCCTCCCCGTCCTTCGTTTCGCACGGCCTACTTGTCCGAGAACTCGACACTCGACGTTGCTCCCGGTCGATCTACCCCCGATCTCGTCAGCAGCGGCTTCCTGTCAGGTTCTGTCGCCCCTTTTCCGTGGGAACCCCGCCTCTCACGGAGACCTTGACTGGTTTATCGCGGTCGGACAACCGTTGGCTTGGAAATTTGTGAGGACTTTGAGAAACCGAAGCGGGTGATTCCGTGGTTGAGTTTCTTTGCTTGGAGGGCCAGTCTGTCTGCCTGGAAAAGGTAAAACATCAGCCCATAGATCCTGGTTCTCCCTCGAGAGTCGCAGAGTACGGGCAGTGGCCAAGGTCTTGTTGGATCTTGACGACTGGCTATCTGTCAGACCTGTGTTTCTTGGGCTGTTGCGTTTTCCCGGCGTGGACTCGTCTTGATATTGCGTGCGGATGCCCAGGCTAACATGACTCGGAAATGGCAGTGACGCAGAGTCGTGATTTGGGCGATTTGCGCCACAACTGCCTGTCCGATCGCTATCGAGTGTTCATCGCGATCGCTTCTCTGGGGCCAACTCTCTCGTTTTCGTGATCGCCAATATATATCGCCTGTTAAGCCCGAGCTAACCACCGAGAGAATGGCTGCCATCTCTCCCGCTGCGAAGAATGACCCGAATGCGTGGAAGAAGAACCTGTCGGTCCATGTCATCTGCCCCGAATGCAAGGAGGTTCCGCCCAATTTGGAATTCCCGGGATCCCATGAGACGGTGTGCGGTTCGTGCGGTCTAGTGCTGGCTGACCGAGAAATCGACATGCACTCCGAATGGCGGACCTTCTCGAACGACGATCAAAACAACGATGACCCATCCCGTGTTGGAGATGCCTCCAATCCCCTCCTCAACGGCGATCAGCTCGAGACCCAGATCGCCAGCGGTGGCTCAGGCCGAGTCCGCGACTTGTACCGTGCGCAGAACAAACAGTCCAGCGAAAAGGCCAACAAGCAGCTGCTTGCCGCATACAAGGAGATCGGCGCGCTTTGCGATGGCTTCAACATCCAGAAGAATGTCGCCGACACCGCCAAGTACCTGTTCAAGGTCGTGGATGACGCCAAGGCGTTCAAGGGCAAGTCCCAGGATGTGATCATCGCAGGCTGCATCTTCATCGCTTGTCGACAATGCAAGGTGCCCCGAACGTTCACCGAGATCTTCGCCGTCACCAAGGTGACCCGGAAAGAGATCGGGCGGATCTACAAAGCCCTGGAGAAATTCTTCACGGCGCAGAACCTAGAACGCATGAACGACACCCTCTCGCGGGGCGGGGTTCCCGACCCCAACTCCGCCTACACGGCCACCACTTCGACCAAGCCCAGCGACCTGTGCAACCGGTTCTGCAATCTCCTCGACCTGCCCTTCCAGGTTACCAGCGTCTCCTCCGCTCTGTCGGACCGCGTCACGACCATGGGCGACCTGGCCGGGCGCTCGCCGCTGTCTATCGTGGCCGCGTGCATCTACATGGCATCGTACCTGATGGGCCACGGCAAGTCCGCCAAGGAGATCTCCCAGGTGGCGCACGTCAGCGACGGTACGATCCGCGGTGCCTACAAGCAGTTGTATGCCGAGCGCGAGCGTCTGATTGATCCCGAGTGGACCAAGGAAGGAAAAGGTGACTTGAAGAACTTGCCTGCTAGCTGATTACTTTTTGCTATGTTTCTATACCTCTGAGCGTCTTTTTTTTTTTTTTTTTTTTTTTTTTTTTTTGTTTTGGTAGTTGCTGGGGGCAGATTGTAGGGTTCCTTAAGTGGAACAATTACCTAGACAGTGTGACTGACCTTTCTACCTTTCTACTACTGCTACTGGATTGCTACTTCACTTCCCTGCTTGTTTGTTCGCCTTTCCTCCCTCTCCCCAACCCTCGGGCAACGGGTAGGGCAGAATAGCACAATACCCAAAGAAGCAAACACCTAGAAAAAACATACGAAAAGAAGAAAAGAACCCCCCCAAAAAAAAAAAAGAAAAAGAATCCCTTAATCTTCTTTCTTCCCATCCCATCGCATCCTATCTATCTATCTTGCTTGTTTCTTTGCAAAGCCGAAAGTCGAAATTGGCTGGCTTGCTTGCTTGCTTCCTCTTGAGTTAGTGACGTACGTATGTTGTTTTTATGCGAATAATCATACCTACATACCCATCTATCTATCTATCTACTTTGTAGGAAGTATTGGTTTAGTGGTATTGTATTGTATTGTATATTGATGGGAGAGGTAGAATCTCGTAGGGCACATGTCTGCCTGCCTACCTGCCTTGTGCTAGTAATAGGTAGTAACCACTAGGTTGGTAGTATATCTATCTGATACCTTGGATCTCTCCGAGATGCGATGATAAAAGGTAAAATCATCTACTCTACCTACCAGGTATTTCATCCCTACAATATAATACTACTAATCAGACCAACAATAGTCACAAATCACACCGCCATAATAAAAATTTACCACAGCTAGGACTCAACAACGACTGTACATGTATGATAAAGTAATACCCAATATGGGCAACGGATGCGTGCATGTCCAAGCAAGGAAATAAATACAGATGTACTAGTACTAGTAGGTACTCGCAATATTCTCCCAAGGAGAGTTGGGGAGAGAGTCACAAGACTTTGACATCAAGCGATATGGAAGGAAGGAATGGATGAATGAGTGAATGAATGGAACATGCTAGACATACTGAAGATTGCCCGTCCTGCTGGGGCAGAAAGGAGAGCAACAAATAGTGAACACATCACTAAACGTGGTGTTGGCTTTCTCGGTTTTCCTTGCCGTCGGCGACGGCGGCTAGGCCCTCCGCGATGGTATCTACTGCTTCTTCCTCGGGGGATTGAATTCGGGCTGCGGCTGGGGCTGCGGCTGAGGCTGCTTCCGGCTCGTCTTCTTTCACTACCGGTTCTACGGCGGGAGCGGGCCCGTCCGTCGCATCGGTATCCTCCGTGTCTAGGGCCTTGTGGGCTGCGTCGGTGAAGACCGGTAGCGTCTTAGGTTCCGTCGCTGGGGGAGATGTGGCTTTCGGCGACTGAGCCTTCTCCTCGACTGGAGATGACTCCTTGACTGGAGATGACTCCTTGACCGGGGATGACTCCTTGACCGGGGATGACTCCTTGATAGGGGATGACTCCTTCGCTGGAGATGGCGACGGCTGGGGATCGGTCGACTCGCCGGCAGCGTTCTTGGAAATCGGCGGGGCCATTGGGGCGCTCTCGAGTGTGGTGTCCAGGGCAGCAGGAGCAGCCTTGGGCGACTCGGCTTTCACCTTGGGCGACTCGTCTTTTACCTTGGGCAGGTCGCCTTGTACCTTGGAGGTCTCGGCTTTCCCGCTGTCACCCACAACCACGTGGCCATCTGCGTCCACCTGCCACACATTCCAGGTCTCGGTGATCCGGACCTCGGGGATCGTGGGCAGACGTGAGGGGGCGGGTTCGGCTGCAGGCTTCCGGCGTGCCGGTCCACGGGCCCGTCCCTTGCGAGCATCACTCAGCGGTACTTTCTCGGCCGGGGGTTCCTCCTTCTTCGGCGGTGGCTTGGCCACTTGGGGACCAACTTGTAACCGTGAGTTCAAATCGGTAAGGAATCCTGCCTTGAGAGCTGCGATTTTGCTCCCTCCCGGACGCGATGGCACCGCAGGTTTTGGTTTAGCTGCAATATCCTTGGCCGCTGGAGCATCCTTGGTCTCATCTGTGGATCCACGGGCAAGTCGGGCAGGCCGGATAGGGATCTGCGGCTTGGGCCGATCTGGAATCATGGGGGGCTGTTTCTTCTCGGTGGGCGACGTGACTGGCTTGGTGGGCGACGTGACTGGCTTGGTGGGCGACGTGACTGGATTGTTGGGTGACGTGACGGGCTTGGTAGAAGTGTTGATAGGGGGAGCCTGCTTTTGAGGTCGGGACGGGATGTGTGGTTTCGTGGGTACCACTGGGCTTTGGAGTTCTTGCGCTTCCGAGGGCTCTATCGTGGTCACCAGTCGCTGGCTTTCTGGGACGTCCTCCCAAATATCACGGCTCGGGAACCGTTGCTTGGTGACACCCGGTCGCGAAGCGGCCTGCTCCTCATGTTCCTGGTCTTCGGCCTCGAGTATCTGTGTGGCGATCCGATGAGGATCAGTGCGGGTCGTCTGGCTTCTGCGGAAGGACTCCTGTTCGGGGGTCTCGTAGACTTCCTCCTTGGCCGCGTCGGGGGTGGACACGGTGGTATGGAGCTGCAGACTGTTGGGGGAATCCTCCCAAATGTCCTGACTCGGGAATCGGTGCTTAAGCAGGTCGGGGCGCTGCTTGAAGCGCTCCACAGTGGAGACCGGCTTCTTGTCCTTGGACGCATCTTCGGGGAACAAAGGCTCGTACTCCTCGACATCCTCGAGCGGCGTGTGGGCATCCTCGCGCTCATCGCGTGAGTTGAGTCGTGCCAGATTGGGCATGCTGCCGTGGTGGCTGGTGCTTCTGCTGGTCGGACGACTATGGGAGACACTGGAAGGCCGGCTCCTCTCATGGTCCTGACTGCTCCTCCGACCGAAAGTGGGGGAGATAGCGGGGTGTTGGTACGCAGACTCCGGGCGCACTTCATCCGCAGCCAGGATGGGCTCTTCCCTCTCAGCATCGTCGTCTCCGAGTCCATGGGTCAGCTCATCCGGATCGGGGGTCGGAGCAAAGCCATCTGGATGGTGCAGATGGTGGTAGGGTTCATTAACGTGGATTAAGCCAGAGTCTCTGGATCTCCCGCCCGATATCTCCTTGGTCACAGGCTCAGGCTCCGGATCGGGCACTTCCGATTGTTTCAGAGACGAAGCAACCGCGGGACGCGAGTCGTGGTGCGATCCCGGCGGTGGGGGCGACGCCAGGCGGTGCTGGTACTCATCGGAAGCGATGTAGCCAATCTCCTCTTCTGGGGTGCCGCTCACAGCAGGAGAGGTCCCTTCAACGGGGGTTAGTCACCCACGACTCCCACACATCTTCCATGATAGATAGGGGCTTACCAAGGCCAGAACCGGTTACCGCAGAACCGCGAACGAGCTTATTCAAGTCATCGCTACTCAGAGCCCAGTCGGGCTTGGGGGTGCCAACGCCGGGGCCATATTGACCTTTCTCCTCCTTCACGTATTCGTCCGGATGCTTCTCATACCAAGCCTTCTCGAACCTGTCACTGGGGTCCACGCCATGACCGTGGAGACCGTAACTCCCGGGGGGCAGGGAAGATTCGCGACCACTACGGCTTCGGTTATGGCCCCGGCTCGGGCGCTGATTGGCCCCGTGTTCCACCTGATAGGGACTCGGGGACGGCGCCTGCACATCGCCACCATTGGGGTACATGGGAACCCGCTGTCCAATTTCGGGGATGCCCTGCTCTTCTTCGTATTGCAACCGTCGGTCGGTCGAGGCCGTCGATGAGTCTGCTCGCGAGCCGCTTGCTCCGGAGTGCAGCGAACGACCCGGACGTTCAGAGCGCTCCTCGTGGGAAGGAGACGTCATTCCAGCAAATCCCGCCGCGGCAGCCTGGCGAGAATCCGTGCGTGTGACCGCCTGTACTTGAGCTTTGGCGCTCGAAGTCGGCAAGGACGGTCTTGGCGCATGGAGTTTAAGGTCGCTCCCCACGTTCCGTGTTTCCGTCGGGGCGGCGGGGTGGTTCTCTGGGGTGTCGCTGACGCCCAGATCCTCATACTCGATGCCTTCCTCGCCCAGGGAAGGTATCGTAACGCTCGGGGGACGTTGTGGGGTGTCACTCGAGATCGTGCGACCTAGGGCCGAGCCATGAGGGGGCTCGTTCAACGGTGATGGAGCATAGCTATCTCGGAGCGGGGACATTGACCGTTCGAAATGACGAGAAGGACGAGGAGGAATCTTCGGAGCATTGCCCGTTGACCCCGGTGCAAGGTTCTGCTGGTGCGGTGACCTTGATGGCCGAGGAGGAATTGCAGGGACCGTCTGTGCCGTCATAATGGGTGGATTATGGTATGGTACCGATTAATAAAAGACTAGATATCAAAAATCCACAATGTCAGCTACTTCCGAAGAACATAATACAACAGATACATGGATTGGATGGCTCTTTGCGGGGAAGGGGCAGCTGGGAGAGAGGCAGGGTCCAGCGGATACTGGAGCCCCGCATCACCAGCGAATGCAAGGTAACCAGTGAGGGAGAATAAGGGGAGCAGACTGAGCTAGATAGCTCGTTCAGAAAAAAAAAAGGATAGAGTCAACGAGTGGGGAGAGGTAAAGCTGGCGTTCAGATGCGATGATACCACACGAAGCTGATAACCAGATGGATGATTTCACCGCCCCTCCAGCTCTGACAACCCTCGCATTCTCCCACAAAATGACGCAGTAAAACAAGGACTCGGGATAGACAAAGCAAAACGAAATCATTGAAATATGCTTACCAACTTGATGGTGGCCAGATTGTAATAGAGCCAGAGGCGGGGAGTCACAGGGGGTGGTGAGTTTGATAGACGTCAGTAGTTGAACGGGGAGACTGAGTAGAACTACAACGAATCGAAGCCCAAGAAGAGACGAGGATTCGACAATTGGAGGGACTTGGCAAAGGTCAACAATGTCCCAGAAACAAGAGTTTGGAATGGAGTGAAATGGAGGCAGATTGGAGGATCGAATGGCGATCACAGGGGGCGAGAGAGCGTCTCAGAGGGAGAAAAGAAGAAGAAGAAAGCTAATAAGGACTCTGGAGAAGATGATGTATGACCTTTTTGTCCGTGTGGTGGCCGTAAAATACCCAGGCTAACCGCTTTCTTCCTACCACGTCCCACTGCTCCATTGCGTGACATCCGCTGACGGCTTCTGTTGGCTGGGCTGGCTTAGCAGGGTTGGTATTAGTACGGTATGATAACCACTCTCCGGCCGTGGACAAACGAGTTCCCGTTGTCGCAATAACTACACTTCTTATACACTTATCAAAGACACTTCAAGTTGCCAGTCATATATCCGAGAAAGAACCACTGCCAGCATAGTTCTTGTTTTCCCCAGCATCATGAATTACCGTAGGTACTCAAGCACCATACCTGCTACTGAATGATTGACGCCCACCGAGGAGTCCATTCCTGGCTCCGATCAAGTGCCTCCAACCATCCACCAATGACAGTCTGCTATGACGATAGAGGGGGAGGGATATATGCAATCTGCAGCTCCCACGGTTCCCTCTTCGTTATTCCTTCTTGATTCTTTGCGGCATTTTCTCCTTGTTGCCTCGTACGGCATGTCAATCCATCAGCTGTGTTATCTAAGGTTCGTTGCAAAGAACAACGTGAAACAGGGCAAAACCACGCATGCATTACAATGATACCTTCCATACCTACTATCTAGGTACTCCGCCTTTCGCTCCACTCTTTCCCTCCATGATAATGGCTGACGATCTGCCTTCTACTCGCTTTTACGATCGCACCTTTTACATGAGAATCTACATCATGGTATAATCTTACCTCCACGGACACAATTTGAGAAATCAAGAGTGTCGGTGTATGAGTTCTTTGGGTCCGTTGGGGCTGGTCGAACTATTTCCTCCCCCGTCTCCACTCCTTTCCCTCTTTGTTCCCATCCTCCAGTCCTCTCGACCCCAAAATGACCAAATGGGGGGCAGATCCCGCCGGGCCAGACCGTTGGTATTAATAGTCACCCACGCCACGACACCAATCCGTCGTACGTGGAGCAGCCAGACTGGGTTATCCGTTGTGGCCGTGCAGATACCAGTATCTTTGATCCGTCTTTCTCGTCCATGGAATTTCCAGAAAAACATGACAAAAACCCTGCACGGCAACAATGAACCGTCCTTGGTAATTATAATGGGTGGCGAATGATTGGTTGGGGGACACTGACGCGGGTGGCCTTGGTTATGACGGTACCTATGTATACCTGGAGCCATTGCATCATGAGACACTCCATCTATCTCTCTGCACATCGCGATCGGCTGTTTTATGCCAACGATGAGCCGAGTCCTCAGTTGGATTCTTTGTCTTCTCTAAGAAGGGAAATCAAATGGCTCTCATAACCTGGGCCTCTTTCACGCTATCCATGAGAGAAAGATACAGCAACAGGGTTGATACAATGCTGAATCTGTCGAGGTTTCAATTAACGAAAGCTCAAACACTAATCCCCATGAAACTAATAAGCCCTGTCAATATTACCAGTTGATAACAGGTCCACTAGAATTCTAGGCGATGCACTGACCCGGATATTCAAGCCAATCATACACCAGTTGGCTGACCTCGTGCACTGAATTTCAAGCATCACCTGCCATATATGCAGCAAAAAAGTAAAAACAAGAACATACAGAAAACAACAAAGGACAAACAAAAGCAAAAGAAACCAGTCAAATAAGCAAAGAAGATAAGGGCGGTAATAACTGAATGAAATTAACAAGATCTCTCTCATCTCTCTCTCCCATTCAATCAGTCCCTCTCCCTTCCATAGGTATGTATACCCATAATCAGTACGGTTCCTCGTACAACCCATATCAGCTTCAAAAACAAACAAACAAGACTAAACGAACAAAAGGAACGGCAGTGCCACGCCCATTCGTATCCCGCTTTCCAGCTTTTACTCCTCAAACGCGGGGTGTCTCTTGCAGGAGGGGAAAATGACGTATATACAGCCCCTAGCTGTCTGCCGACTAAAACCTCATGCGAGATACGTTATGTCTTACCGAACTGTAATGATAGACCAAAGCTAAGAGAATCATACTGGAATGAGCAATATGGAGGGCTAATGTTGGAGATATACTGCCTGGTTATTTTTGGTGTAGAGAGAGAGAGCGTGTGTTGTGTGTGTGGAAATGGGAGTATCGATACCTATCATGGTTGTATAGGATGTACCTCCCTAGGTACTCACGGTATACCTGTATATACATTTGGATGGACGACATCATGTCTATTAGATACAGTTGAAAGGACAGACCATGTGGAATTTGACAGGGCGCGAGTACCTACCCTGGTTCGTAGGTAGATAGTAGGTACCTACCTTCAACCTGGCACTAATGCACGCACGACGAGCTGGAGGCCAAAACACAGCAAGAAATGATGGATCTTCGTTTCACATGTCCTCTGGGTTGGAACTAAACATGTACATACTCGATAGGACCGAGAAATATAGATGTTACCGCTCTAGCCGGCAATTGCTGGAACCAGAGCCATTTGGAACTAAAGCGATGGCTACTTCTCGCTATCCTATGAGAATAATCAATTCCTTCATCGCCAGGATGCCAGTAGGGTATTCGCTAGGTATAGTAGTCGGTAAGGAAGTCATCTAAGGCTCGACTGGGCGGAGGTGACCACACCAGGACGAGATAACAAAAGAGCAAAGTACAACAATCGCACAAAATGAACAAAGAATATCGGGTCAACGCAGCGCAAAGCAAATATAAAGCAGAGTCTTCGCGTAACCCAACACATTCGAAACCGGGATTGCAAACGCCTTTTAGCCCGGGGCGCGAGTCCTTGTCGACGACCCTGATGAGATAAAAGTACAGAGGCCTGCTCGGCGGCCTCGCTGAGAACGGATTAATTCGTAACCATGAAATTTCAGCGCAAAACGTTCCTTTCTTCCTCCAGATTTGGACTTGGATGGTGGTGTTCCCCTATCTGCCTCGTGTCCACAGCCACTCCGCTATATCGGTTGAGAGTATGTCGCAAAGGGCGCAAGGGGATCCCACGGCTAGCAGGACAAGATCAGCACCCGAAACCAATCCAATTCATGCCATATCCCACGAAACCTGACTAAACAATCATCTGCGCTAGACCCTGTCCGCCCAGCGTCTTGCTACCAACAAAGTCCTGGCTCTTCACGCCAGCCAGGGCATAGAAGAGGGAGGCAATCAGGAGCATGACCGCCGCGGCAATCAAGCTGGAGGCGCCGGTGACGAGACTGATCCACTGGACTGCACTCATGGCGAGGTACATAGCGGCGCGCATCCAATTCGTGGTGAATCGTCGGATGAAGTTGTCGAATTTGTCGGACGTCGGGCAGATGCGAAGTAGGAAGGGAACTTCAACGAAGATAAGGACCACGCCGGCGATCCTGCGAGTGTTAGTTCGCGCAGTACTTTCCCTAGGATGAGAGCAGCTTACAAGCACAGAATGCTGAAGACGATGCGCGCAGGGGGCGAAAAGATGTTGGCAATTCCAAGCGCAATGCACAGGACAATACAGATCACCCCAGTCCTAATAGACACCAGTCAGCAATCGCGACACAGCCGGAGTGTATAGTCCCATGACGCTGTCCTCCCACGTTATGCGATGCGTGTCGGCTCCGCAGTTCCCACTTGAGCCGGCTGCTGCGGTGTCATGCCGATCCGAAACGTGCCAAGCACAGCCCCCAAGCAGCCATGATCGCTTCAACTCGAAGGTAACATGGGACGAGGCAACGAATGGGGCGCAAATCAAGTATCGAAAGCGGTCCAGGAAGTATTTACATACCATTGTCCATAGATACCTGTTGAATGAATGGTTAGCACGGCCTGTAGATCTCTCAAGGGCAAGTGTAAACACGGAAGTCCATACTGAAGTTTCGCGAGCGGAATTCCTCAGAGAGCGTCATGGTGGTAGGAGACGGCGAGAGAACGATCTATCCCAACAGAAGTATACTAGAAATAGAGACTGTTCGAGAGGATGAAGGTTAGATGGACAGGAAGGAGGTTATTGAGATAGTGGTATGAGCAGTGGCTACCTTGAGTGGACAATGATTGACAGAATGAATGGGGCCAGGTTGCCATGTCGATCCCTTGACCGCCCGGCAGAACCCAGGCACCGATATAACGCGGTCTCTTATCTAATCACTCTTAACTTCGACATCAAGTACACACTCCACACTCCTGGACGGCCAGATTCAACTGATTTACACCCTTATATTGGCTGTTTGGAAAGGTTTTATAGAAATATCTTGTATTTCTTTTGGTCTTTTTCTGTTTATCTTTTTTTTTGCATCATTACCGCGGAATCATGTCTACATCCAAACATGACCGCAATGCTTCCAAATGTAAGGAAGACAGATTACTTGCAATATCCCAGAGCTCTTGACTGATCGATCAATAGCTCGCCCCAGGAGCTCGACCAGAGGTCCCTTGGATGAGTCGCATGAGTAGGTGTCATGGTAGTCTCACACTTCGATACGCGCTAATGACCCAAGCCCTCTCAGCGTGACATCACAGCCAGAGAATACGACCACTGGGGATTATTCTGGAGCATCATTTTACACCCTTGATCCATTGATCCCCGATGAGGTCGCACATACCCTCGAGAAGGACCTCTCGTTTCTTCTCCGGTATGACGTCTATCACTCTCTAGCCCAGATAGATATCCCCCATGCACTACGTTCGGATTTTGTGGCTCCATCCTCGAACGAGCCCCTATCCCACAATCTGGGCACGCTCGAGAGACTGTTGGCCGAAGGCCACTTTCTGCTCGCAGCTTATCTCTCTGGGGCGATACTGACCTCTTCGGGGATCTCGCCCACCGACATTAAACTTATATTTGCCCTGTTCTACACGCGGCTGGCTTGTCTGGAACTATCCGGCAATACCGTCCTTGCGGCGCAGGAATCCAAAGCGCTCGAGGATCTGAGCTCCGAGTTCTACTACATCACCCCGAAATCGGAGACTACTGATGAAGATCAAGAATCTAGCCAAGAGTCTAGCTACCCTCGTCATATTGTGCCGTGGCCACTCCGGGTCCTCGCCGTCCGGCTGCAGAGCATCGGATTTGGTGACCCGCGCAGAGGCATTGCTGGCCTGTACGATATCGGTATCGAAGCGCGAAGGGAAGTCCTTCGTCCCGACATATCCGATGAGCACCGGAAAGCCTGGAGGGACAGGTTAGCAGACCTGGGGATTAGGAGTGTGAATGCCCTGATCGAGATGGGCGACCTCAGTGCGGCCCGACGGTCACTCGACAGCCTGCGGACGACAGCCTCGGATAGCTTTGTTAGCAAATCAAGGAAAACACTGCTGTTTCTGCTCATCGGTGACGTCGATGCCGCGAAACGCGAGTCTCGCTTGGCGGACGGGTCGGATGACACGATATTCAAACCGCTTCTCAGCATGGCCGAGGGTCGATACGATGATGCCGCGACAGAATGGCAGGCCCTTGTCGAGGCTGGACCCAAGAGGTCGGACGAAGCAATGGTCAAGCAGAATTTGGCTGTGTGCTTGCTGTACACAGCCCGACTCAATGACGTACGTTGCCCCAGCCCTCGGAATAACACTATTGCTCATATTAGCAGGCCCGCGAAACCCTGGAGTCCCTCGCGCAGGAGAACCAGTCGTTTGGCGGCCTCGTGTTCAATCTTGCGACCGTCTACGAGCTCTGTTCGGACAAGTCTTCGAAACTGAAGACCGGCCTGGTTGAGACGGTTGCTAGACAGCCAATTACGGGGCAAACCAATCTGGACCGGCCGAATTCGGACTTCAAGATGTAATTTTGATGATAAGAGGCCAATAAAGATACAATGCTTTGCTAGCATTTTGCTCCCTCTATCCCTGAATGAACGCCGCCTTCCCAACGCCTAGCACGCCAAGTATAATGCTCAAAAGAATGGAAGCCGTCAAGATTCCTTGATCGGGGTGAGATTCTGCGCCGGTTTTCGCTTCGGCCGTTTAATAATGACCATGTCTCCTTCCCGCGACCAACCGACCTTCTCCCTCTCCACCAATTTCTCCCACGTCCAGGACCCGTCGCCCGTGCAGCCCTCGGTGATCCATGTCACATGGACGCTAAGATAGGCACTGCCGACGGCCTTGAGCGCGTGTCTCCGCACGCGGTCCTCCGCCCAATCAATCACCGACCGCAGTTCCGAGGTCACCTCCTTGCGGACCTGCCAGAAGACCACCCAGTTGTCATGCGCCAGGGCGTTCAGGACGCGGTCGACCGTCTGCGACTGGAAGGCGTATTGGCGACGCGCCCGCGCGCGCAGCTCGAACGCAGCCACCAGGTCTTCCTGCCGACAGGCATAGTCGAGAATAAGATACGAGAGGAGCTCCTTCAGCTCTGACTCCGCCAATGGATGCGCCGGCGAGTGCAGCCTGTCGACGAGGTACCGGAGGGAGGGGAAATACGACGGCGGATGCTTGGCTTTGATTGAGAGTCGGGCGGAGAAAATATGGACATGCTGGGAGAAGGAGACGGGAGTTGTGGATGCGGTGGCCAGAACAGCCTCTCGAAGCTTGCGGAGGGAAAGCAGGAGGGTCGATAGTTCGGCGGAGGCGGAGGGCCCACGAGTCCCCGCCGGTTGACCGTGGGGTACAGAAGCCGGGGGATTCTTGGTTGCGTCACCGGACGGGCTGGTGGGGAGGGACGCCCAGGCTGCTTCCAGATTGCCCTTGTATAACGCGCCGAATCGCACGTACCGCTCTTTTATCTTCTCATAGTAGTCGATTTGGGCTTTGTGGTCTAGTAGTCTGCGCGGGTTAGTCGTTTCCCCCGCTAGCTTAATCTCCAGACGGTTGGCGCATACTTGCGATCGCCTTTAGACACGAACCCCACTGCCTCCAGGGAGTCGGCGACAGGCTTCAAGCGGCTTTTGGTCCACTTTCCGGGGTTCTGGCGGGCCGACATGGCGATAATTCATGATATGGATGTGTTGTTGTCAGTGAGTTGATACCCGCGACATGATAACGCCACGGGTTTGGATGGTTTGGGCAGTTTACATTGTTTGTGTGGTTTGTGTGGTTTGTAGTGACTTCCCAACGGGGAAAGTCGGGATGATCGAGTCCCAACGCTCATCAATCCAACGCTCCACAGTTCGAGCCATGGATGATCGGGGTCTCTTTTCCTACATCTACTATGGCCGAATAACACCAGGCTTCTTCAACTCCCTATACCTATTCCCTCACCGTCATTGCCATCTATCTGCTGAGTATTGATCCGTCACGCAACCTGCATTGCATCTGCAATCCCGTCACCAACTATCATAGTCAATACATCCGCCATGTCGACTCGCCAGCGTCGTCAAGACCCACCCAAAGACACAGGGCCTAGCCAGCCAGAAACGGTCGTAGAAGCAGCCCTGAACCAGCCCTCACGACTTGTCAAAAAGCTCCTCCACTGGGACGACCTGCCACACTGGCAGCGTGACAACCAACACATCCTCACGGGCTACCGACCAGCGTCGTTCTCATTCTGGGGGTCGTTTCACTCCCTCACCTACCTCCACAATGAGTCAGTCAACATCTACACGCACCTGCTACCCGCACTCCTAGCCATCCCAGCGGCGTACAGCCTCCACAAGGCCCTCGCCCCGCGGTACGAGACAGCAACACAAGGCGACCTCGTAGCGTTCGGGTGTTTTTTCGCAGGCGCCGCCTTCTGCCTAGGCATGTCAGCGACATACCACACGGTATCCAACCACTCGCCGCAGGTGTCCCGGATCGGGAACGCATTCGACTACGTGGGCATCGTGGGGCTCATCGTGGGCAGCTTCGTCCCCAGCGTCTACTACGGGTTCTACTGCGAGCCAGGCCTGCAGCGACGGTACTGGACGATGATCTGCAGCATCGGTCTTGGCTGCGCGTGTGTGTCGATCCTGCCGCGATTCCGCACGCCGCTGTGGCGGCCCTTCCGCGCGGCCATGTTCGTCGGCATGGGTCTCTCGGCCGTGGTGCCCGTCCTCCACGGGATCGAGGCGTACGGGCTGGAGCGCGAGATGCGGCAGATCGGGCTGGGCTGGGTGGTGCTCCAGGGGCTGCTTTACATCGTGGGGGCGGCGATATATGCGGCGCGCGTTCCGGAGCGGCTGTGTCCGGGTCGCTTCGACCTCTGGGGCAGCTCGCATCAGATCTTTCATGTGCTGGTCGTGTGTGCGGCCGTGGCTCACCTGACGGGGCTGCTGAGGGCGTTTGATTACAGGCACAGTGGCATCGCGGAGCGGTGTTCGGGCGCTGGAGTGAGCGGCGGTGGGAGGTGATTCGTCCGCGGGTGAGCGGAAGATCACACGAGCGGTGTCCTGATGTGTGAACGACAGGTTACAGTTGGGTATATTATGTAGCGAGCGATCGTCCTATCCAATGTAATAGATTTATGTGTTGCCATGGGGCAGGATAGAGCACCACGACCTCATGCTGACGACCCGCGAATGATACGGGATGTGTCCGACCTTGGTTTGCTGACGTCTGGGGTGTATGTATGACGGGGAGTCTTTGGTTCTATTGTTCAGGTTAAGGGGGAAGGAACCTCCAAGAGCGAAAAGGAGTAGAAGCTGAAAGAAGGCAAGCGTCGAGGTTCACCGCTCACTCTATGCCTGCATGCTGCAGACGAATGGAGAGTCCAGACTGCGCAAGTTTACAGCTCACATGGTGCGCTGGCCTGCAGCTCCCTGGGATTGCAGAGGGGAGTCTGTATGTAAGTTCCAACCATGAATGCTACGTCAGACTACCAGGGAAAAACAGCAGTCGCCCAATCCCGAGCCCGGCCACAGAGAGTTCTCTGGCAAGGTCGCGCCTGGGAAGTCCACGAGGTAGCACCTGAGCTTATTAGCCTCGAGCCTAACAATGCCAATCGACGACGAACTAGCCGGCGCGAGCCAGAAGGTCGGCGCGCCGCATTCTCCGACTGCCAATTTGGCTTTTGGACAAGTAAGATTGGGGAGCGGTTTGGACCACGGGGCTGGTCTGCAACAACCAGGGGTGGTGTGGGTGGGTGGGGGAGAGAGAAGTCACCATGATCTGCTCCCATGTCTGGGTGGATCAGATGCAATGGTTGGGTTTCACAACGGCTGACTTCATATGCGGTTTTCGACGATTCAGCGGTCCCAATACGAATAGGCCTGGCGTGTGTGTGTGTGTGTTCTTCAGGCATATAGACTGGATGTACCTGGATGGGGAAATACTAGGCGCTGGCTGGTTGCGCTGGCTGTGCTTGCTGATTGATATATTCCTCCTTTCCTCTCTCATTTTTTTCCTTGGATGAGGCCGCCCACATGTGGATCGTACCGCCAACACATTGTTCTATATCTTATAGGGGACCACCACCTGTCAGTATACCGTCCAACTCGTCCTCCATCAAACTCAGTCTTTCTCTGCATCTCATATACCAGCGCAACACATAGATGCTCAGAGAGTCCAACCACACCGGGAATGCGGCCGACGCACCCAAGCTCCGAGCAGCGTGCGAGAACTGCCGACAATCCAAAGTGAAGTGCAACCTGTCCGGCAAAAACACCTGCATCCGGTGTCTCCGGCACGGGCTGCACTGCCGGTACCGGGTGGCCAACCGGTCCGGCAAGCCCAAGGGGAGCAAGAACCGCGCGACGCTGCGCAAGCTGGGCCAGCTGCAGGAGGATAAACTGCTCGGCGCGGACGATCTGGACAAGGCGTTTCCGGCTATCGGGCCGGCGGGGTATCCGGGGGATCATCACCATCATCATCACCGGTGGTCTCGGCCGGGGCAACAACAACAACAACAACCGCCGCTGCCGTCATCATCGCCTGATCGACGGGGCTCATCTGCCAGTAGCATTCTGCAGCCGCCCACCTACGAAGCAAGCAGTCACTCGGAGAGTCCCGACAGCCAGAGCCACGAGGCCACAATGCTGCTGACCTCGCCCGTAGAGTACGGGTCGCCGTTCGGCGACGGGCTCCCGACGGGAGGAGGGGGAGGAGAGGAAGGACTCTGCGGGCCCCCAACATCAATGTCGCCCACATTCCTGCAAAAAGAGTTCATCACGAAGGGGTTGACAAGCTGCCCACTGGCCGTGCACGTGCCGAGCGTACCAACATTCCCACCAGCCTGCGACTGCGACGAAGCGCTTCAGATCCAGATGGCGCACCTGCGCCACATGGCAGTCGACACGGCGCAGCTGCGGTTCGACCGGAGCTTGCAGGCGCTGCGGGCGGCGCTGGTCGTGTGTCAGGGTTTTTTGGGCTGCGGGCAGTGTCATAAGGATAGTGGGAATCTGCTACTGGCTGTGTCGACGCTGGATGTGGCGGCGCAGTTGTTCAGCTACTGGGTGTCGTTTGAGTATGGCGCGTCGACGACGCCGGCTGGGATGGGTGGAGGAGGAGGGGACGGGTCGGTTGTGTCGTATGGGGAGTACGAGACGAGTCCGGATGAGACGAGGCGGGTGAGACGGGTGCTGCTTTGTGGGCGGTTGGCGCAGTGTCAGGAGGCGCTGGGGCAGGCGAAGGATGCTGTTGAGATGGGGATGCGCACTGGGGGGATGGAGGTTGGGGAGGGGAGTTGGTTGTTGCAGACGGTTAGGGGGCATGAGGCGTTGATAGCTGATCAGTGCATTCATATTACTTAATTATAGTATATTGTTATAATATAGTTGCAGTGTTGATATAACTTAATTGGGTCTTGTATTGAGTATCATTATTGAGTATCGAAGTAGAGTCTGAAGTATACAATGAAGCGGTACTCGGTCCACGCGGGCCGAGGCAATCTATACACCACCTTATAACCATACCTAGGTAAACCCCTCACATTCTCCGCACTCATCATTCCATACCTCCAACTACAACAACCTCTCTCTCCTCTCCTCCTCTCCTCTCCAACAAGATCAACAACCAAACCACAAATCAAACACAAACCAATCCAGTAAAGAGAAAAAAAACCAAAATGGCAGCCCGACTCTCCCAAATCTCCTCCCACCTCAACTTCCCCTCCGGCCTCCTCGCCAACCAAGTAGCCATCATCACCGGCGCCGGCCAAGGCATTGGAGCCGAGACGGCGAGACTGTTTGCCAACGAGGGTGCCAAGGTTGTTATTGCTGATATTGACCATGGTATGTTTTTCTTTTCCCATCCTTACATATATAGTAGCTACGCTACTATACTATTCACATGTACGGATACATGGATACGTTCATGGATACTACTGTGTCAAACACAGGATGATCAAGAAAAAAAAACAGGTTACTGACAAGAAGAATAGACAAAGCAAACGCAGTAGCCACCGCCATCAACAGCGCATCCCCCAACCGCGCCCTCGCTGTCCCCGGCGACGTGCTCAACGACGCATACATTGCCGAGCTGGTCAAAAAGGCCGCTGAGTTCGGAGACGGCAAGATCCATATTATCGTTAATAATGCGGGGTTTACGTGGGATGGAGTTATTCATAAGGTACGCTTCTTCTTACTTCATTTACCTGTTATCTATACGGAAGAGAGAGAGAGAGAGAGAGAGAGAGAGAGAGAGAGAGAGAGAGAGAAAGAGAGAGAGAGAGAGAGAAAGAAAGAGAAATGCTAATAGAAGGTATGATATGTAAAGATGACAGACAAACAATGGGACACAATGCTCGCTATCCACGGCACAGCGCCCTTCAAGCTCGTCCGCGCTGCGGCGCCCTACTTCCGCGTGAAAGACAAGGAGCCGCGGGTTATTATCAATATCAGCTCTACGTCTGGGATTCATGGGAATGCGTTAGTCTTTCCCTTCATTACCTCACCCTTGCCTTACCTTTGCCCTGTCTTTCCCTTACCCTTACCTTCCACCCTAAACCTACCCCCATCTACAATACTAACCACAATGGTGAACGATAGAGGCCAAGCAAACTACGCCCTCGCCAAAGCCGGCGTCGTCGGCCTGACCCGCACAATCGCCAAAGAATGGGGCCCTGCCTTCGGGGTGCGCTCCAACACCATCGCCTTTGGCTTCGTGCAGACCCGTCTCACGGCCGCTAAAGAAGCCGGCGCATTCATCACCACGCCCGACGGGACGAAAGTCGCGCTCGGCATCCCGGGGAAGCAGCTTGATTCCCGCCGTGGTGGTGCTGTGCAGCAGGAGGCGAAGACGGCGGCGCCGGCGTACCCCGATATCCCGCTGGGACGGCCGGCGAGTCCCGAGGAGGCGGCGAGGTCGGTGTTGGGGGTTGCGAGTCCTTTGTTTAGTTATGTTAGTGGGGAGACGATTCGGGTTACGGGGGGGAGGAATATGTAGTTCTTCTCTTTTTTCTCTTCTTTCTCGGGGTTGATTTGCTGGGGAGGCAGAGTTGTTTTGTGCATTTGCTTGAGGGGTGTTGTTTGATTGTTGTTGGTATTTTTGATATCTGAGTGCAGTTGATATTTGAATGCAATTGATATCTGAGTGCAATTGATATCGTAGGTAGTTGGTTAATATCCACGTGCACGAGCCGAAGACGTCGATATCACACCCAACATGTCCTCTCATGAGGTCGCACTCGATAATGCACAACGTATATGCAATCCATAGCTTTATCGTAAAGTATCATACAGAGTATCAAACAAAGTACCGTATCATAAGATTATATCTCTGTATCGTAAAAATCCAGAACCAGAATCTCCGTAACACTCCCCCTTGTCAACGGCAAAAAAGAACAGAACTCAAGTCGCACAGCGTGGTGGTGGTGGTGGTGGTGGCGTGGTTCGATCTGATCGAGTCGACTCTCGGGGAGGCCGACGCAGGATGAATGGTCACTAGCCATATCCATACCCACATCCATATCATCCATGTAAAGTTTGATGAGGTTGAGAGGGAGAAAGGATGAGTCGAGAAAGTAAGGCTGGGTCAAAAAGTAGCCAAAAGTGAATAGAATAAAAATAGAACGTCGCAGTCGTCTATTCAACGTCATCTGTCATCTCATCTATCCCTATCCTCGCTGGCTAGATGCCAGCGGACCAGTCGGATGAATCTGACTGGTCGAGGGAACACGTATAATTGTCGCAACTATCTTGACAGTGTGTGATGGTTGTCCATGGAACCATGTATCACAGGTATCGTAATGAAGAGGTCCTCCAACTCCAAACATAGAAATGAATAAGAAAAGATAAAAGAAAGAAGAAAATGAAAAAAAAAAAAAAAAAAGAAGATTAAAGAAAAGAATAGAACGCTTGATATGGGGTATTTTCTTCTTTCAGATGCCCTTCCCAAACACCAAACACCAAACAAAACAGATAGTAGAAAATAGACAATAGATGAAAACAGACCCAAAAAACAAATATCCACCATGATATCAACATTAATAAAACACTCCACATCCCATGGCCCCGCCAAGCTAGAGGCCAAGCTGGAATCCTGATACCACGGCTGTGGCAACCAGGCATCCAGAGATTAGGTATGTCCAATCCGGGCTTTTCGAAATATTACACGGTCGCTCCAAAATCATATGCAATCCAGGATGGAGAAATCCGAGGCAGTTGTTGAAGGCGTCATTCATAAATAGACAACCGGGTGGTCATCACGTTCAGACAGAAGGAAAGTTCAGCAGACGCGGATAGGAAGGGTGAAGGGTTGGGGGAAGACCAGGGGCTCGGGAAGATCGCTGCAGGCGACCGAGTCCGCGGGGGGAAAGTCATCTTTGCAGTCGGATGCGAAATCCACGCCGACGGAAGATAAGCTGTCCACATCGGGATACCCCTCGGTCCAGGAGGATGTGTCGGAGACGGCCGAGTCCCAGGCGTCCGAGTAGTGGGAGGAGCCCGAGGAGACGGACGACTGGGTGAAGGCGTCGACGTCCACGGGCGTGGACACCGGCACGGGCTGCACAAACTGGGGCAGGGCCCAGGGCGTGGCCGGGTTCATGGTAAACCGGGGGCAGTCCAGGATCAGGTGGCGCAGCTCCGGGATGGTGATCCGCTTAGTGGGGTCGCACTCGAAGATACGACTCAGGATGACGATCATCTCATCGGACAGGGGCAGGATGGACTGCAGGAAGAAGGGGTCCTTGAGATAGGCGCGAAAGGTGGAGTCCTCGGGTGAGGCTCGTTTCCACGGATTGCGGCCGCACGTCAGATTGACCAGGATGACGCCGAGACTCCAGACGTCGTTGGGGGCCGATTCGTATGAGGACATGGGACGGGGGTAGGTTTGTTGGCATTCTACTCATGTTAGCAGTTGGAGTGAACGGGGGGGGGGAACAAGGAAAAATGTACCAGGCGACATATAGAAGGTCGAGCCGCAGCCAAAGTCGGTGGTGTAGGCATCTTCGGTGGCGAGGCCAAAGTCAGCCAGCTTGACGGTCAGTCCTTGGTCGGTGACCAGGATGTTCTCCGGCTTCAAGTCCCGGTGGTAGATCCCTTGGGAGTGGCAGAACTGGACGGCATCCAGGACCTGGAGGAAGACGCGCTTGACCAAGGGATCATTTGAAACGAAGTGGCCCTTTTCGGTGATGTTGGAGAACAAGTCACCTTCCGGACAGAATTCAATGACCACGTATGTACAATCGACGGCATCCATGATCCGGACCAGGGAGACCACGTTGGCGTGGCGGCTGGCGGTGTGGTGGAGTTTGATTTCCCGCTGCTGGAACTTGAGCTGGCGGGGATCCAAGCCAGCCTTGTTGAGGGCCTTGACGGCGTACATGAGATTGGTATGGATGTCGACGGCGGTGTAGACGACGCCATAGGCGCCTACCCCGAGGATGGAGGTAAGCTCCAGGCGGTTGGCCAGGAGGAGTCCCAAACGGTCTTCCGGGGCATAGCAACGAGACATGGGGATGGGAGGCGAGGGAGGGGGGTGGGAAGCATGGTGGGATACATGCCAAAGGTCGGAGGATGCATGATCAAAAAGGGAATGAGAAGGGGTACAAAGAAGGGATCAAGAAAAGAAGAAAAACCAAAAGGGAACCGAATCCAGGCCGATTCCTTATTATGATCGTGGTCGGATGGTGTTGACGGTTGTCAACATGCAATTATATCCGGCAGAATCCCGTCAAGTGGCAAGAACATCCAAATCGTCAAAGGCCGGGTGGCACACAGGGCAGAACCAAAGGAAAGTCGTCTAGGAATCCATGGAAGGAGTGACAGTTGGGAACGGGTTGAAGGTAGGCAATCCAATATCCTGGTACAAAAATCACGGAGTGATGGCAGAGTTGATATAATCCAGTGGGTCAGAGTTTGGGTGGGAGATTATGGTTGAAAGGGGGCGGGGGGGAGATTTAGAATAGGGCAGATCCAGCGTGGCAGTGAGAGAACAGGAGGCGGTGCCCGGTTGATCCAGTGGACAGGTGGAAGGTTGGTGGTAGATGGTGGATGGATGGTTGGGGCACCAAAGAATAAGGTGGAGGGTTAAAGGAGGGATGGAGGGAGGAGGATGAAGGATGGAGGGGATGGTGGGAGGATGGTGGTAATAAGAAAGCAGATGAGGTATTAACAGAGAATAATCCAACAAGAATAATATAATAAAAGGAGAATCTGATCTGTCGCCGATCAGCCAACCAGATAGCGTGAGGACAGGAGAACTTGGTCGAGACTGATATATATCCAGTACGGATAGAGAGAGGAAATCAGAGGCAAAGATGGTGTGGAGATCAGGAGGCGAGAAGAAGAAACGAGAAAACGACCAGACGAACACGGGGCTCTCCAAAGGCCTCCACTCGGATGGTCCGTTGGGAATCGGTTGGTTCTCACCTCAGAAAATCATCTCCATAATCTCAATTAATATGGGATGAAAATGTCCAGACCAGACCGGAATGGACAGGATTATTGGCGGACCCACCAGGCTAGAGATGTATGATGCTTCGATGGTCATTCATGGCGGTGTACCAGAGGGAGCAAGTCCCCACCTCCCTTCTCATGATCCATGCTGCATGACCATGGATGGGATGGTTGATTGGCTGTTTCTCACACTGTCGATATTATTCTGATTTATAATGATTTATTTTTATCTAGTTAGATTAGTGATGATAATTTAGCCTTGTTGTGCCAGCTCATCCATCTTGACCAGAGTCCTAGGTAGTGTTCTAGATGTTAGAAATGAATAATGAATAATAAATAGAACACACCGTCTTTACCATGATCATCTGAATATACATAGTACGGAATACTCTACTATACAATAATTATCCGTCCATCTTACCCTCTATCGATACTAAATGAATACTACCTAGGTATAGATCAACGCAATAATAAATAATAGAATGACTCAAACATGGACAAAACAAATACTGGATGAAATAATGATGTGAAAGTGAGGCAACCCCTAACCCCCCCCCACCAATCACCATCTGTGATATATCCCCACACCCCCCCCGATTGGCTGCTTTGCGGCCACGTTGGCGGTCCGAGACCCCGCCTTGATTGGCTCGTCCTGCAAGGCGTCCCGTGTCTTCCATCCATACCTGAGGTATCTACGGAGTAAGATGGCTGGGTTTGCCGCTGTCTACCTTGTCTATTACGATGAGTAGGTATCCCTACATCAGCACTAGATGGTAGATAGTAGATACTACTGTATACTAGATACTAGGTATTCTACCTAGGTAGAAGGTAAAGTATCTACCTAGAAGGTAAAGTATCTAAACAATTCCTACTAGGTAGTAGGTCTGACCCATCTATCCAAATATAACAGGTCCGTGCTCTATTCCTCCCCCCCACCCACCATCATTGTTCAGCTGGTACAGTTTCATACCTCCTCAGCTAGTAGTACCTGACCAAGAAAAAAGAAAGGAATAAGAAGAATGAGAACTAGACATGACATCATGGAATATCTTACTAGAGTACTTTGGTCAAGACCTTTTTGATGAATATTATATGATACAGTATCATAGTCTGATATGATATGAATGGATGAGATGAGATGAGATAAATATAATATGATGTGGATGAATCCTTCATGCCTGGCTCCGTTGGGATGAACACCCGGGGCAATACAAAGTATAACTGAACAAGGCAGGGCAAAGGGCAACGCAACTCTGGAGTGTCTGCCACCTGCACTTCCATCTGCCATTTACCGCCTGCTTGCCGCCTGCCTACCTACCTAGTAGGTACCCGTGCTGTAATGCCTCCTACCTATAGACTGAGCTACTCTCCACAAATGTACATGGATGCCCATCTAGAACAAGATCAATCAATAAATAATAAATAATAGATAATGATGATCCTGTGGCAACACAACTGCTCATATCTCCGAGCTCCGCCCCCACGGCGGTGGCAACCTATCGTCCCACCACCCCCCCCCGTCCTACTGGGCCAGGCATCTTCAAGGCAAATCATGTCACCAACATGACATCACCCGCGTATATACAGCCTCATCATCATAACTACCGACCTCGTGCGATAAACGGATGCTTCAGCGCCTCCGCCGCCGTGCATCGCTTCTCCGGGTTGAGGCTCAAACACCGGTCTAGCAGGTCCACAAACTGCCCCAGCTCTTTCACCTCGCTCTCCGTCATCCCCCGCGTGCCCTTCCCCAGTAGCCTCGTCTTCAGGTCGCGCGTCGGCTTCTTGAAGTCCACTATGCGCGTTACCAATCGTCCCGTGATCTTGTCTTCCTCGGTGCTGTGGAAGTTGAGCATCTCGTCAAAGTGCATCGGGGTCAGTGTCCCCCGCCGCAGGAGCTTGGGTGGGTACTTGCCCCGGCACTCCATGATCGACCGTAGCATTTGGTTGTTGTTGCGCCCTGTGAACAGGATTTTGCCCGTGTACAGCTCGAACAGCGTGCATCCGATCGACCACACGTCGATCGCGTGGTCGTAGGGGATCCCGAGCATGATCTCCGGCGCCCGGTAGAACCGGCTGACGAGGTACGGCGTGATTTCGTTCTCCGTGGTCGGCGACGCGGACCCCAGGTCGCACACCTTGAGCAAATTCCGTTGCTCGTTGACCAGGAGATTGTCGGGCTTGAGGTCCGCGTGCAGGATGTTGCACTTGCGCAGGAGGCTCAGCCCCAGGAAGATCTGCGACGCGTAGGCCCGAATCGCCCGCAGGTTCAGCCCGACGTCTCGCCCGAACTTCTTCAGCACCTCGCGCAGGTTCATGCTCAGATTCTCAAACACCATGCACAGGTGGCCCTTGTGGTCGAAGATCCGCTCGAATTTGATGATGTGTTTCTTGTCGCCCGGGTCCGCCTCGTGGAGCTGCTGCAGGATATCCACCTCTTTCATCCCCGCCTTGCGCATCGTGTCGTTTTGCCGGATGATCTTGATCGCGACCAGCCCTCCCGTTTTCGAGTCCGTCGCCCGCACTACAGATGAGAACATACCCTTGCCCAAGTTCTGCTGTACATGGTACCGTCCGTTGATCAACTCACCGAGACGCACATTGTAGTACCCTTCCGGATCATCCCAGTTGTCCAACATGCTGACATCCAGCTCTTGCGGCTGCGGCACTGCGGTTGCCGATGCATGCGTGGTCTCTTCCGTCTCCTCGGCGAACATGTCATCATCATCATCTTCCGCGAACATGTCGTACGGGTCTTTCGCTTTGGGCTTAGGCGGGGCCGGTGTATCCGGGAGCAGGATGTCCTGCTTGGCACCTTGCGTCTCGTCGTAGGCGGCAGCCGGGACATCCTGGTCATGTTTCTCCCTTTCAGCCTTCATATCCACCGTCGGGTCGTAGTCTGCTGCAGACGGTTCATCTTTGTCGCCGTCCACGGGCGCACCGTTGTTCATGAGGTCAGCATCAGTGCCGATGTTGAAATCCGCGAATATTTCCCCAGCGCTGTCATTTGGTGTCTGGGCGGCTGGGCTCTCTGTCAGGATGAAATCATTAGTACAATATCGTAGTGTGTAGGATCGTATGTGCCTACCCTGTGCACCGTTGGCCGTACTTATGTCAGTGCTAGGTGACTGAGAATCTCTATCGGTCTCGATGTTGAGTGCCTGTAAGCGCAAAGGCGTCGCCTGACTGCGGTATTTAGCTCGGATGGCCTCCCGTCGTTTACGACGGGCCTCTAGCTGATCCGCTTCGTCGATTGACTCCGGCTGCTGCTCTTCCGTCGATTGGCCCTGTACTCCATTTTCACTAGCAAGATATGTCAGCCAAGACCAAATTTGAATAACCTTGGCAAAAAACTCACCTATTTTCAACACGACTACTCCCTGAAGCATGCTGCACCTGATTCTTTTTCGTTTCAGTAACTTGTTTAGACTCTCGAGCGACGATTGGAGTGCTCCCTCGCTCGCTCACTAACTGTTCAGTGGATGTTCTCCTGGTATCCCGGGAAGCCACGGTCTCTCCCCTGTGGGAATCCCACTCATCACCGGAGTACTGCTTCGGCTTCCGCACTTCGCGGTAGGGGGAGCGGCTGCCCGTGCGAGCGCGCTTCTCTCTTCGTCGATCATGGTCGTCACTGTAACGGAGTCCTCCAACGTGATCTTCTTCCCGGTCGTAGTCGTGATAGGATCTCGGCGGCTGTCTGCGCGAATGGCCGCGATCATAGAAGCGGTGGTCGTCGTGGCGGCCGCCCGCGCGTCTGGGGGGCCGCCGATCGTCATAGTCATCGTCTCGGCGGCGCTTGTAGCCTCTGTAGTCACGATAGGGGGAGCGCGATCGCGACCGGGACCGGGTTCTCGACCGCCGACGGCGCGGCGACCTGCTCACCGAGGCGGGAGATCTGGATCTGGGCGCCGGAGAAGTGATACTGACTCTGGTGGGACGGTCAACGCTGCTGCCATTAAGAGGAAATTGCGACGTAGTTGCCTTCGTCTCCGAACCTGATTCGATGATCTCACCCTCGGAAGGGCTCGATGGAGATCTCGACCTGCGCGACGCCATGATGAAGCTTCACGGGGGCGCAGACAGATGGATGAATGAGTCAAGCAGGGGCAAGAATCACCTCGGAACACGGGAGGTTCTTGTGAGGCAACTTTAGATAAGATGGATGACTCCGGTTAGCCAGGAGAGTTCCGATGAGGAGATAGTAGGCAGGTGTAGTGAGAAAGTCCAACCGGCTGATTGCCACGGGCCTTGCTAGGATTAACCCGTTTTTGGGTCTCTCCCCCAACTCTAGTAGATTGAAGAAAGTACTAGCAGAGACAATTCGGTAGCAAGGAAAGGAATAACAATGTTGAAGAAAAAGGTTGATTGATAAAACACGACAAGAATGAGAAAGTCAAGACGAGACGAAGAGACAAGTGAGTCCCAAGGCGGTAACTTTGTTTAGCTCAGTCACGTCCTGTCCGGCCGGGCAGATTTCGCACTAGCGCCACACCCCGCATGATAAGCAGTTTTTTTTTCTCTCATTCCGATTCTTCTCTCTCACCCAACTTCACCTCTTCCCACTCTATACCCCGTTTATAATCTACAACCTGCACAATGGGCGGTCAAGGCAGAGAAGGTACGTCTCATTATTTCCCCACTACGCTCCAACACAGCCGTCCAGTCTGGATAATGTAACTAATCAATGTATACAGGCGGCAAGGTCAAGCCCCTCAAGGCTCCCAAGAAGGCCTCCAAGGACCTCGACGAGGATGAGATCGCCTTCAGAGAGAAGCAGAAGGCCGGTACGTCACACTTCCTTAACTATCCCTCTCAAAAACTTTCAACAAACACTAACGCATTTTGCTATACTAGACGCCAAGGCCAAGAAGGACATGGCCGACGCAGCCAAGGGCAAGAAGGGTCCCCTGAACACGGGCTCCCAGGGTATCAAGAAGTCGGGCAAGAAATAAACATGGAACCGAAGATCATGCGCGGAGTTTCTTTTTTAGTTTATGATACACAATACGAGCGATGATTCATGTGGATCCTTGAAGAGGGGTCCCGGTTTACCTACATCTATCCTGATACTTTTTCAACAGAGTAGTGTTATCTGTTTTCTTGATTATATTGCGTATAGGCATTCGTTCGGATTGTGGGGATGATTTAGATTGAGGGTCATGGGTTTGGTAAGGTCTTGTGTCTGGAGACTTGTCAGAATCTTTATCGGTACCGTACTGCTCCCTTGGACTTCATTATATGATAAACAGAATCGACTGTGTGTTCAGTGTTATGTTTCATAATACAGACTGAACGAGTTTATTACTACGAAGGCTAAATTTGAGTAGTCGCAAATCTGTTTGAGTCATATTCCAGGGTATATGAAAAGCTGATGGGCCCGCCAATAACAGAGCAAAGAAAAAGAAGAGAAGAAGAGAAGAAGAGAAGGAAAGGAAAGGGGAAAAAAGAAACGAGACAAAAGAGACAGACAAGAATGTCAAAGAATGTCAAGAGAAAATAAAAGGACGAGTGAAGAAAAAGAAAACATGGCATGACAAAAAGTCTCAAAACGACCAACAAATATGTCCCAAGTGAATCCTGTTCAGCTGGTTACTCTTTTGACCCACAGGCTGGTGCCTCCGCCGTAGAAATCCTGTTCGTCGCGTTTCTTCCACAACCGCAGGAGTTTCAGGCCAATCTCATGCTCCTCTCGCTTGATCTCGGCGAGTTCGGCGTTGAGACTGGCGACCGTCTTTTTGACTTCTTCCCGGGCCGCCATATCATAGTCGATGGAGCTGGGCTGGATGACCTGCGTCAGCTCGTGGATGATGGTGTCGATGTTCGCCTTGCGCCGTCCCAGCGTGCTCTGTCTGGCTTCCAGCAATTCCACGCGGTTCTCGACGGGCTGTTCGGGCGGACACACCGACGGCGCCCTGGTCGACGCCCCGTCGTCGGAGATCTGCGACGGCGTGGGCTTGCGGGTGGGCTTCATGCCCGGGGTATGAATGCTAGGGACGGGGCGTTTGCGGGACATGACCGAAGCTGCGAAGTTCTCGGTCGAGAGCGAAGCGGCGTCGATGCTATTCCTCAGACTCGCGGTTGCAGTGGAAGTGCCGCCCTCGGTGGGTTCGTATGTGGTGGCGCTGAATCGGCTGGTGGGTTCCCCGGCGTTGGCGTCGTTGGTCAGCTTCAGGGCCGCCAAGGTGATGGTCAGATCAGGCTCCGGGGCGGGTAGGTCAACGCGGGGCGGGGTACGGCTATGATGCACACTAGTCGGGGTGGGCTCTTCCTCGGACACCCGCGTCCGCTGAAGATCGCGGCTAGGCAGATGCTTTCCCGCGGCGGCGGTGTTGGCTTCGCCACCGGTGATGGTCGTGACCACGGTCGGCACCATGCCCAGGTACCCGAAATCAGGACCTGGGGAGGGCGTACTGCGATCTCTCATGCGATCATTGCTTCGCGATGGGCGCACACGTGATGATGCTGATCTTCCTAGTGGTTTCTCCTGTATTGGGTTGACTATCGGCGATCGCCCGCTAGCTCCCTTCCACGGCTCCCGCCCCATCTTGCTACGTGTCTCGGTCAGTCTTCTCTTCGCCTGGAGATGCTCTTTGCCCCAGCCCAGGATGCCTGATCCTGATGGTTTGGAGCCGAGTTGATTTGTCATATCGCGCGGATCCACCTGTCCGGGTCGACCGGCGTCGCTGGTTGTCGGCTCCCCCGAGAAAGCGTCCCATCTGGTATCATGGGCTCTCGCCGAAGGGTTAGGGGAGGGCCGTCCCGGCGCAGTAACGTCGGCATTGGAGGTGTGAGCGCGTCTGCGTAAGACGGGCAGGTTGCTGTTGAAGTTATTTCCCCCCTGCCCGCCATTCGGATTCGGGTCGTGCTCCATTGGGGACACCCGGCCATTGTCCATGCCTGGCCCATGACCAATAAAGTCTGGCGAGTCGGGAGGAGAGACGTCTCGGCCCGTACTGCCACTTCCGTATGTTTGATAGCCGACGGTCTTTGGGGCGGGAGGCAATTGGTGGTTTACACTGAAGGAACGCTGGCGAGGGGATTCCACCGTGATATCGTGCGAGTAGATGGAAGACGTGACGCGACGCTCTGGCACGGGCCGGAGTGGGGGAGAGGGTGTGTTTGCATGGTTGCTACTGATATCGGGTTAGCGACTCGGTTGACCTTGGATGACATCTGGTCGTGCTCACGGTGGTATAGAGGGAAGAGCTTTATCGGTTTTGGTGTTCGAGACGGAGGCGGCAGACTAAGAGATATCAATATGGTTACTGTAAACGAAGGCTATCTTTGCCAACGCGGGGATCTCCTTACCGGCTTCCGCGAACGATGAAACGAAACCTTTCCCCACATGATGAGAGTTCCGATTCTGTAAGGTAACCTTAATTGATCGACCGAAAGTCTCACGTAGATTGAAAGGGAGCGCGGTAAGGGATGGTTTAAGAGAAAGACAAATGGAGAAGAGAACGGATGGGATAGTCAGCGTGTCAAATACGATTCATGCAACGACCCGGTCTGCATGTCATGTAATTGGGCGTAGATGCACAAAGGGCTGTGGGCTGACAGACAAAGGGAAAAGAAAAGAAGAAGAAAAAGTAAAAAGTAAGAGTAAGAGTAAAAGAAAAGAAATGTGAAAAGAGGGGATCAAAACAAGGATCTGGTAGGAACAGAGCCTGGCACAGCCAACAACCCGTCTTGGAAAGTAATGAAGAAATGAAGGAATGAAGATGACAACCAGTGACGTGAGAACAAATCAATCATATAAATGAATTGAGCGAACCGATGGGGCCGTGAAGCATCTAAATAAAGTCGGCCAGCTGGGTGGAGGGGGCAGAGCTCGGACACCCGGGCACCGGAGGGGCCACTGAGGCACAGCCAGAAGTAAGATGAAGGACCCTGTTTCAAATGAGCGAATAACCTGATTGTCCTGCTGGGGTGCTGGGCATCTGTTCATCCAAATTTCAATTCCTTCAATGGGGGCGAGTTAGTCGGGCATTAGGCTCATTTAGCAATCAAACCGGTCGACGCGGGTCAGTTAGTTCGGTGGGTTGATCCTGATGGACCGAGGAACCCGGTTCATCAAAGGAGTTGTCCTGTTACTTGTTTCAAGACTGTAGATTGACTTAAGACCAGTCAATCAAGTTAATCAATATCTGATCCTTCCAGGAATCGTCAGGAACATGGAGATCCGATAACCTTCCATTGTGTCGACGGAATCCTCGAGCTAAATGAATTTCCCAGGAAGGAAAGCCGCTAGAAAATGGAAATCCGGTGGAACTGTTTCAGGCCGGCCTTAGTGCCTGAGCGTATATATAGAACGGGCTAGGCCAATCAGCGTTAGTTCTCCGACACGACAGCCTGCCTTGACAATGAGGTGTCCATCATATCACATGACGTATCGCCATCCGCTTACTCACCACGTCAACTGGCCAAACTGAACTCCGCAGTTCCCGCCTTGATAACCGTTGACGATCTGATCGATATCATCCAGCATATCTCTTGTATCGTGGGACTTCACTGAAATCCGTGCCTTGAGATTTGTGAACTACTATCATGTCTTCATCAGGTACGCTTAACCCTATCTTCTTCCAACAACCAACCAAACTAGTTACTAACACCTTCATCATCTAGACAGTGCCGAGGTGTAAGAGCTCCTCTATACCCGACCAACCCAGAAGTCAAAAAGAAAACCCTATTCTAAACTCAGAAAAACAACAGAATGTCTATCGCGACCCCCATCAACCTTGTTCTTCTCTCCCTCTTCGTCGTCACCGTATACCTCCAACTCCGCCCCAAGACCCCCGCCGCCCTCCCCAGGAGCCCCCTCCCGTCGTCTTCCGCGTCTTCACCCCGACCACTCTGCTCGAGTTCAACGGCCAGGATGATAAGCCCGTGTATCTGGCTGTGCGTGGGCGCGTGTTTGACGTGACTCCTGGTCGGAACTTTTATGGACCGGTATGTTTATCCTCCTACCTACCTACCTACCTACCTACCTACGATCTACCTTCATGTATATGTTACATACACAAACACCACCAGTCTCAGTGGAAAGGGAAAATACACCCAAATGAATGAAAATGAAAAGAGAAAAGCTAAATTTATGAAAGGGTGGCCCATACGAGAACTTCGCCGGCCGGGACGCCTCGCGCGGTCTCGCCCACCAGAGCTTCGACCTGGAGATGCTCACCGAGGACCTGAAGGGACCTCTCGACGACCTCAAGGACCTCGACGCCGATCAGCTGGAGAACCTTCAGGGGTGGGAGGAGCGCTTCTTGGAGAAGTATCTTGTTGTGGGGAAGTTGGTTGCTGAGGGGGATGCGGAGGCGCCGAAGTCGTGAGGCTTTCCCTTTGTTTATGGATGATGTGGTGTATGGATGGATGGGGTTGTGATGGTTGAATGTTGCAGTGTGATGGGTAGGTACCTAGGAAGGGTAGTGTTTTGTGGATGGCTGCTCGCAGACGGATAGTTGGACCGTTAGGTTGTGTATGGGGTGGATGAAGGATGAGGTGTGAGCTATTCCTGAGATGTGATTTATGAAGGCCTTGTATTTGGCTTTATCTTTTTCTTTGCCTTGTCTTGTTTCCTGCTGGGCTACTTGAGGGTTTTCAGACCTACTGGGTCGTTGTTTCATGTGCCATTGCACATACGGGGTAAATACATCGCATTTGACATATTGAGAGGATGACATACACTGGACATCTACCCACAAGCAAATAACACATCCACAAATAATTACATTAAACTAAAGCAAATGAATTATGCCCGCCAGTGATTAGAAAATACATATTCATTCGCAAATACCTTTTAAATAAACATCCACTAATAATACACCCTAGAACAACATACTAGGCCTAGGGCAACAACCCATCCGAAGCCCAAACCATTAAACAAAACAAAGAAACCGAAATAAAACAACAAAGCAAAAAGTAAACGTAAGTAAGTTCAACTTCACATCATATCATATCACATCACCCCAATTTACAACTCAAGCTTCTCCGACGCCTCAGCCGCCGTATCCCTCACCTTCTCGGCAGCCTCCTGGCCCTGCGCGCGGCCACTCGACGCGCCAATCTTCAGCTGATCCATAACCCACTGCGTCAGGCCCTCCAGCTTCTCGTAGATGATGCCGCGCGGGTGCGTCGTGCCGTACTGGAAGAATTGCGAGTTCTGGCGCGCGGTCGCGCGCAGCTGGTTGGCGGTCGAGCCCTGGTAGACGGGGATGCCGTAGGAGTCGAGATACTTTTTGAGGTCGGACTGCGACCAAGTGTCGAAGGTTGAGGCCTTGGCTGCATCGGTGGCTTGTGCCATGTAGGAGGTGACCGATGCGAGCTGGGTGTTGCCGGCCTTGGAGGCTTTGTTGTAGCTGTCTTGGGCGAGCTTGACGAGTTCGTCGCGGGTGATGTCTGCGCGGTGGGAGACCTTGGAGTTGATAGAGGAGAGGTATTTCCTGTGATGGGTTAGATTGATAGGGTTCATGAGTCTAAAGAGGGGGGGCGTACTTCAGGTTCTCCGTGTCCCAGGTGTCAAAGGTCCAGGCACTCCAGCCAGTCGCGGCCTTGTGCTTGTACAGTCTCACCAGGGAGAGCAGCTCATCGCGCTTGTTGGTCTGCGGCACGGGCACGCCGCGGGCATCTAGGAAGGCCTTGAGGCGGGAGTCAGACCACGCCGCTGTCGCAGCATCGAATGCATCCTCATATTTCATCTCGGCATCCTCGGTTGCGCGAGCGAATTCGTTGCCGGCCCTGGTGGTAGCCGCACCGATGAAATCGGTGGCGGTGACAGAGGCTGTCGAAGCCTGGCTCAGCAGGGAAGCGCGGTGCTTCCTGGCCAGAGCGATGAGCTCATTGCGCATGGAGCCCTGGGGAACCCTGACTCCATGCTCGTCGAGGAACTTCTTCAGGTCGGTGTCGGACCACGCGTTGATCAGGGCTTCACTGAGGGAGGCTTGAGCTGCTTCCGCCGAGGCGGACGCGGCGGCCGCGATGGTACGCGCCTGGACACTGGCGAGACGGGCGTTGCGACGCACGGCCGCGATCAGCTTGTCGCGGGTGGTGGGCTGAGGCACTGGCCATCCGCGCTCGTCCAGCCACAGTTTCAAGTCCGAATCGGACCAATGCTCGTAGAGCCAGTTGCCGGGGTAGTAGGTTGCCTCTCCGAGCTTCTTCCCGATGCCCTCGTAGTTCTCACGGGCGGTCTTGAGGAGAACGTCGCGTTTGCGCGGCTGCGGGCAGGGAACGCCATGACGATCCAGGAACGACTTGATCTGGGAGTCGGTCCAGCTGTTCGAGTGTCAGAATATTGTACCACAAGGTACTGTGGTTCTGTGGTTCTGTGAGGCCACTCACGAATCAAAGATCCAATCTCTCACGCTGTGGATCTGGTCGGCGGTGTGATCGGTCACCTGCGTAAGGGGCTTCTGCACCTTGTCTTCCCAGTTCGTTTTCACCAAGCTCTCCAGGTCCCTGCGGTTTGCAGGCGACGGGTGTGGAATGTCTGATGCCTTGTTAGCTTTTCCCAGATGAATGGAATATTCTGAGGATGAGCTGACCGTGGTCTGAGAGCCATCGTTCCAGCTCCGTCTCATGCCATCGATTGTACACTAGAATAGAATCCTCATCAGTCTGTGTCCCAGTCCAAATGGACGATGTCGAGCACTTACCAGCCTTACTAAACCAGCTCGAAGCCCCAACCGCCTCAGTGGCAGCCAGAGCCAGCACGAAGTACGAGCCCAAGTGCAGCTTCATTTTGATATGTGGGAGGTCTTCTGTTGTCCCTTCCCAGGCGAATGTTTTGCTGTCGAAATTCCAATTATTAGAGCAAGTGTTGATAAGTCAATTTTGAATCTTGACCACCAGAAAACCTTGTTCGAAGTCAAGAGGATGATTTATAGCGTGGTGGAGGTCTGATGTTGATGGAACAAGGAATGCAGGGTATAAAGTAGTAGTAATGATCACCGAGTGACGTAGTGGCCGCTTGCTGGCCGGCCATCACTGGCGTCATCGACCAGACCAGGCCTTGCTCAGTGCCATTGCTTGTCTGCCGGCTCGTCACGTAATTCCACTGGGGAATAGAGTTCCCATGCTTCCAATCAACGGGATTTAAATCATCCTTGGGGAGAATTTGGATTCAAACCTTGGAGATCCAACCATAGATACAGCGACACCTCAAGATGCAGGTGTCAAATAGTGCGATCATAACATAGAGCATAACAGTCAGTACCCTTTGGGCAGATATGCCGATCTAACCAGGTATGGTTAGCGTGTACATCAATACACTAGACCCAAAAAAGCTAGGTCGATCATGTGGGTTTGCCTCTTTTGTGGATGCGGAGACGCCTGAGGTGCCTTACGGACTGCTATCTTAGGCATCTTATCGCCGACTGACCTGTCGTGCTCCATCATCATCATCATCATCTCCATGCCAGTCGCCAACCATCTCCTCCCCCTTCCCCTTCTCGCTCATTGCAGCCCGATGTCAAAATCAGCAAGGAGAGTGAGATGAGTGGTGTGAACAAAGGTAGATAGTTGATGGTCTACAGGAGTCTCGACTTGCATGTTGATGTGTTTGCACAGCTCCAGCAACCAGCATACATTCCACAGCGCCTCTCTCCATACCCGCTCTCCTGTCACAAGAATTCTTTTTTGTTTCGCTTTCTTTGGCCTGTTGGATGTCCTACTTGGTCAGCAGCCCAGCAGGAATCTGGCAGCTATAAAGTCCTCTTGACCCCGTTCCTAGGTGAACAGTCCTTGATTGCAATCCGTGGTGTCTGGCTTGTCTGTGCCTGGGGCAGAGACTCCCCCCTTCTCAAACAAGATGGATACCCTTGTTGCACAATGCAGTCATCTAGTGTCGCCAGGATATAAAAACTTCATTCTCTCCATGTATGGACGCCCTCGCCCGTCTGTCGTCCTACAGCGCTAATCTCCATCCAGCTTGATCATCTTCGGGATCCTCTTCTCCTACATCCCCCAACACCACCGCATCATCACCCTCAAAAGCTCCTTCGGAATCTCCCCGTACTTTGTCCTGCTGGGCACCACGTCCGGCTCGGCGGCCGTGGCCAACGTGGTGTCCCAGGAACAAAGCCTACAGGATATGGCCTGCTGCTCGAATGTCAGCGGATTCTCCTGTTTCGCAGGCCTCCTGGGGATCTTCCAGGTGGCAACCCAGTGTCTCTGCTTCTTCACCATGTAAGTCTCACCCTCCGCCTCTATAATCCCTGCCATCCACCACACAACCAATTACACGATCCAGGATCTAACAACCTGTCTCACATGCAGTCTCTTCCTCTTCACCTTTTACTTCCCCAGAGAATACCCCGAACCCGCGCAAGTCACCCCAGGATACCCCAAGCCCAGCCGGGGCCCCACCTACCGCACCGCCCTGGTCGTCTGCGCCATCTGCATCCTGCACGCAGCCGCCATGCTGATCACCACACTCGCCGTCGGTCTGAAGCAGCCCTCCGCCCTCCAGTCCTGGTCCAACTTCTGCGGCATCCAAGCCGCCGTCCTCGCCTCGATCCAGTACTTCCCCCAGATCTGGACCACCCTGCGACTCCGCTGCGTCGGCAGCCTCAGCATCCCCATGATGTGCATCCAAACACCCGGCAGTCTCGTCTGGGCCGGCAGCCTCGCTGCCAGACTGGGCACCAAGGGCTGGAGCACGTGGGGCGTGCTGATCGTGACGGCTTGTCTGCAGGGCACGCTGCTGGTGCTGGGCATATTCTTCGAATACCTCGGTCCGAACAAGGGCCATGCGCACCACGGTGGAAAGGACACGACGCAGGATGTCGAAGCCGAGGAGGATGATGATGATGATGTTGGTGATGGCGTTGAGGAGGAGGAGCAGCCGTCCGAAGAGACGCCGCTATTGCGCGATCGGTGATTCTGCCAAGCGTATTGCTGTTTTGGAAGAGCTGGAATAGTCTCTCCAATGGTTTCTGAGAGCGTATATATGATATATGTACTGGAATGTGTATGCCTACCTTTTCTTTTCATGTTTAGCGTGATGAGCATGTGTTACTCATCTGCTGGTTAGAACCTGTTTGTTTCATGGTAGTGTTAGTCGTTAGATGCAAGGAATGAGATGAGGTGCTGCAGTGCGGTATGCTACTAGGCCTCAGTCATCCTGTCAGTGATATAAAGAGAGCAAAGGGGACAAAAAGGATCCGGTCATGGTTATGGATGGAAACGGGTAAAGAGGGGTGTGTTAGTAAAGATACATAAATGCATCAGATGGGATAGATCTGGATCTAGATGTTCATTCAACTGGGAAAACAAACTCAAGCGGAAATTTCAAAGAGGGAGGGAAGCGAAGCCGTACACTACGGAAACGAAAAGTGATCCGGTAATTTCTCCCCATGTCCCCCCCCCCACCTGGTATTCATTATCTTCATTACATCACACGCATAGATCGCTCCCAATCAGTCATATTGCCAAACTATCCCACCTGCTTGCTAAACCCGGGAGAATCGATTGACTGCTCCGGACAACTCGCCGCGGAGTCCAGTCCAATACCTCCATGTCCTAAGGTTTCCACATTTATGCGGCGGAGTAGATCAGACGGAAGACGTCGTTGAAGACGAAGTAGCTGCCCGCGCCGTCGGGGAGCAGCTGGAAGCTCTGGCCGTAGTTCATGGGCTTCTGTTCCTCGTCGACCTGCATGATCGGTTAGTACCGTGGCTGTTTGACAGTAGGCTCCTCCAGAGTAGATTCTCTTCATGAGGAGAGATGGGGTGGGCATACCAGGAGAGCACCGGTCACCAGGACCAGAATACCACCCTCGGCGTTCGAGGGCTGCGCGTCAAAGGTCGAGACCTGGTGCTGGACTTTTTGGAAGGGGAGAGACTGCCGCGGGCGCAATCAGCATTTATTCCATTCCGTTTCTTTATTTTTATTATGAAGGGGAAACGAACCGACAGCTTCTCGATGATAGCAGCAGTACCCTGGACGGAGGAGGTCTCGAAGGTGAGCATCGAGTGGTCGCGCTATAAGACGAACAAAAAGCAAACGTTAGTCAACCATATTCGCTATGTACCGTCGCGCTATGCTATGCGCCATGGCGTAGACATATAGGAGAGGGAGTCCAGGGACATACGTAGAGACCAGCGAGGTTTTCGCGGTTGTTGTCAAACGTCTGGTAGTAAAACGTGACGAACTGCTCTGTTTGTGACAGACACAGGTTAGTATGGTGGACAGGCCGACCGCGAGGCTATTTGGAACAGAGAGAGGGGTCATGGAGTCGCTATGCGGTGTCGCGCGTACGACCGGTATCTGCGAGGGGAGGGATCAAATCACGTACGGGCAATCTCGGAGAAGTCTAGTTGTTGCAGAGAAAAAGACACGGTCAGTTATGGGTTCTTGAAAAGCGCTCGCTGTCTCTCGTTGTTTGATTCCGGATGCGCGCCCGGTCCAAGGAGGGGTAGCCGGGTACAGGCTGCAGGAGACTATCGTGGGAAGGGGAGTAACTTACTAGACATTTTGATGGTGGATGTTCGCAAAGAACAGATAGACTGGGTATAGGAGGGGATAAGAAGGTATTTCGAGGGATGTGGTGATAGTTCTGGGGAAGAGAAGGAGAGAAGGAGAACAGGAGGGGCGATATCAAAACATCCCCGAAAGGCTTTCAGATTCTGTGGGGCGGAGGGCGGCCCTTTGCCTATCCCGCCCTGCCGCTTGCCTGAGGCCGGTTTGGCACCATTCTAGTTAAGGCACCCATCTATACTAATACTACGGAGTACAGTGGTAGCTTGTGGACTAATAGTAATCGTCGTAAAATGGTATCATATATTTCCTACTGTCGCTATGCTGTAGCCCAACGGTAACCCCCCACATCCACATCCATCACTCGATCCGTCAATCGGAGTCCGAATCCGCAAACATATCCTCTGCCCTGGGTCGCGGTTTGCGGCCTGGCGGTCGTGAGTCCGACTGCGCGGGTGGTTCCGACTGCTCCGGTTGCTTTTCTGGCTGCGGAGGTTGCTGCTGCGGTTGTTCATCAGAGCTTTCATACTCCATGGGGTCGCCATCCAGAGGCTCCAGATCGCTATCCTCCATAGGCTCCCCGTCGATATCGCTCATGGGCCCACCATCCCAGCCCTCCTCGCCTGCAGGGACCATTTCAGGCTGGTCTATATCCATGCGAGAACGATGCGATTCTGCGCTCGGCTCGAACTTGGACGCCGCATCCTCTTCCACGGCCTTCCAACGATTCTTGGCTTTGAAAGCCGCCGCGGAAACCCGTTCCGCTTCGGCCTTCTCCCGCTCCTCCTGTTCTTCTTCTTCCGTGAGCGGAGGCTTGTCGAAGACCTGGAAAAAGTGCTCTTGACTCGACTGCGGGAAGACACACCACCCTTCCCACATGTGCAGGAGAGACCCGACGCTGCGCTTCCATTTCTCGGCCTTGAGACGACCCCAGCTGAATTCTTTCTCGAGCCTCCCGAGGTGCTCGAATACCCGGTGGGCTTTGAGCGCGGATTCGAACAGCTGTCTGTACCGCCAGGCGTGGCGCACGCCGCTGGTGGCAGAGGATGAAAGTATATCGGAGATGAGATAAAGACCAATCAATTTGCACGATGATGTGTCAAGGGGCTTCAAGGCTGCACGGCCTTCCTCTGTCGGGTTGTCGTTTGAAGCCTGCTCGCGCCGGGCAAGCCCCTTCTCCACTTCGCGGTCAGGATTGGCCCCGGTGTAAACAAACGGGTCCAGGATATCAGAGACGATCATCTCTACGACTTCGTCGGCGCCTGCTCCTGCATGTCCGATTGCAAACGCAGTGACCCGTGCGACATCACCCTTCCGGAGTTTGGCGTGGGTGGTTGGCAGTCGAGCGAGAAGATGAGCGAGCTTGGCTTTCTGGAGAGGATTCATGTACCCCAGTCCTTCGTTTCCGGTAGCCATTGCTTCTGCTGCCGCTCCACCCTGCTGCTTTCTGTCGTCTTCGCCATCCGAGATATCTTCGTCCGAAGAGTCGTAGTCCTCGTCTGATACGAACTCGTCCAGACGGGTAGTGTACTCGAACTTGATATTCGATTCTGGCGGGGTCCAGCTGGGTCCACCCTCGAATATCAGTGCGGGATCCCGAGGTTTCCCTCTGCCGGATCTTCGCCCCGCGGCGTTGGTGAGCACTTCCCATAACTTCCAACGGTAGTACACGCCGCCTGGGCTTCTTGCGTCCCAGATCCACGCCCACTTCTCCTCCCCCTGCACCTCCGGCCGACTCATGAGGAGGGCTTCAAATTCCGGACCATAGTTTAACAGATTCTCCAGTGTTTTGTGAATCAACCTCAGTTGCTTGATGTCCGACGGTGTTTTGACTTCGACCTGCGTCGCAGGGGTGTTCCGACCGTAACCTGGACCGTATGAGCTCGGGGGCGCAAATCCGCCACGATGCAAGCCAGGGGGCGGAGCACGATTCAGTCGGCCCCCGACTTCAGGTACAATATTCTTAGCACCAAAAGGCAGCGAGCTTGTGGATGACAGGCCAACAGTGACCGGCATCGCCGAGCTGATCGCGGCAGAAGAAAGATGCCTCGAAATTGACAAGTAGAATCCCCATCCTAGGTATCGGTTCTGGAGCCCACTGACAGTGCTGTCAATATCCGAAGCTGCAGACTCGTTGGCGAGGGTCACAATGGCGGATACCGATTTTCGGTCGGTCGACGGTTGGTTCTGGGGACGGAGGATCTTCACATTATCGACGGACAGGACAGGCGGAATCAAAGTCTTGATCACGGACGGAGAAGTCCCTGGAGGTAATGAGGCAAGATATAGGGTCGGTTTGGCCGCAGCCCGTTCTGCCTCCTTCGTATCGACAGCGGTCGTATCTTCATCATCATCCGTAGCGCGAAACGCCGAAGCGGCCTGCGGCGAAACCGTACCAAGATTATCTAGACCTAGTACGCCATGAGTAGAATGTTGATTTCGAGACAACGGCTGGAACCCTTCATGGGTGCGCTTGCGGGCCAACGACGGCGGAGGAGGCCCTAGGCTGCCAGGGCCGCTCATGCGCGGACCAGAGCTGGTGAAATGCCGTCTCGGGGGACCACCTCCAAAGCCTGCCGGTCTACCCCCAAACTTCATCCCCCTGGCATCCGGCATGCCCTGATCCTGCCCTGTAGTGTCATCTTCGAACGATTTGACGAAGTCTTCGTAGACGGCGGCGGTTTCAGCTTGTTCGCGGGCGCGCTTGGCTTCGGCTTCGGCTTTCTGGCGTTCGAAGAAGGATTTTTTAGGGATTGCGGATAGCTTCGCGGAGATGTCGGGGAAGGCTTTCGGTTTCTGGTCGTCGGGCATGGCGAGGGAGCTGCTCCTGCAGCGATAGGTTGCCTTGGAGGATGGGAGAGCCGTTGAGCATCTGGATGATTTGGCGGAGGTGCGGGAAAGCGAGAGGTCGGAGCATGGAAGATCATGTGGCCTCAGGCAACAACCCGGAGTTCGGTCTGTATACGACGACGGTCTTTGTCCTCAATAACACATTTCTCTACGTTTTTACTCCCTACCATTTGGTTCATTCGGGCGTATAATGCTAGAACGACTGGAAGTTGTTCATGGAAAATTGACGTAATGCCGTATACGCTTTCTATCACAAGATACGAACGGTCAATCTATGGCTCAACGGCAAGGCAACATAAACCCAGAAGGTCGGCCTTACTGGGGTAATTGCCTTGAATGATTTTATGATTGGTGCAACGAATAATTCCTAGTCTCTACAGCTCAAAACCGTTGTCAGGTACAACACTCTAAACTGCCTAAGATATTCCAAGAGTTGTTCCGCAAAGCAAGTATTGACTGCCGCTAAGAGTTGGACCTTCCCCTCAAAAGACATGGAGAACCAGCCCGCAGAAAGACTGGGACATCCAAAACAGACGAAACCATGTTTCCATCTGATGCAATGATTCTCCTAGTCACTGCTGGGCGCGCTTGTACTAGCACACGCGGATTGTGTTTTACGGTATACTATGTCTGAGCAGCCTAGTTCCAGTGGGTTATGTCTCGCAATGACTATCATCAGTGCCAATAGCCGTGGGATGTCAAGCCCTTGAAGGAATAGGTCATGATCCTTAGGAGAGCCGGTCATCAGATGAAAATTTCACAGACAGGTGATAAGACTACTCCTCACTCGGACTGTCAACGCATCGGAGTGAGTCAGGCGGCACTCCGTCGGTATGGGGCATTATTCCGTCGGCACTTGGCCAAGTTTGAAGATCGCTGAACAAGCAGATAGAGCTCTGACAAGGCATACGCTTGAATCGGCATTGTCTTATCTGTTTAAGTCATTCGCAGAGATATCGAGGGATAAGGGAGACTCCTGGGTATCGCCAGAGAAGGGGTTTCTAGGCATGGATATGGTATTTGTTGGTTCGACCAACCGTCCGGAGTGGAGTAGAGGGATAACTTTGGCACAGCATCGAAGTAAGAAAAACACTACACGGAAAATCTCGTACATCCATGGGCTTGTTGCACGATTTATTCAAATTGGAAGTACTCGGTACTTTGAATGGTGCAGACGCGATACAACCCCGTTATCAGTATTGAAACCCAAGGATTAGGGTAGATCTCCCTCATCGCGTCGAGACCTGCAATGCCAGCACAGTGGGGTCAACTATCGCCGAATCATTGACCAGAATTGCGTGTCCTGCATGAACATTCCCATCGTCCTCTGGAGTCCGATCGGACTTTGACGATCCAAGGGTTATCAAGTGGCGCTTGAAAAGCGCATCACCACACTTTGAACGGAAGGTTTCAATATCTATCAAATCCTCCGTGCACACAATCCGATTGTCTCTTGCCGTGATCCACGAGAGACCGGATCCATTGCGATGGTTCGACAGGGCCGATCAGATCGGACGGTATATCCTCATTGGAGAAACAACATCAGGCATGATTTGAGACGAGTGGAGATCGGATTTCCAGTACTGGCCCCCCCACCGCTGCGGCGAACAAAACCTGAATTGTGACGATCCTGGAGTGTCTAGAACCGAACGGGGACTAGTCCTTGAAAGGAGCCCAGCACGACCCCATCTTCGGTACCAATGTTGAACTATTCCGACGGGACGAACTGTTTCGTCTGATGTTTGCCTGTTGGTATCAGTTCAGGTTTATTACTGATTACATAGGGATTGTTGTGTCTAGTTTGTTGGTGGTTCTTTTTAGGCTGGATTGATGAAGGAACACCAAGCTATCCTGACCCCTGTCAGGTACCTTGATCTACTTTATGATTAAGATATTGATTCTAGTCTTTTCAATGTCAATTTGGGTTTTTCTTATTCATTTTATTTTTTGAAGTTTTCTTCTATTTTAGTTATCAGATTTATCTTCCATTTCTATCTTTTGTGCTGTACTTTGGACAGTCTATTTCCTTGGCAATCCATATCTCTGCAAGGTGGTCAGCCCGATTCCGGGGAATAATATTCGTAGTCTTCTTTTCAGCTTTCTTTTTAAAAAAAGAAAAGATAAAATGGAAGGCAAAAAAAATCAGACAGATATACCAATCACACTGGCAAACAAGCCCATCTCGGGAGTCTTGCCAATGGTCGAATGCATCCATGACCTGAGCTGCATTGCAGGTAGATCAGTAGTATTTGCTGAGAGTACCCACCAACCTCTACTATACTTCATCGTCGTAGTAGGAGTACGAACGATACTTTCTGTTCTTGCCTATCATTACCACCCTGATCTTCCAGTCGAATGACTCCAAGCTGTCTGCCTGTCCGGATCCGGTCTGATGAGATTTCCTATCTGGTAATTTACCCGGTTAATGCTATTGTTCACATCCAGGACCTTTGGTTTGGGAGGGGCCCGGAGTTCGAATGGAATTCACCGGTCTAGGTTAAGCGCGGGAAATAATTCGAACAGTTAGTTGGCCACTAGTTTTTTCTCTTTGCCTTCTTCTCCTTGTTATGGGGCAGTTGGTACTAGGCTAGTATAGTAGGTATTGTTTGGATCTGGGTTAATTACTTGCAGTTAGTATACAGAGTATACGTTCTCTGGAATCCAATCAAATAAATCTTGTATACTCGGTCAACTGGTGGAAATACACCATAGTACCATATAATAAATTAGATTGGACCAACAAGAGTAATGAAATCAGTGTCATGCATATAGTGTTGAACGTTGATAACAGCCCTTGTTTATAGTTCGATCGGGTGACGGAGTCCATGTATAGCACCCCATCCTATCATTCAATTCCACTGAGAATTAACCCCCATACGGATGGATAGATACAACAATCTAATGGAAATCCACCGACTTTGACGCCAAGAATGTTGTTCTGACGAAGGTGGCATCATGATCGAACTCTCATAGGTACTGCTGGCCGCGGCGTTTCAGCACTTTCGCGTGGTTCTCAGTCTGTGCAGCCGAGGGTGTGTAGTCCGGCATCCCATTGTTTCATGAACGCAAGGGAGTGGAGGTTGGCAAAGAGACGAATACTACGAAAGAGGAGAGAGTACACTTGCCTTTCTACATACCAACAAAATATACGACTCTGTATCAGGTAGTAATCGCCATTAACTGGGTTCGTCCATGGGTGGCGAGGCGCAGCAGCTTACTGGCTTACTTCCTTGGTACGACATACCCTGTTGTTACATGACTGGTTATGTTCCGTCACTGTATTTGATACCTAATCATGATACTGTCAGGCCAACCCTTTGGTATCACTAATTGGCTCCTGCGTTAATGGTCACTCAGGTGACAACGACCAGCGGGAATATTGATACTCAACTGTCATTACCAATACCAAATACCACAACCGCTGACCTTACCTGACCCATACGGACGGCTGTCTCTCCCTCTCAGGCTCTCAACTTCTCTCTCTCCAGCCAGTCCTGACCTCTCAAATTCACTCATCCTTCTTTCCCCCATCTTATGATTCTCCTCTCCTTCTCTTCAGTCTCATCTCCTTCTCCCCATCTTATCCCCCCTACGGATTGTTCATCAGTTTGAACCCTCGTCGGGTTTGATCTTCGCTCCTTAATCTCTTCTCTCGCTTTTCTTCTTGGGAGACTTGACCTTCATTCCAGCGTTTCCTCGTCCTCCCCTTCCACACACCCCCTCTCTTCGCTGTGTGCCTAAGGATTTCAGTCGACCCAGGTGACTGATCCCCCGACCGCTCTACCCGGATTGATTGAGCAAGGAACAAGAAAGAGGCCCGGAAAGGGCTGTCCCACCGCCATGTCGGGGCGTCACTCATCCAACCATTCTCGTTCCTTATCTTCTTTTTCCTCTGGCTCTCCATCGCAATCGCATCCTTCCACCCCCGAAACCGACTCGATGCATCGTCGCTCCGGCTCAGGTCGCTCCTCAAACCCCAACGTCTTCTCGGATGAATACTCGCTGGAACCGATCGATTCCGAACAGTCCACCCTGACGCCGGAAGCCCGAAGCCCGTCCATCTCCTCGATCGCCTCGTCCAACACGCTCCGAGGGTCGCTACGCCAGCAAGGGAAACCGTATGGCACCGTGCCGACCGATGCGGAAACGACAGAGAACCCGTTTGGGGATGACGCTCGACTCTCCGATGAAGATGCCACCCGATCGAGCCTCCCCCAGAAGGGGTACGATGTGACCAACCGCAACTCCATCGCCTCCACCAATACCGCCCCGTCCATGACGCAACGGAGTCAGAGTACCTCGTCTCGCTTCTCGATGCCTCCCCGGGCCTTGAGTCCCTACACGGGGGCGACCGGCCCCAGTCATCCCTACGCCATGTACCCTCAGGTGGGTGTCAGCCGATCGCCCAGCGTCACGACAACGTCGACCATCCGGCCGCCAGATCGACCGTTGGGAGACGCGAACGCACCCCAGCACCCTTACGCCATGTACCCGCAAAACGTGGTTCCCGAGGAGGGCATCGAAACCCCGCCGGTCATCCCGCTTGGATTCCCCGGTCACATCCAGACCTATCAGCGGCCGTCCGGTCGCGCCGACGACGATGTAGGGGACCTTGTGGGGCCCGATGGCCACCTCGAACAACTACCGCCCTACTCACGCTACCCGGATGTCGCAGCACCGAAGATCGAAGGGCAAGTTGATTCCACGAACGACGCGGGCGTCGTTCCAGATGAGAACAGCACCAACGGCCCTACGGCGATTCCGGTGTCCGAGGTATCCTCGAGAACCTTGGTGACCGAAACGGCGGCGTTGCAGACGGAGAGCCAACGCCAGAGCCAGTCATCGGATCGTCCTCCGGCGACCGGCGTAATGGCTTTTGAAGAGAAACTGAAGAGCAAGGGTAAGAAGAAAGCGTGCTGCGGGCTTCCTGTGTGGACATTGATCCTGGTGGGAGTAATCATGCTGGTCGGGGCGTGCATTGGAGGCGTTATCGGGGGCGTCTTGGGGGCGAAAAAGGCGGCAGAGGAAGAAAACGAGAAGGATGATGGACCGAACATTGTCACCGTGACTACGACGCCCAAGATGGACGCTACGCCGATATCGACGATCCCCGCGAACCTGAAATCGGCGCCCACCGGGCAGTTCGTGATCCCGGCGGTGAACAACAATCAATCGAAATTCTGCGTCGTCGAGTCTGACTACCGACCGGCCTGGCGATGCATGGAGTCGGGCAAGATCCCCATTTCCGTCGAGGGCACGGATACCGACCGCTCGATTAGCTTTGAGAACGAAGTGTTTTCTCCGTCGTTCACTTACGGTGCCCAGGCACCGTTATTCGCTCCTTCCACGCAGTCTCTTCGCCTGATGATGGACGGCAGCGATCTTAGCCTGGGACCCGCCCTGACTTTCTTCGGCTTGTTTGATAAGTTGGTGATTCTGCCGCAGGATACATTCTCCACTGATGTGGCCACGAAGCGGTCAGTCTCTGAAAGGGATGTTATGGTCAATACTGTCCAGCGTAGACAGGCGTCCGAAGCTGGAGATCGGCCATGGTTCTGTTGGTGGAATAGCACGATGATGGAGTTCTTCCTCTACCTGAACGAAACTTCCCGGGACGCCCAGCAGGGCTCCACGATGTCGCTGGCCAGCGGCGCCGAGGCCACACCCGTCTCCGACTCCGGCAAATCGAGGCGGGATGTCTCGGTGCCCTACTATCCTCGACGCATCAAGATGTCGGAAAAGCGGGACTACCCCGAGGCACCGTCTCCGTACTGTGAGCAGATGCAGGTGATGGACAACGGCTCTCTGTCAGCGGTCTCTGATACGACGATCAAGATCAAGGAGCTTGAACCCACCCCGACGACGACGGTTGGGGGTATTGGAAGCTCTACGCAGACGTACACCGCCATGGCACAATATGAAAGCGTGTGTTATTGCGCGTCGTTGACCGACTAGGCCGGAACTCCCCACACGGTCACGAAAGGAAAAGAGAACATACAAGAGCATTCCATGGGACAGCCTCATGGAGCCAAGGCGTTGGCGTTTTCCTGGTGGAAGAACTACTCATGTGCATACGAATGATTTACTGATTGATTGATTATCTTGCGTGGGATTCTACGGGCTATTCTTTTTGGGTGCGACGGATCTTCTGATGCTCCTGCATTGAGTGGCATGCATTTTCTTCGTTTTCTATTTTCTATTTTCTATTTTCTATTTTCTATTTTCTATTTCCCCCCTGATTTGCTTTCTATATTTGCAGTGACTCGGCTGATTTGCCCCACTATGTGATTTGTCTCACATACCATCTTCCGAGTCCTGTTTGGCATGGTTTCGTTTGATAGCAGTTATGGCGTTTTTCCAGGAAGGATTGGGTGCAAGAACGGCGACATCTGGCCAGACAAGACCATCGTTATTTGATTGACATTATTATCATTATTATCACTATTACCTTGGGACAACAGCCATCGGTGTTTTGTATTTTGGATTGACCATTCGTGGTTTTTTACAATTGTTGATTTAGTATGGTCGTCCATTTACTTCATTTAGAAGAGGCGAATCTAATCATTCAACACTTTTTTTTTTCTATTTCAATCTAAACAATTCTTTCTCCACCGTGTGTAATTACCTCTGCAGATTAAGTTGAGGAAGAGAGACCGGGGGTGAGCTACAAAGGGAAACTGGGTCGGAGCCTGAGGTATGACAGTAGAACGACGTCATAAGGGCTGGCACTGATAGCATGGCCCACGGGGCGAATGCTATAAATGATGGAATCCCATATTATCCTGTATGATTTACAACACTTCCCTTCCACATTTTTATTTGACCTGAAACATTATTACTACAGTACCTTATTTCACTGTATAATAGTCAATATTTCCCCCTTCTCACTTTTGAAAAGTTGAATCTCCGGCAAATCCTCGAAACAACCATGAGCTCCATAACTCGATTCTTCCCTCTGAGAGCGACCAAGTCGGTCTTCACGCCTCTCACAAAACCCGCCTTGGTGGCCCCTCTAAACTCGAAGAGGACATACTCGCATGGCTCCTACGGCAGCGCAGAGAGCGATAAAGATAAGCCGCAGAATACGCCTTCTACTAAGAACATCGAGCATCCCGGTATGGCCTCCTCCTTTTTCAGAATAACCCACGAAATAAAGCAAGCATGCTCATAAAAAAACCAAACAGGCCCACCACCCCCAAACACCAAGTCCAACAACCAGCCCTCAGAGAGCGGAGAATCTCAAGGCGACGTGCAGGACACCTCCAACAAAGCCAACCCGATCATCACAGGCGGGAAACAGAGCCCCGTCGTGAACGGCGAGGGCAAAGTCAACGACGATGCGCCTGACGACGTGAAGAAGCATAATGAGGACGTGGCGAACCGGGCCGATTCGCCTTATAACCAGATTGGGGCCGATAGTAAGGTGAGGGAGGGGTTTGCGGCGAAGGGGAGTACTGATAAGGAGACGTGATTTTGGGATATTGATTTTGGAAATCTTGGGAGTTGAGGTTGGGTAGGATTTGCTGTATTGGTGTTTTATGGGTTCGTTTCGATTTGGTACTTTCCTGTGTGCATTGTGTATGGATTCTATTCTGCTCTGATGATTATGGATGGTCGATGATGGGTTATAGATTGTGGTTGGTTGGATTGTTTTATTTGATTTGGTTTGACTTGTTCACTGGTCTGACTTGTGTTATTCCTATGTATACCATGTTAGTCTTCTGAAAATAAAGTTATTCCTCAGCACATGAATTGAAAATGTAAAAGAAGCTATCCATATACTCCATATGCAAGCTCAAAGCAAGCTAAACCAGTTGCGGCTTAGTCAGGACAACACGTTACGGACTCCATGCCAAGACTCCGTTCAGGAGCATCCCTCCCTCATCCTCTTCCATCTATCCACCTATCCATTGCAATCACGCTCTTCTCCTGGGCAATTGACTCGTCTCTCTATATAGTCCCAATTGAGCATTCAGACACACTCACCATGGCCCCCCGCAACCGCTACTCGGTCATTCTGCCCACCTACAATGAGCGCCAGAACCTCCCTGTTATGTGCTGGCTGCTGGAGCGCACCTTTCGCGAGAAGTACTACCCTCTTTCCATACACATAAAAATATATATATATATATATATATCCTGTAATGGAAGCTAACAAATGAAATAGCAACCTAGACTGGGAAATCGTGATCGTCGACGACGGCTCCCCCGACGGCACCCTCGAAGTCGCCAAACAGCTGCAACAACTCTGGGGCGAGAAGCACATCAACCTGAAGCCGCGCGAGGGCAAGCTCGGCCTAGGCACAGCCTACGTGCACGGCCTGAAGTACGCGACCGGCAACTACGTGATCATCATGGACGCCGACTTCAGCCACCACCCCAAGTTCATCCCGATCATGATCGACATCCAGCGCCAGACCGATGCGGACATTGTCAGCGGCACGCGCTACGCTAGCCGCGGCGACGTCAAGGGCGGCGTGTACGGCTGGGACCTGTTCCGCAAGCTGACGTCGCGCGGTGCGAACCTCATCTCGGATGTGGTGCTTATGCCTGGTGTGTCGGATGTGACGGGCAGCTTCCGGTTGTATAAGAAGAGTGTGTTGGAGAAGGTTATCTCTAGTACGCAGAGCAAGGGGTATAGCTTCCAGATGGAGATGATGGTGCGCGCTAAGGCGATGGGGTTCAAGGTCGCTGAGTGTCCGATTACGTTTGTGGATCGCTTGTATGGGGAGAGTAAGTTGGGCGGGTCGGAGATTGTCGAGTATCTGAAGGGGGTGTTTAATCTGTGGTTGCGTGTTTGATTTGCCTTTCTTCTTCTCTTTGGTCTTGTTGCATGTTCGCCCTCCCCCCGATAACTGGCCCATATACTATACCCGTGTCAAGGTTGTTGAGCTATTTCCCCATCTACTTTGTACATTACTTTAATCCATGAAGCCTCTACCTGCACTGTTTCAGATCAGATCAAACTCTCCCCAAATACCCCGTCACCCGCTCAGCGAGCCACTCCTGCCCCTCATCTTGGACATTGTGAGTCGCCCCAGGGATAATCCCACTACCCTCATCCCACTTCCCAGCCGTGGCCTCCTTCCACCGCCGCAACATCCCCTCCATATCCAGCCCAGACACCCCATACTCATCCTTCCCAGAATACAGCGCCATAAGCCTCCCACGCAGCAAGCCCCTCTCCCCAACAACCCCAAACGTCTCCTTCAACCTCTGGTCCGTCAAATCCGAACTAAACAAATCATCCTCCGCCGGCTTCTCGGGACTCTCAGGACTAGCCAGCGACCAAAACCGGTAAGCATTAATCGGCGTATCAGCCGGCATACCCACAGCAGCCGTCAAATTCAGCGGCATAATCTCAGTCGTGGAGCGCGTTCTCGCGAAATGAACCAGCTGGCTCAGCGCCGCGCGGGTCTCGTGGCTCTCCTTGGTCGACGCAATCAGCATCTCCCGGTCTGACATGGGCGCCTGCATGATCGCGCCGTCTAGCGCCGGCCGCTCGCGGCGCTCATCACCCCCGCTGGCGGGCAGCGGGTTCTCCTTGTACAGGTAGTGCAGCACGTCTTGGCTACCGGTTGAGTGGCCCATTAGGACGATCTTGCTGTTGGTGGGCAGGCGTCCGCGCACGAAGTCCACGCATTGTGCGATCTCGGTGATGTCTTGGTCGAGGCTGCCGACGCCCCAGCCGTGGTAGGAGGAGGTGAGGAGCACGTTGTAGATGGTCCAGGAGGTGGGTTCGAGGGCTTGGGCAAGTTTCTCGACGTAGGGCACTGTGAGGAGGCCGTCGGTTAGGCCGCCGACGAAGAGGAGGGCGTTGGGCTTGTCGTTGGTGGTTTGGGAGGTGAATTCGAAGGCGGTTAGACGGGGGGCCTGTTGTTTGTTAGTTTTCTTTCTTTCAGTGTATGTTTTTGTTTCTCTTTCTTGCTCTTCTTTCAATGAAGGCACTTGGTTAAGTAGTATCTTGGTAGGTGGGATAGGTGTTGGCTCAAGTGAAGGGACGTACATATTCATGCAGAGTTCCAGGATGGGATTTGGCCATGGTTGCAGTTCTGTAGTATGTTGTTGTCAAATAATGGTTTGAAGGAGAGCGACTCTGAAGGAAAGTGCGGGGACTTGGGTAGAGAGGAGATTTTGAGAACAGGCGGAGAGGAGGGGAAAGAAATGACGTTGTTGTCCGCTTCCCATCGCTGCAGATGTGCGAGGCCCACCCAGAGTGGGGACCTTCGATATGGCCTCAAGCTGTCTGTCTTCCCTACTACCTTTAATGGTGCAAAAAGGCTAAGGACAATTGGATAGACAGACAAAAACAGTATTAATTAAGGGTGTAACAACTAATATTATAGCCACTATTCAATGGCGCAGTCTTCTTCAATAATTGGCCTGCGTGATCAGCGCAAAGCAGCACTAATAGAAGGGGGGTGCACACGAGGCGCAGCCTCACATAAGAACCTTGCAGTAATGAGAGCCATCAGTTCGCATGGCCGAAACCTACACTACTCATCGAGTATCCAACTTCTCTTGTCTATTGTACCAATAGCTACTCGAGAAGCCGCCCTGTTATATGAAGCCAGCTGAGGTCAACGAGACCAGATTGCGTCATGTCTAACCAAAAAGTGTGTGTCAACGTTGACAAGGTCGACAAGGTCGACAGCAAGCTCGCTCCATCCGCTCTCTCGTTCTCAGCAACAACACTATGCGAACAGACCTGCTGGGAAGAAGCCACCCAGAGGCTCAGCATAGAAGACCCCAAGACACACAAAGGGCTGCTGGATATGTTAGCATCGCAGCCCCAGCCACGTACTTGGGCAGAAATGTCCGAGCAAATCACAGAAATCGTCGAAACTAATAGAAGCCGAATGCCCGACGATGATCTATCTCCGTCCCCGAAGGGTGGCAGTGGGGGGAAGAAGGCCAAAGTCAGCAGAGCACTGGATCGGATTCGCAAGGCGGCGCTGATCTTCAATCAAATGGGCATGGCGGCAGCAAACTTAGAGCCCCATGTGGGCATTGCTTGGGCGGGGATCAATATCATTTTGCAGGTGTTTGGGCATTTTCTTTTCTTTTCCTTGCGTGGTTGGAGCTGATCGGTTCACAGATTGCTTTGAGTAACTCCGAGCAGAATGCCGCTGCGCTTAGGGGGCTGGGGGAGATCTCGTCTATGGTCACGCGGTATGCAAAGGTTGAGGAGATCTACTTCGAGCGGGACCAGAGCAGCAGCGACGCCAAGCTTGACAGAGAGTTTAGGACGTTGGTGGTTGATCTGTATGTGAAGATCTTGATTTATCAGGTATCGATAGCCTCACATTGCAAGCGGGGTCGGATAGGTAAGCTCGAGGTGTTTGTGAGTAGAAAGTGGACGAACTGACCGATACCTCTATCAGTCCAGCATGCGAGAGCAATTCCTAAGCTTGATGACTGGAGTGGCCTCTTGGAAGATATTCTGAGTAACGACGCCCAGTGTATGAAATTCATGGAAGTCTTCGATTCAGAAGGTAAACCAACAAAGTCGATTCCCACTACGGTCAGTCAATACTAATCAATTCACCAGATTGGAGAGCTCGACATCAAGGACTGAAAGACACTCTCGCCGAACAAGAACGTCGGGCGGAAGAGGCTTCCCAGCATCTGGTTCAGATCCATGAGCAGAACCATAAATTGATCGATCGGTCTGATCACGAGGGTACGCGATAACCACTAGGAATCTTGCAGAAAAGGGAATTGACGATAGTCCAGACAATACCACCATTTTAGACTGGATATCGAAAGCGCCTCCAGGGCAAGATCACGCCCACATGCTAGAAAATGGCAAGCTGAACCGCGAGTATGCAAATTCTGGGCAGTGGCTTTTCAATCGAACAGAGTATACAGTTTGGAGGAATCATGAGCAGGACGGCCCATCAGTTATGTGGCTATGCGGACCAGGCAAGTATCACTGGCTGTTTTAATCAAGAAGCTGCGCTGACCACCTCAATGGATAAATAGTTGGCACGGGCAAGAGCTCATTAGTGTATGTCAACCACTCCTTCTCCCATATGAATTTTCTACTTACGCAATAGCAAGGTGCCTTGCGATCGAGCATTCTCTGAAAAAGCCTGTATCAGACAACCCCCCCGAAGAACGACTTGCCTACTTCTATTGCTCAAAAAAGCAGGGACTCGAGGACGGAAGCAGTCCCAAGACCGTCCTCCAAAGCCTTGTTCGTCAGCTAGCCTGGTCAACGGACGATTTATCAGTCGCGCCAGCAGTCAAGAAACGATACCAGGACTCCCACAAGCTGCAGGGCTACGGACAAAGTGAACTTCTGACGAATGACTGCATCGACTTACTCGTCCAGCTCATTGCATCCTACCAGCAGACCACGCTTGCAATCGACGCTTTAGACGAATGTTCCGACCACTATACTCTCCTGTCGGCGCTAGAGCGTATATCGCGTTTGTGCAAGGGAAAAGCCAAATTCCTGCTTTCCAGTCGCATGCACGTCCCCGTCAACCACACCTTCCCTGAATGCCACCAGATCCAGGTTGGTCTGAACAGCACAGAAGATATAGAATTCTACATCCGCACCGAAGTCGAGACCAACAAAGGGCGTCTGGCCCAATGCAAAGCAATAGATCTCAAAGACCCACTGATCGAGACGCTGAGCCGCAGGGCGCAGGGAATGTTCGTGGTCACCCCGGTATTGACTCCCAACGGACACTAGGCACTAACTAGCCCATGCAATAGGTTCCGATGGGTAGAGCTGCAACTGGACTGCTTCTTCAACCCAAGGACAAAACTCCGTCGGCGCGATGCAGTCCAGAGAAAACTCGACAAACTCGGTCAAGAAGACGGAATACCGGCTCTGGGCCCTGTATACGATGAGATATACGAAATGAACACACAAGAGCCGGAGGACCGAGCAGCAGCCATGAGAGCGCTGAAATGGATGATGTGTTCCCAAAGACCTTTGAGTATGGACGAGTTGGTGGAAGCCGCATCTATGGGCCCCGAAGGCGTCATCGAGGAGGATATCGACGAGGACTACATCCTAGACATCTGCAGCAATTTTATTATAACCGACAATCTTAATCTCGTTCAGTTCTCGCATCTGTCTGTGCGAGAACACTTGATCCAGGGCAGGGAGACCGAGTACTCCGATAATGCAGCAAATATACAGGCCGCGGAGACATGCCTTGCGTTTCTGATCCGTGGAGATTTTTATGCAGACATGGACTTCAGAAAAGGGCTCTCTGGCTATGTAGCACTGTACTGGTTGGCTCATTGCGTGTGGAAACTCGACAAGGGACAAAGAGCAGACATGCTGCAGAGGCTGTCCAACACGTTTCTGTCAATTGGGGAGGCGGTCCACCCTTCATTCGCGAAGTGGACCACAGCCATACCTAACGCTCTGAGAAAGCTGTACAGAGATGAAAATTACTTTGAGAAAGAATTGCTCATGCACGGTGTCAGCTCTCCACCGAATCCCTTCTTCATCGCCTGTATCTGTGGTTTCGAAGAAATAGTTCGGAACGCATTATCTACCGGACAGAGTCCGGAGCAGCAGAGCATCACCGGAGATACAGGTCTCTTACTTGCCAGCCATTATGGACGTCTAGAGGTCGCCAAGATCTTGTTGGATCACGGGGCAGATGTGGACGCCTGCAACTACAGCGGATATGCCCCCATCCATTATGCACTTCAGCCTTCTGCGCCCCGGTACCGATGCTTAATAAATCCGGAGATCGCGCGACTCTTGATCGAGCGAAAGGCGGACGTTACGAAAGCGGTCAAGGGGGATCTAGATGAAGGGTGGACCGCGCTGCATTTTGCAGCTTTCCATGACTTCGAAGAAATGGTCGAGACTCTATTAGATCACGGGGCGGACATCAATGCTAGGGAAATCGAGGACCACACGCCACTGCACGCCGCAGCCACAAGCGGGAGCATGACCACCCTGGGGCAGCTGCTCTCGAAAGGCGCCGATTTGGACGCCAAGACCAACGAAGGAGAAACTGCCATCCAGCAAGCCGCACAGTGTGGAAGAGAAGACGTGGTGAGCCTCATCGTGGAGCACGCGGGCTTGGAGCCCACTGTGGGTTCCCAATGGCTGCGACAGGCGCAGTTTCGCAACGCCGTCAACAGCGGAGATGAGGTCGCTGTGCGAGCGCTGCTGAACGATGGGGCAGACATGACTATGAGAGACATTTTCGGGAAGACGCCCTTGCATTGGGCGGTAGAATGCGGTCATCGAGCGGTTGCGTTGCTGTTGCTGGAGAGGGGGCAAGACATCGAGGCCAGGGATAGTTACGATGGAACCCCACTGCTTTTAGCTTGTCGGAGGAATGATGAGGAAATGGCTGGGTGCTTGCTAGACCGGGGAGCTAACATAGATGCCAAGGGCTTGGGTCAGATGGCGTTGACACCCCTTGGGTTTGTAGTGCAGCGGGGGATGCCCACCATGATGCAATTCTTGTTGGATCGGGGCGCGAACCCCCAGTGTGTGCTTGTCGATTCGATAGAATCGTATCATGGTGTTAGATTTGAGGGGTTTGAGGCCGCTCTGGCATTGATCCGGGATGTTTTGGAAGCGCAGAAGTTGGATCTTTACAAATGAGCATCGCATTACAAGAATTATATGCTTGATTGCTGGAGTACTCGTTCTACATAGCTATCCATACAAATAGTGTCATCACGACCTACGTCTTGAAACAATCCAACGAGGAATAAAAGTTGCTTTTCTGATCACATATCCGAGAGCAACCCTTCAGGTTTTTGCTTCAAAATCAGACTCACGGAGCAGCTTCCCGTCCAAGATCTTGCCAATATGGGTCTTACTGATGTCTTGACAGTCTTTCCTGATCTGTGACATGAGGACCTTGAGGAACTTAAGGGGACTCCGATGGAACGGAGAGCCTAGCCTATGTGCGTCTGTGAGAATGAATCCATCCGCTGCAACCGACCACCCCTCGGGGGTCTTGACCGATGCCACGCCGAGGAACTCGCATATCTCCTGGTACTCGCGATATGTAGCGATGTAGAGCTGCCCGGAGAACAAATTCAACTGGATCCGGAGAGGTGTGGGGATTTCAAGGGGTTCGGGGCACCTAGGGACGGAGTACAGCGTCAATCCATCGAGTGGAGGAAACCCTTGGTGCTGTCGTGGAGAGTACAAATGCAATGTCACCTTAGTCTCTGGGCTGCGAATTCTGGGTAGAATCTTGCAGGCTTCGTAGGGGCTGATGATCATCATATGCTTTACCACATTCTGGCCAGGGCTGGATGAATATACAGGATATGTACTCGTTAAGATCCATTGGACAGGCCGTTGGTATGCATCCGTTTGAAAAGACACATTCTTCGGGGCCAAAATCGTTGTGGCAAAGTCGGCTGTTACCAGGAGATCCTGTGGGAATTGTGACACATCCAAGTGTACAGCCGCGGAAGTCTCTCTCAGCATCTCGAATGCTGACCCGTAGGCCATTGTAAATCTGGTAGGTATTCCACTGGTAATGAACGACAGAACGTCCGGATGCAAATAGTGGGTAGCTGGCCCTTCTGGAGCTGGTCGGTCGACTTCGGGCTCTTTTTCAATTTCAGGTGCGAGTTCGCGCTCCTGCTCTTCATGGAGATGAGTCGCACTGAAGTCCAAATTCTGGAATTCACGACATCTTTCGAGGATGAGATGGGCGTTAGAGGTCTTTATCTCCTGTAGCCGAGAGTTATTTGGCGGAGAGCGATGCCAGCCGGGTCGATATCGAGATTCCAGGGTCTGACATTCGGGTTCTAAGAACTCTATAGCCTGTGCAGTAGTCATCTTGGTCCGTCCGTTCTTTATGGCCTTGTTCCACAAAACTGACTGGCGTCCGAAACGTTCTGCTTGAGATGCCCACAAGGGAATGCTCCGTTGTATATCGTGCCAAGTCTCTGATATTGCCCAGCATAAGACGTCTGATACGTCAATGTCCAACTCATTTTCTTTTCCCGTAAGGGAAAGGATGTTTGACTTGATTTCGTCGGGAATGTAAAAAATGACCGATTGTCCCTTGCCTAGTTTTCTCATTCTCATACACGCTGTATAGGGTTAATGCGGGCAACCTCCACGCATACGCATAGGTGAATGTCCCTCTTACCTTGGACCAACTTATCCTTTGTGAGACCTGCCCCCAGGGTCACAGCAGCACGATAATATTTCGGTAGTCTTAAATCTGTTCCCCTAGTGTGTGCTTCATCAAGGAATATATGACACAATTCCAGTTGCTTGGAAAACGGCGATATCTGTAGCGCCTCCACGCGCCCCCTCCGGTCCAAAACGAGAAGCTCGTCATTGTCATCAAAGAACACTATAGCCTGGGTTTGCTCGTGGTCTGTGATTAGTTTGAGCCATGCCCCCGCGACCTCAAAGTTGCTTAGTTCTATTATCTGGGCCCCTACATCTAGGATCACCTGTGCAGGGGAGTCCAGACTAGTCACCATATGAAGCAAGGCATTTGCGTCCGAGCCTAAGACACGGTGCTGTGGGGGGTACAACGCAACTGAATTTTCAGGTCTCAGAAGGGTCTCAATCACGAAAGCATTGGTGTGACTTTGCTCTGGTAGATCTAGCTGTTCCACATCCAAAGGCAATGTCGTACGGGAATCGTTCGTGCCACTGAAGCCAATTGTTGCATGCCACTTAATCTCTCCGATGTCCCAACCGGAGGCCGTGAGTTTTTCGGGAAACTCTCTCATCTCTTTCGGAAAAACAAGATGAGTTAAAAAGTAGTCGATTAGGCTTTTCGAAAAGCGGAGCCAGGGAAACACTTCTTTAGAACAATGGTAACGGTCCTCAAGATTGACTCCAACTAGATGATGATAAGAGATTGGTAAACTTGGGGCGTCCCCAACCCAAGCTGTATACTCAGCATCAGCTTGATCAGACTTTAGAAGATGGTTGAAGGCAAGGAATATATCATCGTCCTCAAGTCCAGCGTAATAGTAGCTCAGGGACGTCAATATGAGAACAACATCTGGATGGCTGTATTCAGACCTCGCAGCAGGCTTGTCTTTGGCGCGGTATGGGACTACGAGTCTGGTTGGTGGCTGTCTTTCGGGATCCAGCCCGTAGTTGACGCGCCAGCGTTTTTGACTTAAACAGAAGCTTAGAACTCCACCGGCGAGAAGGCCTCTGAGAAGAAGAAGTGGACTTTTAGTCGCGTCAGTCCAAAAACTTGCCGTGTCTTGGTCCTCAACGGCAGCAATCTGCGATGGTTCAAGTTCTGCATTGAGTGCGTAACTGAACACGGCGTTTCTTATCTCCTCTGGCTGCCGCGAAATTGGCAAGCCTTCAATCCCGTGGTCACAAATGTGCTCTAGAAGACGCACCATAAGACACTGCTGGGAATCGTGATGAAGGAACCTCATTCGTGGGAAACCGCCGGGGTGAGGGTCTTCCAGTTCCATTGAATGGGGAAATTCCTCGTGGAGGTCTGGAGCAATCTCTCTCACAAGCTGTAGTAACTGATGGATCAATATCCACCTCTGGGGGCTATATTCCACTGGACGTTGGCTACCCATGGTGTAGATTAGTTCAAACTTCACACCAAAATTCTCGTCACTTTCATCCACGATGGCACGCGAGTCAGTGTTGAAAAAGTCTAGAGTCCTTAGAACCGAGGAACCGACTGCGTCACTGCCCGAAATCAGATTTTCAAGGCCCATCAGTTTCAGTGACAGTATGTGCTCTGGCTGAACCAAGAGAACACCTCCGTTTACCATGCAATCGTGGCATAGTTCTCGGATTTCATTGGCTCCGGCTTGCTCTATCTTCAGAGTGCGACACACTGGCAAATGATAGACACGGCGATCCAACAAGCCCCCCAACTTAGATACCAGCATCTGAAACATCTGGCGAGACTGGGGTTTTGGTACCATCACAACAACCAGACATCTGCCGTTAGCAAGTGCAGCCGAAGTAATAGGGATAATCACGGACGATTTCCCTTCGCCCATATTCAACTGCATCACCACATTCCCGGGCCTTCTGGCTCTCATCTGCTTAGCAATCTGCTCCTGAACTTCCCGTATGAGGATACCGCTCTCAATCTCTACTAGCAGAGTCTCGGGAAACTCGAGCGGGGTCCAGTCTATGTGGCCTTTATTCCTTATCTCTTGGACGAGATCCTCGCGTGCCCCAACCAAGCTGACTAGTCTTTCCGCGCGTTGGACGGCCGTTAGTGCAAGACCATATGCAACAAAACACCACTTCCAGTCATTCTCCAAGTTAACCCATCTGTGTCGTGTCATCTGCTGGAGTAGGAGAATAGGCGAAATCCTTGGCCATTGGTGTACACGTGCTAATGTGTCCATGACAGCATGGCGTGCTGGGTTCTCCGTATCCCATGGCATGCTTCCCGCAGAGTTGAGTCCCATATGCGCCGTGATGGCATTGTATACTGAACATAAATGATCTCGGCATAGATTAAGATGGCCTGTGAGTACATCTCTCAAGTGGGCATCAGTCAACACGATCCTCCAGTCTCTTGTAGCTTGCTGTAGAGAATCGATGCTACTCCGTAACTGATCAATGTATTTACTTTCATAGCGCGACCTCGAAAGAAGAGCCAGCTTGCTGATTAGTATCCGAGACCGGAGATTTGAGCTAGAAACCAGTGGTATAGATTCCAAAAGGTCCTCGAGCTGGGGGGTTTCCGTGTCCACATGAGGAGGTCTGCTGTAAAGGATATCATCCACACTGACAAATTCAGGTTCACATAGCACCGGGGGATCGGGTATCTGGAAGGAAAGCGGCTGTGGTGTTATACTAAGAGCTGTCTGCTGACTGAGAACATACGAGAGGCGGCGAATATAGTATCGAAATTCCCTGTTATCGAGCCAGATGGAGAATTGCCGCCGAGCGATAGCCATTGCACTTGGAACATTGATATAGGAACGGATATCGGGGGAGCCGTCGAACGTAGGCTCACTAGGCGATCTGGCCGGCCACTGTGGTTGAATTGCTGAAATGAATCGCCCAAGCATTTGTTTGCTACTATCCCGGAATATTGTTGCTCGGCGACGATTGTACGCCTTGCGGGACTCGCCTGGATGAGATTTAACTGTCCAATCAGGAGACTGCTCAATAGATACTAGGGAGCAACTGAGCTCTTGGAGTAGAGTAGACTTGTCGAATTCATCACCTTTCGACAGGTAAAATGACGTGCCTGAAGGGGGAGCCATTAGGTCCATATCCGAGATACAGTATACCGAGGCCAATGCTTTCAAGACCGTCATATCAACATTCTTGGCAAAGGCCATGGTTGAAAACCATATCATGGCTTGGAATTGGTTGAGTCGGTTATGACCAGACCGCAAAATCTGGTTATGGATGGCACACCAATGCTGAGATATCAACTTCTCCGGTTCCAGGATCAACTGGGAGTCGAATTTCCCCTTCGTATCGCCGAGCTCTTTATCTGGTCCAAAGACGCAATCAACGCCTGAAAGAAATTTCCAGAGATGGGATGCTAGATCATCTGCTGACATTGCCTGATTCATTGGGACCCCCAGATATATGGCTTTTGACATAAGGAACGCACTATAGCCTTCGTGAGATGTCTGGTTGCAGTCAAGACTCCGATATGAGCGATCTTTATTATATGTGTGATCCTCAGCTCCGAATCCAGAGACACGAAAGGACGAAGATCGAATACTGTCGCGTTTCAGCAGCTCTGTTTCGACCCGAGGCAAGTCTGGATGACATGGACGTTGGGCTGAAGACAGCATCCCCTGGCGGTGATCTTGATCGAAGATGTCAAGTACCCTGGTGTAGAACTCCCCATGCTGGGCTAGGAAACCCAGATTTTTCTGCCAAGTAACCGATTGCATTACACGTGCTTCTGCCGGATAATATCTCCTTTCTGGTGTCAGAGCAGCGATCCTGGCAAGTATGCTTGTATGTTCTGGGTCGAGAGTTTCAAATGACCTGACCACAGCAGAACGAAGAATGGTAAGCGCTTGCTCGGTGCCAGTTCTACCTGTCAGAGGGTCGGGTATGCAAAAGGAGGTTAGAGCATGTAGATAACACAATGTGAGTTTGCTTTGCAGGCTTCCATTATCGACCAATTGACCGAGTCGGCAATCGACTGTATAAAGTTGGAAGTTGGCCGAGGTCTCCAAGTCAATACGAACTTTAACATGATCACCCTCCTTCTGGACGTACACATCTCCATATGGTACAATCACAGCTCGCCCCAGGCCGCTTGGACATTTGAGCAGAAGCCTGTTACGCAAGCCAACAAGCGAGTCCAAAGATTGGTCGCCATCGACTTCCATTCCGCGTGACTGCTTGCTCCGAATGGATGAACTTCCCTTCTCAAGGAAAAAGTCAAGTTGGAGAGACGGGATGCCAATCTCAAGACGTGAGAGCGCCTGGTGGAGGATGCAATGAATTTTACTGGGCTTGGCTACTGGATTGAGAATGCACGCGACTGATTCGGCCGTTGCACTGTCCATATTCACCAAGTAACCCTCATCTTCTGCAAGATACCAACGCCTTCGATCATCCCTTCTGAGTCTCCAGTTTGAACTGGAGGACTTCCATGCCTGCTCGGCTGGACGAAATTCGACAAGTTCTTTGTCTTCATCATACCAATGAACAAAGTTGTCCACAAACGCGTCGGGAAAGAGGCCAGATAGCAACCTTGGTGGTAGAAATTGGAACACTTGTTCTTCCTTGATGGCGCAGACAACAAGGTCGGTGGTGGAGCTGTCGGTGGTCCGTAACAGCCCCAAATGCACCATGTGTTCCTCATAGTCCCTTTTAGCAGAAAACTCCATGCCTGGAGCAGGGCTTGGCATGATTTCTAATACTGAGTGGCCAAACAGCCGCTGATAAGAAAGATTGGTCTCATATTCGGAAGGAAGGCGAGATAGGGGAAGACCGTTGACCAGAATTTCGCCTGTTAGTAGATTGAAATGGACCAGTAATTGCCCGCGGGTGTTTTCATGATTGACAATGCGACTATAAAGCCAGCAAGACGGTTGCTTTGCCACAGCTAACCACCTATCAACTCCCTGGAATGCCGGCCACGCCCTTTGGATGGCCACATGCAAGATTCTGCTTTTGTCTTCGAGGATTTTGCTGGCCAAAATGCGGTGGGTACGATAGCAGAGAGCTTTCCACCGTCGGTGGAGGATTGGAAGCAATGGATCAGAGGCTTCAAGTTGGTGAAGTGAAGTCCCCCACTCTTGAATGGTCACAGAGCACAATATGAACAGTGAAGCTTCCGAGTCGATAGCGAGTATAGTTTGAAGGTGGTCGCCTTCTGCATCGAAGGAGCATACGCAAATCAAAGAAAGGCGAACAGTTAGTGCGACCAAAGAATCGCGTTCCTCACCATGGAGAGCCCTGCTGGCTTTTCCCTTGACCAGTTCAACCCACTGGAAAACAATCTCCCGTAGATATCGCAATATCTCTAAGCAGGCTATTTGAATGGAGTATGAGAGAGTCAGCGACAGTACCCTTGATGTTACACATGCAAAAGCGCAGAGTGCTTGTGCTGACTCCCAGTTGTCTTTGATCCTATCCATGGTGTTTGCAATTTTCGCTAATAATACCCTGGTAAACTCTTCGTCCTCAAGAATCAAATGGCCCGTTCTCGATACCGAGCATTTGTCTGGTGGCCCAGCCTGGTAGATTGTCTGGAGAATGAAGATGCATGTTTCCAGCTTTTTCCAGTCAACCTGCGGCATAGACAGCTGCACAAGGATGTTTAGCCATTGCACTTCAACTCCGAGAGGAATGCTACAGAGAGCCTTGTACTCCGTACTTGTGACATGCGCTGGACAAGTAAGCCGCTGAGAAGCTATGGCTTGGTTCGGTGGCAGTCCGTCAGGGGCTCCAGATGGACGAAAAAGAAACTCTTCTAAGCATCCGCTGCTTGTGGGCATTTTATAGACACATAGAGTAGCTCTGCGGTACGTCATCATAAAATCAGCGAGAAAACAATCAACATTGCTGTCGAAGTAATGAAAGCGCAGCCCATTGTCTAGGCAGATATCGTTTTCGGTCATATCAACAATCTTTTTCAAATTCCGATGAGTGATTCCATGAGGTTTGTTCTGAGAAAGAAGACCTATCCGTTGCACATCTTTGCATGATCTGAAGAAGCGCTTGAGACCGCAGTATGTTGATAATGGATGTCTTGAGCATGGGCGCACCCGTGCAGAATACCTCATGCCCAACACATCCATTAGGAAGTACATAGTAGTATCCCGCCAATCTCTAAATGCCAAAGGAATGCTGAGCTCAAAAACCGTCGATTTTGTATGAAGTTCATCTTTGGGTAAGGGCCATTCGTGGATGGCAATGTTGATAGTATTGGCCTTTTGTTTATAGCTGCATCTCTGGCAAGACCCGGAATGGCGTTTTTTCTGAGGATTACTTTCTGGATCAACGGACACCTTGTGGTATTGACACTCGGCAAGCTCATATTGCGCCATCAGTCGTCTGTAGTCAGCTTTTTTTCTCTGGAGCTGTGCCTTCTTTGTTTTTCTTTCAAGGTGTGCATGTTCTTCGATCTTTTTTAATAGGTTTTGGTGATCAACAGAAGCATCGAAGTATCTCACAGGAAAGCAACGACGAGTGCCAAAATCTCGGAAGATGCCGGGGCCGTGGTACTTGACGTCCTTACGTCGCTGGCACATGTATTCTTCGGCCCAAACTAACCTAGCCAGCTGGGAATGGAAGGGTAGAAGCAGAATCTGGAATGTTCCCATTGGAACACAAGGATCGTAGTCGCGCAGCATACCGTATATGCATGTCGCGGACATATCACAGGCGATCCACAGCTCAAGGAGAGAGAGCATCATGACCGAGGTGGCTTCGGGGTCGCCACGGTATGTGTTCATTGCTGCTTGGTGGTATCCTTGCATCAGTCCGCCCAGCTGACCACATGTATTACCGTCCTCTATGTGTTCTTGAAGCCAGTTGTCTAGATTCTCAGCAATCCAGCGCTCTAAAGCGGCCAGGTTATAAACCTCGTATTTGGAGTCAAAGGTGCGTGACAAGTTTGGGAGCTCTGCGGCATCAAATTCGACCAGAATCGACGGGGGTTGGGAATTTTTAGAGCCCTGGACGTTTATTTCACGCGTCTTCATCTCCGTGATGAATCTATCAAGATTATCTAGGGTATAATAGATGTCTTCGGTAAAGTGGAGACGCTCAAGCAACGACATGTCATGCTTATAGCCGCTGTGTGCTATAGCTTTCTGCCATTTACCGCGAATGATGCTGCCAGTGCTGTCTAATATATGACAGACAAAATGGACCCAGGATGCATTGCTGGGAAGATTTGGTTTGAGTAGTCTCCGTCCAATCTTAGAGCTCATAGTGTGCAGTTGCTCACTGGACAACCCGGATTCAGACGCCCAGCCGAGGAGATGGCTCATGAAAAATATCATAAAGTGCTTGTAAAGCTCCACGGGGCGTCCTAGTTGTCTGGTTTGTCTAGATATCACAAGCTGCAGGGAAACACGGATCAGCAACCAGAGAGGGGACCGCCGCCACGGTGACCTGCTGTCATTCCACATGACCTCCTCGCGAGTATTTTTGCAAATCCGGGAAACATGGGCTACCTTGCACATGGGACGCAGAAACCCCATCAAAAGCTCTGTCACGACCTTGGGGTGAGTGGTGTCCCGGTCCTCATCGAGTTTCTGGCCTGCTTTGTTCACTTGAATTCGAGTATTTGCAACCTCCTGATGGCTCATCCGCTCCAAAGTTTGTGCCATAGTTGCCAGGAATTCAGGATTTATGAACGCGTCTGTGTCCATTTCCAAGGCGGGTCCCGGGAATTTCCGTTGCAGTCGACCCAATGTCTTGATAACCTGTTCGCTGCGTGGAGAGAGCTCAAATGCCTCCACGATAATCGCATTGCCAACCTTGGTCATGAGAAGGGCAGCATTCTGGGCACGCACGTGGACCGGGATGGAGCCTCCTGGTGGTTGTCAGCCCTACAGTCTCAAGGGTAATCATAGCGTTATTCCTAACCCTCGGAATGCAATTGAGCCAAAGACTTCTTCAGCCTAGTCTCATCCAAGTGTCCGAACTCATCATAGATGAATTTCAGACGACAAATCATTGTAGTCGCCGAAGAAATGATACCCGCTGTATCCTCGGCGACATGTCTCTTGAAAGACATCAACGCACGAATGACTCTGTCAAGAAGGAAAGCTTCATGGGTGACATTATCATCTGCACCGTCAGGGAGATTGGGGGGTAGGAAAACATTATGCAAGATATATGTAGCTCTCTCCAGGGCTGTAGGTGACATTGTATGTTGCGTGAGGAGGGAAGAGATGAGAAGAGATGAAGGAAGAGATGGAGGGTATGGAGAATAGATGAAAGGCATGAAAAGAAGAAAGGAAGGGTAAAAACTGTGAGAGAGTGTGTGAGAGGAGGAGAGGGGAATAGGTAAGAGAAGAGGAAATTACTATGGAATAAGAAGCGAACCTGAGAGTGAATGTAGAAGGTGTTTTGTAACAAAGTTAATAAGAAAGAACAATAGTCACTTGTGCAGTCACTATGAGTCTCCAAAGATAGTATGCTCTGGCTGTCTAGTAGTATAAACCATATAGTAAGCTCAGGATATCCATATCTCCGAGCCTTTCAACTGAACATTTACATAGTATAACTCACACAAGTCAATACTTTTACTACTAGTAAAGGTCTGCTAAGTTATATTCATGCTTCAAATTTTTCCCCTAAACTTTTGTAGGTATATCAGGTTCATTATCAGAGGAAGCAAATTTCAATCTAACATGGCCTGTAGGAGTAGGTTATGTCAAAGACTATGTTAAGCAAGAAGCTTGCTTCTCTTATCCATATAGAAAATGTAAAGATTATTAACTACTTCATTTATCAAGGTCATGTATGCTACCGCTTTTTTTTCTTTATAACCTTCTGTTTCTTCTATGGTGTCATGGTGACATGATCACGAATACTATATTACAGAATGTGCAAGATTGTAGACAAAGATAGTATTAGATCTTCAGGGATTTTTACTCCCAAGATATATAATATCATTTCACTATGCTCTGCTCTTCCAATACTCACACCTAGAAGAAAACACCAGAGAAAAGATCACAACGGAGAAAGGAACAGGAAAGGTAAGGTAGGGGACCGTCAATGCTATCTAAAACTATTGCTTAGTATTCGAAGCAGTAGCATCAATTGATTCATCTTAACTTGGACAAACGTCTACAGAGCAATCTCTCGGACGACGCCGGTGCAAATAGTCAATATTGAGGGTCTTTAATGATTCTTTCAAATTTATTCTTAAAGCTATGAAGGTCACAAGAATTGTGAAGAATTAAAATATAATCTGTGTGGGAAAGCTTCGCAGATCAGCGGACATGTCCGCTGATTGCATTCACTATGCCCACACAGCCCAGCTCACACAGCCTAACTGACGAGTCTATCCCGTCGCTTGATTCTCATGACCGCCAGACAGGAGTGAGTACACGAGTCCAGTCCCTTGACAGGTATATATATAAGCTGCTGTACAGTCGACCAAGCAGGCGCCAAGCCTCCATTGACACCAGCTGTACAGACAACTGCATGGCCTGTAGGGTCTCCAATAACCACCCCATGGGTAACAACACGGTATGCTATAAATAACTACCAGCATCCCCAGTAGCGGTCAGTCTCTCCAATTTTCAATGAGTAGGTAACAGGTTCGATAGGATGTCTTGATGAGAAGTTCTGACAGTGTACGCACGCTGATATATAGTTGATGAGTAGGCAATAGCGTTATCGAACAACGATGCATTGCACAAGCCTATAACGCCCACTTGCTACAGATGACTGTAGAATGATCTGCGGACACTTTCATACCCTGCGTAGAGTGCTTGCAGATACTGGTTACCCAGAAAAACTAATGCAGCGGCTTTCTGGATCTGCTAATAGACTGCGTGCCAACCGCAAGAGCGTCGTCCTCTCTGAAAGCGAAAGAGCGATCAAAAAGATTACGATAAACTACCATCCGACCAAGAGACGGTGTAGACTGCAGGCTTGAGTTCTAGATAAACAGAGAAGTCAATTTCAGTAGTGCATAATAGTGGTCCCCACGTTTGATCATTCATCAATACTCTATTTGGATTGTAGAGGAAAAAAGATATGTGTCTTAATAGGCGATTATATATCAGTATCTCCAGTAGACCATAAAAGCCAAAGCGTTCTAGGGTCAATCGCCATGCTTAGATTCATATGCATCTCCCCACTCAAGCCAGGCATGCGGTGAGGCACAGATCAAGGACCACTGCCTTACTCGTGAGGGCAACAGATCAACCGAATTGTGCATTTTTAGTTGTCAACGCAACACGCATAGGGGTGCTCTGCTGGTAGCACAGTGGCTATGCCACTCGCGGAAGGATTCCAACTGTCTTCTAGTAGCTCAGATACGCTGGATCTTTCAAGTAAAGAAACTACTATCATCTCAGGTGTGTTAGTCCAATTGTTTCCCTCGTGGGTGTTGGTCAAGCTGGAAATGTGGTTTAGCGATAGCACTACTGGTAGATTGCCAGATTGACCGAATTTTGGTGTCGTGTCCGTCATACAAAAGATCCCGTTACTCCACGCAAATTTCACTAAAAAGAGTGCATCCTGTCAGGTAGTTGAAAAATGTACAGGGCTAGCGTTGTAGTGAAAACCGTTCTAGCTGACGTTGCCCTTGACGTTGACTCGGCCGGGAGGATGCATGCTTTCAACGTACTAGCTTTGATTGACAGGATATTATGTGCGAACTCGTGTTGCCAAGTATAGAACATCTGCAGAATGACTAGTCTTGGAGCATGCCTGGCTGTATGATAACCTGATATCGCAGCGATGATGTCGGATGTTGTACCCTGCATAGAGCGATTTGATACACCACAGCCGGCCGGGTGGGTCAGTCCAGCCACATCTGGTTAGTGTCACATGGGATGATGAATGCGTCTTTCTTCATGTTGATTCGGGATCGACGCTATAATCTCGGCTACCTGGTAATTGTGTACTCCCCGGCCACCGAAAGAGAGACAAATGAGATCACTGACAATGGCTCGATGTGATCATGATGAAGTCGCTCTGCCGTGGTGGAGTGCAACTCATCCAACGATAATATAATAGATTGCGTGGAAGACGGCACAAAATGAACGTGGCTGGCAGACCGCAGGTGGCCCAGATGCGCCCAGCCTCCTTTGGCCGGCGGCGTGGACATCCTGCACGATTTCCCCCGATCGATCTGCGTGATGATGGAAGCCTTTTGTTCCCTTAGAATCTTGAGATGGCCTGTGCTTGGGTGTATTTGTAGCGGATCATAAAATAGGACCCTTCCTCCCTCTGATTTCGATCCTCCTGTCTTTTATCTTTCTAGTCTTATATTCCTCTATTCTTCCCACGAGAACAGTCTCTTCCGTTCTGTATATCTCTTGCTACTTCCAATAGCAATTGACTTGTTCTTTCTCTATACACTCTCAGAATGCATCCCTCCGCAGTTCTTCTAGTTCTCTCCTCCATTGGTGCGCATGCCGTGCCGATGCTCTGGGGCCCCGGCAACGATACGGCTCTGGAGCGCCGAGGCAATGCAACCGTGTACAGGCGTCACGATTCGCCCTCTTACACCGTTGTCAATGTCGCCGGTGATGATGGCACACCAAAGCCTCAAACCATCACTGTGCCTCAATCGCCCTCGCCTAGCCCGAGTCCGCCATCATGGGGCATCCAGGCCCGTTCCACCCCCACCCCTACCCCCCAGGCGGCGGATGAGGGCCGCGAATCCAACGTGAGCGAGGGCATTATTCGTCGAATGATTTTCGGAAGATCAACGAATGAGACGGAGACGCGCGGCCTCCTCGCCCGCGGCAGCAACCACACCTCTTCCCAGCTCAGTGCCCGCAGCAACAGCACTGAGACTCGAGACCTCCATGCACGGAGCAACAGCACTGAGGCCAGGTCCCTCTCTGCTCGCAGCAGCAACAGCACGGATACTCGTTCTCTGTTTGCCCGCAGCAATGATACTGCTTCGAACGTTGGTGCACGCAGCGCTGATGATGGAGCGCGGGTCAACTTCGCCCGTGCTGCACTCAATGCCACTGAGCTGCAGGCGCGCCAATTCCTGAAGCGGAGCAACGAAACCTCTCACCAAGAGCGGAGCCTGAACGGAACTACCCTGCAGAGGCGCAATGAGACCGGAAGCATTATCTAGAATGTTGTGTCTCGGCTGCCGTTTCATTTCTCTGTCTCCTTCTCTATACAACACCCTCATGAAATAACGCCATGACGATGGATTGACACGGCTTGTTGACAGCGGAAGGCGAAGGTCAAGATTAAAATTAACAAAGAATGGTTGATATGATACATGATGGACGAAAGCGTGTCTTGTTTCTGTTTCCCTCTTATTTTCGGGTTTTTAGCGGGTTCTCATGCATGCATTGTTCATGTAACACGGCGTTTTGTTTGTTTTCCTGTTGTTATTTCTTTTGTTGTTGTCATGGTTGTTTAAGGGTATCATACATCTTTTGCATTTCATGTGAATAAGTGGGTGCAATTGACATACTTTCTTTGGGTATCATATAGACGGTAGAGATGGTGAGGTTGAGAATGACGGATGCGACAGTAATATATATAGCGTTGGAGCATGCGGGATCTCTAGTTTAGTCGCTGATACACAACAATACTACGCAATACGTCATCACCGGTACTAGTTCAGTCTCCATTTCCCTAAATATTACCATACATGACCATACCTCATAGCTTTCTCCGGCTAGTAATGAATGACATTCATCACCTCCGTCACTCCCTCTATCTCCATCTCTCTCCTCCGCATTTCCTCTCCTCCTCCTTCTTCCCCCCTGTCGCATGGATCAGGAACCCACCTGGTCTTTCTCTTTTTAATTTCTACTCCTCTCTGTTATCTCTATTCCGTACCCTTGGTCCCCATCAGTTTACCTCGTCCCCCCCACCTGAACCACCATCCCTCACCGACCGCATCACGACTCGTTCCCCTCTTTCTATCATTCCTCCACTCGCTCCGCCATGGCCACCCCAATGGCGGCCTCCGATGATCAAAGTCGCCTCCTCGAGGAGGCATTGGGGGTCGTGCGTCAACAGTCGATTATGATGCGGAAATGTTTGGAGACCCCCGGCAAGCTCATGGATGCTCTCAAGTGCGGGTGAGCTTCGACCCGATTCCAGGCAGCAGTGAGAATCGAGCCAGATGGCAGCTAACAATGCACAACCCATTGGATTAGATCAACCCTCGTATCCGAGCTTCGCACTCCGAGTCTGGGCCCCAAGCAGTACTACGAATTATACATGGCCGTGTTTGACGCTTTGCGACATCTCTCCGTTTACTTGAAAGAGAACCATCCCGTCAACCACTTGGCCGACCTCTACGAACTCGTTCAATATGCGGGTAACATAATTCCACGACTCTACCTAATGATCACTGTCGGGACGGTGTACATGTCCGTGGAGGATGCTCCTGTGAAGGAAATTATGAAAGACATGATGGAGATGAGCAGGGGCGTGCAGCATCCGATCCGCGGCCTGTTCCTGCGCTACTACCTCTCGGGCCAGGCGCGCGACTACCTGCCGACTGGATCCGGCGATGGGCCGGAAGGGAACCTGCAGGACTCGATCAACTTTGTTTTGACCAATTTCGTCGAGATGAACAAGTTGTGGGTGAGGCTTCAACACCAGGGGCCCTCGCGTGAGCGGGAAAAGCGGATGCAGGAGCGCCGGGAGCTGGAGCTGCTGGTCGGAAGCAACGTTGTCCGGCTCAGTCAATTGGTGGACCTGGAAGCCTACAAGTCCGGCATCTTGCAGGCGCTGCTGGAGCAGGTCGTCCAGTGCCGCGACGTCTTGGCCCAGGAATATCTTCTCGAAGTTGTGACCAAGGTCTTCCCTGATGAATTTCACCTCCACACCCTAGACCTTTTGCTCACGGCAATCTCCCGCCTCAACCCCCATGTTGATCTGAAGAAGATTGTCATCGGCCTGATGGATCGCCTCTCGACCTATGCGGCGCGCGAGACGGAGCCCTCGGACGATCCGGAAACCCGAAAGCGGGGCGAGGAGGAAGCTGTTACAAAGCTCTTGGAGGACCTCAAGGTCTCTGAAGAGAAGAAGAAAGAAAGTACTGCCGAAGATGCAGCCGCTAAAGAGAACGGCGTCGAGCAGGCCTCGAACGACCAGGAAGCGGCCCCAGAAGCAAAGGAGGGAGAAGAACCTGCGCCAGATGACAAAGGTGGCGATGGCGATGGCGAGGAGAAAGAAAAGCCGTCGGTGGAATCCCAGCTATATTCTATATTCTATGAGCAGGTGGTCGGTATCATCAAGAACCGTGGCATCCCGATCCAAGATACCATGGCCTTGCTGGTGTCCCTCGTCAACCTAGCCCTCAATACTTACCCCGACCGACTCGACTACGTTGACCAGGTCCTTGCATTTGCGACCAAAGAGAGCGCCGCGTATACTGACCATGCAGACTTGCACTCCGCCCCGGCGCAACAGAATCTTTCCCAGCTTCTTCTCGCCCCCCTCCGCTCTTATGCCTCGATTTTCACCGCCCTTGCCTTGCCGAACTATGTCCCGCTGTTGACCTCGCAATCTTATACGACGCGGCGATCGATGGCCGGGGAGATCGCCCGCAGCCTTCTGAAAAACCAAACTCCCATCACCTCAACGGATAACCTTGACCGCGTCCTTCAATCCATCCGAGTATTGATCAAAGAGGGTACACAGCAGGCCATGGGTTACCCCGGCATGCAATCTCAGCGAAGGGGAGAAACGGACGAAACAATCGAGGAGCAAGGGTGGTTGGCGCGCCTGGTTCATTTGCTCCGAGCTCCCGATAACGACACTCAGCTCAAGGTGAGACCCCTTATCTGATATGGTGTAGGCATTTTAGCCATTTTCTGACCGCATAATGTAGCTCCTCCAAGCCACTCGCAAGGCCTATTTGGACGGAAATGAGCGGATCCGCTACACAACACCGGCGCTCGTAACGGCTTCGATACGACTTGCACGCAAGCTCAAATCCCGCGAGCATTATGATGACAACTGGCAGTCGCAATCTTCGACGCTCTATCGGTTCATGCACCAGTGTGTCAACAACCTCTACCAACGCGTCAACCCGGGATGCGCCGATCTTTCTCTTCGTCTGTTTGTAATGTGCGGCGAAGTGGCGGACCAAACTGGCTTCGAAGAGTTCAGCTACGAGTTCTTCGCGCAGGCCTTCACCATCTACGAGGACTCCATTAGCGACTCCCGCGCCCAGTTCCAGGCTGTTTGTGTCATTTCGGGCGCCCTGCACGGCACGCGGGGTTTCTCCAAGGAGAACTACGACACCCTCATTACCAAAGCTGCCCTACACGGAAGCAAACTGCTCAAGAAGCCCGACCAATGCCGAGCCGTCTACCTTGCCAGTCATCTCTGGTGGGTCGTCGAGAACCCACAGCGCGGCGACGAAGACCCTCAAAACGTAAGTCATCTTTTTGATTTGAAGCGGAATCAAGCATTCTAACCAGCCAACCCACAGCTCTACCGCGACGGCAAACGGGTCCTCGAATGCCTCCAGCGAGCTCTTCGCGTAGCCGACGCCTGCATGGACACCGCCGTATCAGTGGAACTCTTCGTTGAAATCCTCAACCGCTACGTCTACTACTTCGACCAGCAGAATGAGACCGTCACGGTCAAATACCTGAACGGCCTCATCGAGCTCATCCACTCCAACCTGCAGACAGACCAGGACGAGCCCAACCCCAGCCTCGAAGGCCCCAAGCGGCACTTCCAACGCACGCTGGACTACATCCGGTCTAGAGATTACGAAGGTGTGGTGACGGAATCGAGGCAGTGAGCGAGAACGATTGTATGATGCGATATGCTTTCCCCCTTTTACCATCCTGTACCGTGCCTCTTTTTTTCCTTCGTTCATGATTGATTGATTGTAACGTGCTGTGTCACCATCATCACCATCCGTTGTTGGATTTTGTCCCTGTCTGTCTGTTTTCCTAGCCTGTTAAGATCTTATTTTATCTTTGCTATTCGCTGTGTAAGATGGTTTGATTCCCTCCTCCATATCTATCTATTTATTTACCCTTTTCTCTTTTTCCTTTTTCAGCCACATATATAGGTGTATCATCAGGGGTTCACTTTTCTTTTCTGATTACTCTTCTGCGGTTATTTCGATCAATATAGATAGTATACCTATACCTATACCTACACCTGTCTAGGAGTGTATACGCCACAGTGTGATACTATCATACCTACCTACAGTGTACCAGTGCAGCAGTAGCGGCAATAGACAGAGTATTAAACCCAGTCATCACCATGTGATGGATGGAGGAGACAAGAATGCATTGGTAGTATTCAACAACATACATATGAGCAAAAGGGAGGATGTAGTCAAAGAAAGCGATATCACCTGTATGTGGAGAATGCCTGATGGTATTGTAAGTAGTAAAGTTATGCCTGGGTAATGTTTGATGTAAGTAGTAGGTAGGTATGAAAGACATGAGCAACATGACATGACAAGTCAAAAAAAGACAAGACAAGACGCTTCGGACAAAGCAGAAAGAAAAACGACCAAGGGAGATGGGAAGACATTTATTGCGGTCAATTGTGGCAACAATTCACCATTCATTCATTTCAAGCCAGTAGCCAGTTGATTGATCGATCAATCGATCAATCAATCAATCAATCAAAAACATGCGAGGTAGATAAGGTAGTAAGTAAGTAATGGATCCATCAGTCAATCGTCCGTCCCAAAGCGCGCGCAAAAAAAAAATGAAAAGCGAAGAAAACAGGACGTCAAAAAAAAAGGACACAAATCGAAATAATCATATCATATCAATCAATCAATTCCCTTTCCGTGAATCCACCCGATACCTAAAATGCAGTATGTGTGTTGTGTGTGTATGAGAAAGAAAATTTGTGCGAAAATAAATACCCCTCGTTCAAGAAACAAAAACGCCTAGAACCCCGTTGTTGGTGGAGAAAACTGCCGTAGCACAGATGAGGTCGAGCCGATTCCCCCGAACGCCGGTAGACTGCTCCCCGGTATGGGACTGCCGATCTCTCCAGGGACAAGGCTCCCCCGGTGGCCTGCCATAGCGCTGTTGTTGTCCGGTTCGAACTTGACGAACTCGCTCGTCTCGTCGTCCCGGATCGAGAATGACCCGCCGCCGTTTTGCGGGTTGCCCTCGGTGTCGCAGATGTCTAGCATTTCCTTCAGGGAGATTGGAGGCTCGTTGGGTGGTCGGAGTTGGTCCACTTGTCGGCCAATGACTTTCACGTCGTGGTAGCCGCTTAAGCCCTTGGATGGAGTCATCGTGTCGAGCTGTTTGCAGGCTTGGATTACGAGGAGCCTGATGGCAACAGGTCGAGATGTGTGAGCACGGTGGTGACTCGCAGATCCGAATACATTATTGGCCCATCCGCTTCCTAAAGTGAAGGTTAGTAGAGGTCAGATGGAATTGAGAAAGCGTTGTCTACTGACCATGTGTGGTTCCCCATGACGGGGCACCGGGAAAGGCGGAGGCACCAAAGGGAATCTGCGGGCCCCACGTGTTGCTGCCCACTCCGGGACTGGGGAAATTAGAGTGTTTCGGTGCTATTATTTTGTTAGCCCCGCCCGCATTGAAGATTTTTGAAACCGGCCGTCGTTGAATCGACTTACCACTGAGAGGATCCGGGAACAGCGCCGGCGCGCCGAAGCTGGCCCGGGTCGGTCCCGGTAAAGATCCCGGAAGAGTGCCACCCGGCAATGACCGGGACAGGTTCGATGCGAACGGGATATCTGTGTCATCAAGGAGGGCACTGCTGCCCAGCTGGGTACTCAGCTTGTCTACATCCCCACGGGTCGTCCGTGCATGGTCCCCTGGCTGCTCCTGCTGGGTGCTAGACGGGCGCTTGATAGGACTGGGTCGAGTGATCGGGAATGGCTGGGTGTGATGCACCTCGAGAGGGGATCGCTCAAACGAACCGGAAGGCTGCCGGGAATGGCCATGGGACAGTCCACCTGGCGGCGTGGAGAACGCACCCGACATGGGCGGTTGGCCGTGGAACGGAAGATTGTGGCCAGGGTCCAGCGGGAATCCTCGCCCGGGACCCATCTGACGGGATCCATTGATGCCCGGGGGCACAGGGATGCCGTTCGGTGCCGGGAACCCTCGCGGCTGATTCATGAGTGACCCGGTGTGCGGGGGATATGTAGGTAGGTCATGGCTCATTGGCAACCGAGGCATGATCCCAGCCAACCCCGGCGGATTCGGTGGCATTCCGTTGCCGCTTGGGAACCCTGGCGGATGAGTGCGACCCAGCGGGGACAGCGGCGTAGAAGGTTGAGGATGGTGGAGCATCGACGGTGGCCCCTGGCCCTGTCTGGACGTAGCACTTGAGGCTCCAGAGGACTGGCTGGGCCCAATGGATCGCGGGGAGACGGAGACCTGCGAGGGTTCTGCGCTGGTCGCTTGGGATCGCGGAGAGGAGCTGTGGGAGTCTTGCTGGGATGGTTGACGGGGTCGGGCGGGAGTCGGGGCTTTGGGGACAATCGGCGTAGCAATCTGGGTGTGCGGTGATGGGTGGTGGCCCGGGGGCCCTTGAGGATGGTACAGATTCGCGGGAATCGGGACGAGCCCCGGATGCGACGGTCGATTCGCCGGTACACCGGCCTTCTGGCTGTCCTTCCGGGCTTGTTCCTCCCGCGCTTTGCGCTCGCGTTCATCCCGGGCCTTCTTCTCCCGCAACTCGCGCTCTTCCCGCTCCTTTCGCCGCGATTCTTCCCGCCGTTTCTTGTCTTGCTCCTTCTTCCGCTCCGCTTCCGCTTGTCGCTCCCGATCTTCCTGCAATCGTTTTTGCTTCTCGGCCTCCTTGCGCGCGCGCTCCTCTTCCTGGGCCTTCCGCTCAGCTTCCCGCTTCTTGCGCTGTTCTTCTCGCTTCTGCCGTTGCTCTTCGAGCTTTTTCTCCTGCTCGGCTTTCGCCGCCGCTTCCTCGGCAGCCTTTTCCGCCTCCCTTCGGGCCTTCTCTTCCTCCTTGGCCTGCCGTTGGAGCTTCTTCTTGTCCTTCCTTTTCTGAGCTTCGCGAGCTTTCTTGGCATTCCGCGCTTCGGTTCGATTCTCCTCTTCCAACAGTTCTTCGATGAGTTTCTGCTGACGTTGCTCGGCCACCTTTTCCCGGTACGCCGTTAAGACGCGCTGTTCAAACATTCGAGCCGCAAAGATTTGGAACATCCGCCGCCCTTCCTCCATGCGCTGTTCCTCCGTCATTGCGTCCTGTGACCATGTCAGCCTGCGCTCCGTCCGGCATGCACCGATGTGGGGGGAACTCTGGACCAACCATCTCATCGTCCTCGTAGTCCTCTTCCTCCTGGCTGTCGTAATCCTCGTCTTCCTCATCGTCGTAGTCCTCGTCGTCCAAAGGGCCATGGTTGTGACCGCCATGGAGCGACTGATGGGCGGCAGCGATACCGTACTGGGTGTCCTCTTCGCGTTGCATCCGACGTTCAGCGAGCTGTTCCATCATGTCGATGAAGTGTTTCCCGTCATTCTTGAGTAGGTCATCCGCAACCGTGAGAATCCCGTCTGTGGGGGAACAATGAGGCAGAGCGCCTCCGTCAGCCCGTATCCTCACGTCAATGCAATCGGGGTATATCGCCTCGGCCTTACCTTTTACCGTTAGACTGTTCCCGAAGGCGAAGAAGTCTGCGCGGGCGGCACGGGTTTCCTCGTCCTCGAACTCATCGTCGCTGTACGGTTCGTCGTCGTCCTCGTCCTCGTCCTCGTCTTCCTCCTCCTCCTCCTCCTCTTCTTCTTCGTCGTCGTCCTCATCCTCCTCGTCGTAGTCCTCTTCGAGGTCGTCGTCGTCTTCGGGCAACTCGTGGATGCGCCCTCGCGAGGGGTGAAACTGACCGTGCGTTCGGGTGTGTTGGCCGGGGGATCGTAACGGTTGCTGGTATAGGCGGGGCGGAGGGACGATCGGGGAGCCTCTCTCAAAGGAGCTCTGGTTATTGTTGGCATACTGTTCGAGTTCCTCGTAGTAAGCGTCATAAAGTACCTCTAGTTCCTCCTCAATCGCCGTCCGCTTCCTACCACACACGGTGCAACTGCACGAGTGTTTCTGCTGCTCCTTCATCTTCTTCAAGACGGCATCCTTCTCGACCTTGACGAGTTGACGACGTTCCTCCTCCCCCAGCTCGAGCCAGAAGGTTTTAATGTTCTCGCGCTCTTCCTGGGTCGACGTGTTCCAGATGCTGCGGTCCTTGGCGGCCTTCAACAGCGGTCCGGCGCCGAGGTGCGGGGGCAGCGGCGGGGGAAGCGGATGCGACGACATGGAGATGGACGGGGTGGACTGCGAGGTCGGACTTTCGTCGCCCATGGTTTCCGAGTGCGACCGCCCCTTCTTGCCCTTCTTCTTCTTCGACTTCCGCCCTGCGGCCCGGGGATGATCGTCGGGCCCGTTCGCCATGTCGGGGAAATCGTGGTGGACACTCGCGGCGTCCTGCTCGTCGTCGTAGTACACGTCGCCATTCACATTGTCGAAGTCCGGCTCGTAGGACAGAACGCTCTCGAGTAAGGCGGACCCGGAGCCGTTCCGGTCGGCGACACTCGTCGGCACGTGTCCGTTCCCGAGCTGGTTCTCCGCCGCAAGGCGAGCGGCCTGCTTTTGCCTGCGTTTCTGCTTCTTGCGATTCACGGACGTGTTCTGAACGACGGACGCTGAGGGGGGGGTGGGGATGTTTGCCGCATGAGCCTCCCCATTGACGGGACGAGTCGAGGGGGCCGGCATGGATTCAGCCGTGGCGGCGGCCGGAGCCGGTCTAGGGGGGTGCGGAGGCGCCATGCCTCGCGCTGGCGGGTATCGACGGGGTGATCAAGTCGGGACGGAGCTCCTCGAAAGTTCGGAAGTAACCACCATGCTAATATGAATGTAGACCAAAGCGTCAGGAAGAGGTGCGACAGACTAAGATGGTTTCGTCGACGACAACTCACCAACTACCTCCGCGATTCACGTGCCGAGCAGCGCCCCAGAGAAGACCAAAAATGGAGAAGAGTAAAGAGGAAAAGGACAAACCCTAGAATTCCCAGCGAAAGCGTCGAAGTCCGCCAGAAGGATCGGTCGCGTATTGAGGCGGCGAAAAACGGGTAAGATAGCAGGGTCGAGCCAACGGAGCGTGAGAGCGGAGAGGGGTGGAAAGGACCCGGGCCGCACGACGAGGGGGGTAAGTTTGTCCAAATGTGACGGAACCAATCTGGTAGAGAGAGGGGGGATCAGGTAGCGACAGAGAGAGGAAGATCCCGAGTCAGATCGACCAAAATAGGGAATCCACGGATATGAGAGGGCCAGTTGAAGATGGGGGTGGGGAGTGGGATAATGAATCAGTGACGGACTGAATGGGTTCGCTTTGATCTTGACGCCAGGCGTGGACTTGCTGGATGGTTGCCGTGCCGCTGGCCGCAACTGGTTAAGCGCCGCAAGCGAGTGTTGGTCCCTCAGCGATCAGGCACCCCAATCTGCCTTAGTCATGGATGCATTCATAACTGTCAGGCATCGATTTTCCCGCTAAGACCAAAGCGGTTAGAATCCGGTGGGTTGATACGGGATCTTTACAGGACCGCTGTATCGTCGCTGTATGGAGTAAACACATGAGAATCATGTTGCATTAGTGGAGCCATGTTTGGCCAGACACCGCTGATTAGTATAATCAAGTTCAAGACACTCATCAGGTCCTGACCCAAGTCGATCCCTGTCATCCTCCTCCTACGACTAATCATCATGAGAGGGAAACGTGTGGTCCCCACTTGGGATGATAAGAATAGCAACCCAGGCCCTGACAATCATTCACATGGGAAACGGGACCATCTCCATGTTTACATTTACAGAATCAAGACAATGGTTGTCAAAGAAGAGGATTGAAACAACAAGGAAACAAGTGCAAAGTCAGGGAGATTGTTATCTGAGACATAGCATGAACTTGAGTAACAGCGGCGCAGGATGATTGTTTCTATCTGATTTGATTTTTCTCAGCCCTCCTCCGGTCGATCTCATCCTGGACTTTGATTACATGGGGAGCAGGATGAACGGGTGATTGATTATTATATTGTTATTAGCACGAGTATTAAACTAATATTATTGATTGTTATTACTATGGGATCTATGCCTATGATATTAATCTAAGTCTCCCCTGATATTTATTCATTCTTTCCCCTCCATCTCTCCTTACTTCCTCCTCTCCATCTGATGATCTGAAGCTGCAGCACCAGGTCAGTCTGTATTGACCGGTAATATACATCGTATACATCCCCAGGTACATGAACAGTACCTAAAAGGACCTAAAAAGTTAACTAATCCTACCTAACCAGTTAGTCGTCAGCCTCAACTCGACCGCCTTCCCAAAATCATCCAACTGTGCCATCTGGATTCCCCCCATTATTGCCCTCGTCCTGCAGTTAGGGGGAGGGGACTTTTCTAATCGTCCTATTCAATCTTGCATCAACTTACTTCTCCTCCTCAATCCGGCACACAATCCGTGTCTCGATCCCCCCGGGTGCCTGAACCTCCTCCTCGCCTTATCTCCACCATACCTACTTCCTCCCCCCCCCCCGTGTCCACCCCCCGGTTCAGGGCTTCTCACCCAAGCGCCCTGACTTCATCCCCGTCTACCTGTCCGCATTTCTCTCTTCCGCTCGACGGTTTCTCGACATTATTATCTTCTCCTACCTCCCTCCTGAGGGGTTGATTGATTGATTGATCGTTCGATCGATCGTCGATCAGGCTCGTGCGATTTGGCCGTGGAAAATGGCCCAACAACAGAGTGACGACAATGTCATGCGAAGGTGCGTGCGACGACCCTGATCCGGCAATCCGTCGTGTCATGGATGTTCCAACCACCAGTAGTTCAACTGGGGGATCGGCGTTCCATACCGCGCTTTGCATGCGGTCCATCCCACCCTCACCCCTCCTCTCCTCCATCTCCCTGGCGCTACATTTCGCGGAACTAGGATGTCGGAACTAACGCTAGAACCATTCTAGAAAGTTGGTTATCATCGGCGATGGTGCTTGTGGGAAGACCAGTCTTCTCAGCGTCTTCACCCTTGGCTACTTTCCAACCGTGAGTCCCTCCCCCTCCCCCTTCCCTCCCGAAACAGGTCGAATCAATGCAAAATATAGATTATGGACTAACGTACTTTTCTGTCGCAGCATTATGTTCGTATTTCCATCCCTCCCTGATGCCATCCGTGTCTGGCGCGTCGGCCTCTGACCATACCTGGATTAGGTCCCTACCGTTTTCGAGAACTACGTAACAGATTGTCGGGTGGATGGACGGTCTGTCCAATTAGCCTTGTGGGATACTGCGGGACAGGAGGACTACGAGCGTCTGCGCCCGCTGGCCTATTCCAAAGCGCACGTCATCTTGATCGGGTTCGCCATCGACACCCCAGACTCGTTGGAGAATGTAAAGCATAAGGTCCGTTGATCCCTATTGTCCTTATCCTATCCGTTCTCCGGCTGATCACTCCAACACAGTGGGCTGAAGAGGCAAACGAACGATGTCCAGGCGTGCCGATCATCATAGTGGGCTTGAAGAAAGATCTCCGAGACGATCCCATGGCGATCGAAGAGATGCGGAAGAAGTCATTACGGTTCGTCACGGCCAAGGAAGGTAATGACACCTCCACGTCGCTCGGCGCGAGGAAATACCTCGAGTGTTCGTCCTTGACCGGCGAGGGAGTCGACGACGTCTTCGAAGCCGCCACGCGGGCCGCCCTCCTGACGTTCGAAAAGCGAAAAAGTTCGTGCTGCATTGTCCTGTGATGGATCCAAGTCGCATTGTAACTCCAACGACTTTCTCCCACCAGTCAGAGACACGCCTCCGCCCGGCCTTCAATACATGTTGCACCAACCCACCACGACAATCCACGTGTCTATCGCTGGTGGGAACTTAACAAAAAAAGGGGACTGAAGAGACTGAAGTCGATGACGATCACGCCGTTGATCGATACTTGCATTATTGGGCGTTTGGGTAGGCTTTCTCGACCGACATCAGGTCATTTCTCTTCCTTGCGACGTTGCGTCTGTATATGGTACGAAAACACGTCTTATTCGATTCTCTCTCTTATCTTATCTTCTTGGGCGGAAATACGCTCCCCCATAACGGTCATTCTCTTCGATACGCACGCGTTGCAGTCCGAATTCTCTCCTTGATGATTTCTCCGATCTATCGGGCGTTATTATACCAACTGTCATGATACTCTCATTTCGCCATTTCATTTCATTCTATGTTTGTCCCTGACTTTGATTTACGCACATTCTTTATCGTCTAGCGCGTTTTTTCTTTTCTTTTCTTTTCTTTTCTTTGACTTGTTTGAAGCAATCGTTGCAATACGTCAATACGTTCATACGTTCGATCAGTGTGTTTATATCAATCTTTACTTTTTTTACTTTACTACTTTACTTTACTTATCTTTGACCTATCATTATCATCATTCTCGTACTGAGCTACAGATATAGTAGAAATGTAGATGAACACCAGTCCATAAGCCAGATATGATAAACAGACAAGTACAATAAGTTATAGTACACAGCAAAGAACAGAACCAGCCAGAACACAGTCCAACAGACAATAAGATACCCTATCTATAGACACTTCTCCCCCTTCAAAACCAGCCAATCAACCAATCAATCGGATATAAAACACAAACCCCTCAAAAGAAGAATCACCTCCTCTCAGGCCTCACCCACCCATGATTCCACCCCTCCTGCGCCGGCGTCTCCGTCTGCAACCGTCCATACTCAATAGGGAACATGTCGCGGAAAACACCCCGCTTGTTCATCGACTTGCGGAACAGCCGGCCGCCGTCGCCGGCGCCCGTGCGCAGCTCCTCGCACGCGTCGTTCATCGCGTGCCACTGGCGCTCGAGCTCCAGCGTCTGCGTGCGGCGCTGCTGGTTCTGGAAGAGTTGCCAGGCGCGGTGGATCGTCCAGTGGCGGAGGTAGCGGGTTCGGGAGAAGCGGAGGGGGCGCGGCGTGAGGGGGTGGTGGAGGAAGTAGCGGATTAGGGCTGGTTTTCTTGGTTAGTATGTTTCTATTGATTCGGTTGTTTTGGGGTGTGGTGTTTTGCTGGGGTTGGGAGGAATTGGGTTGGGGGCTTTTTTTTTGTCCATGTGTTTTGGATTGATGGATTGATGATGGATGTATAAATCAAGGATAGAAGAAGAAGAGGGTAAGAACATACTAATCCTCCTATCAGTCTTCAACCCCCCCTTCCTCTTGAACAAAGCATTGGTACTCGAAAACGTCCGCGCCGCAGCCGGCTGCGCAGCAGCGGTGACAGGGCCGGGCTGAGCATTCAAGTGGCCGATAGCCGGACGGGCCAATGTTTGCGAGATGGGAATCCTGAAGACGTTCGCCAGGGAGGCGAGGACCGGTGAAAGGGGCCGCATTGTGTGGGTTTGTTTGTTTGTGGGTGGTTGATTTGACCTGGTTAGCTTGGAGATTGAGAAAGTTGCGGGTGTCTGTTGGTCGGGACTCGGGAGGAGGCAGATTTGGTTTTGCCGCGCGTTTAGAGGGCGGGCGGCTGGGGTTGGTTTAGCGTGGTTCACCGGCATACTTGTGGTGGAGGTACCGATTCACTACTCCGTGCTTTGTACTTCGTAAGTTAATTGCTACAATTTACTTGATTATTTATTGCTCTTTTCATGGCCAGATATTATTTCCCGAATCGTGTTGGTTACAGAGTGACATTCTAGTCAGAGTTGCGATTACCCAATAAAATAAAGAAAAAAGAACGCTCGGAACTATCAATAGCACATTATAGAGGGGGAAACAAAAAGCTAGAAAAGAAAGAAGAGCGGGGAAATAAACGTAGGAGAGGATCACAACGCCGGGAATGCACCATCATACCGATTATCATCAAGGACCATGCTGCTTGCCAGGAAGTCACCGCTTACCGCTGACGGACCCTCGCTTCGCCCGATCGTAATTCAGCACTTTTCGTCGTCGGTGGGTCTGCGCTAGCTTCCATCGACAGTACAAGACCAATGCATCTTTCAACAGTACGAAGACACAACCGCCCACGACGCTGCGGCCCCAGCGTGTCTGCAAGAGACCCGGTCGACTGCGCTCCAGGGTTGACGCCGCCGTCCATGACTTGGGTAAGACGTACTTGAGCAGTCCGCCCATGGAGGCTGAAATGGCTGGGAATGCGAGGGCACCCAGGATGATGTCGGCGAGGTTGCCCGTGTCGTAGACCATATCTTCGCGTCGTCCGAGCCCCATGCCCTGGCCAACGCCTAGCTGGTTCTGCGCGCCCTGTCCGTTGTCCGCGCCCAGCCCGAGCGCCTCCTGCGGGTTGTCGTTATCGTCGTTCCCCATGCCCATTTGTAGTTCCAGATCGATCTCCATCAGGATCTGACCGTTGCCGACCTCCCCCCGGGCGTCCGGCTCCGGGTGTTCCGGCGGCGCGTTGTCGTCGAATTCGTTGACATCCGACTGACGGGGTTGGACCTCGGCGATCCACTTGCGCTCCAGTTGCCCGAACAGTCGGTCGTAGAGGGCGCCGTAGAAACTCTTCACGTACGGCAGCGCCGCAAAGGTCATCGTCGCCGAGGGTGGCCAGAGCTCCATGTCGGGCTCCTGACCCGGATTGTGCGTCGCGAAGAACAGCACCGGGATGGCGGGGAGAAGGCCCTCGGCGTAGCGAGTGCGGGAGAAGATCAACGCCATCGGGATCAACGGCAGGCCGAGATTGAGCCCCGAGTTCCACGTGCCCTCCGCCGTCTCTTCCAGGACGTGTCGGGCGTCCTCCGTCCCGAAGATCAGATACATCGAATACACCCCGTGGGCGCAACACCCCGCCCACACCGTGCCCGCCGCGGTGAAGAGCAGCCCCGGCAGGACCAATCGGCTAGCGACCCCTTCCACCAACCGCACGACGTCCACGATATAGCTGCGGGGCCGGGAGACCACGATCTCGGACTTGCACTGCGGACACACCATCTTCGCATTGTGGCCGTTGCGCTTGCGGGAGCGGGGGTTCTCCAGATCAGCCAGCCAGTCGAGGAGACACGCTTCGTGGGCCGTCAGGGCGCACGGACACGGCGACCGCCAGTCCTGGTTCAGAGGCGAGTCTTCCGTCTCGTCGGTATAACAGATCCAGCATTTGCGAGGCTCGTCGACGGTGGCTAAGCTGGAGGCCGGGGGCTTGCCGCTGGCCAGGTTATCTTCGCTCGAAGAGTGTTTGTTGAGGAATACGGTCTCGTGATCCTCGAGGGACCCTGTCGGTGGTGCACTACTCGACTCCGATCTCGGTACTGCGTCATCGCGGGTGCTCGATCGCGGGCTTTCGGCCGTCCGCGGGCGACCCGTTGTCGCCGAATATCCAGGCACCGAGGCCATGGTGTACGAATTGAATGAAGGGAGGATGACTGGGATACAGCTGGGAGGCGAAAATGGGGATGCGTTAGATGTCAGATAACCGAGCGCAACATCCTGCGGGGCAAGCTAGAGATAGAGATAGCCCGTGAAGACCATAGACGTAATGGTCCCGGTAAATATGAAATGATCAACGATCCAAACCAAGAAAGGGATAAGGATGGGCGTTGATGGGGGAGAGTTGAAAAGCGCAGAGGCAGCCCAGGAAATGGATGAAAGAAAGAGCAGTAACTTTCTTGCAGGCCGGATTGATTACCTTAGGCTCGTTCTCACCACCAACCAGATCAAGTCGGAAACGGACCGCGGCTTTGGAGGTGCGAAAATGAATCGCGACCAATGGAACGCCGGATTCGGCCGCCCCGGACGTCAGTCAGGTGCCGCTCACGTGAGCGGCTGCGGGGCACGAACGCTTGGCGCTTCCAATGGAGGCGATAGGGCTGATGCAATACCGGGGGGAGATCGTGGAATGTTCATGGTTGTTGCTCTACTAATTCCAGACTATGATCAATTGCAGACCATGATCGACAATTGATCCGAGAGACGGATAAAGAAAAAAACATGTCCCCAAATGTACATTGAACAAGATCCTGAAATAATGCCAAGCTAGACCAAAAGGTAACACTTATGTACAAGCAGATTGTTCTCCTAGGAACCATTGCAGGTGGTCATCACGCCAGACAGGAACATCCGCGGTGCGAGAGCAACGTAGATTGGCGATCATATCTCCAGACGAGGCCACTGGAACCGCCAATGTAAATGAAAATATAGTACAGAAGAAAAGAAAAAAAAGAAAGCCGTGGTTATATTATTACTTTTTCGTCCTTTCTTTCGAATCATCGCCCCACACGGTTAGAGTTCGGCGTTATTTCTCCCCCACAAGTAGGGGCGGTTGCATGTCAGTGTGGGTACATATGGGCACCAGATCAGCGTTTTGAGAACCGGCCAGAAACGCCATGGATATCAACAGGTAAAAAAGTCCGGGGAAAGGGCACTTTTGTGACTACAAAATCATCGGTACAGCAACAAGGGGTCATCAGGGATGCAGGCGAATAGGATGGAGGGTTGTCGGCGGAGAGGGAATTTAAAATTTCACATTGCGGCTCCTCATCAGAGCTTTCCGCTCTTGCTCCTTGGCTAAAGGTGAAAATAGGTTAGCACGTTGTCCAACAGGGTCAGGTGGGGGGGGCATCAATATACCTTCATCGTACACGAGGAACTCGTGCAGAGCGCTGCCGGAGGGCACCATGGGCAGCACGGGGACCTTGCGGTCCGTGAAGACCTCAAGCAGGGCCGGGCCATCGCTCTCGATCAGCCACTTCAGTTTCTCCTCGATCTCGGAGGGCTTGGTGAGGCGGTCGGCCTGGACACCCATGGACTGGGCCAGGGGCACGAAATCGGGGTTCTTCTGGTGCGTGTGCGAATAACGGTCTTCGTAGAACAGGTTCTGCCACTGCGTCACCATGCCCTGCTCCTCGTTGTTCAGCAGCAGCACCTTGACGCCGATGTTGAACTGGGCCGCCGTCGACAGCTCGGTCAGGGTCATGTTGAAGGACGCGTCACCGTCGATGTCGATGACCAGAGCCTCCGGGCGCGCCACCTTGGCACCGATGGCGGCGGGGAGACCGTAGCCCATCGTACCCAGACCACCGGAGGTGATCATGGTGCGGGGGTGGCGCCAGCGGAAGTGCTGGGCCGCCCACATCTGATGCTGGCCGACACCGGTCGAGACCACGGTGCGGTCCTTGATGTGCGCCGTGAGCTCACTGAGCTTCTCGATCAGGTACTGGGGCTTGATGGGGCCGTTGGGGTCCTGGGGATCGTAGAGGGAGAAGGGGAAGCGCGACTTCCAGTGGTTGATCTGGTCAAACCACTCCGGACGCTCGGGCACGGCCTTGACGTGCGGGAGCAGGAGGCGGATGTTGTCGGCGCAATCGCCCTCCACGGCCTCGTTGGCCTGGACGACCTTGTTGATGTTCTTGGGCATGATCTCGAAGTGGACGATACCACCGCGGCCTTCGGAGGCGGCCAGCTTCGCCTGGGGGGCGAACTTGGAGATGTTACCCGTCACGCGATCGTCGAACCGGGCACCGATGGCGATGATCAGATCGGCCTCCTGCATGGCCATGTTGGCATAGGCGGACCCGTGCATACCGAGCATGTGCAAGGCCTTCGGGTCGAGTTCGTCGTATCCACCCAGACCCTGCAGGGTCGTCGTGACGGGGATGCACGCCTTGTCGGCCAGTTCCTTCAGGATCGCGGGGCCACCGGGGCCGGCGAGCAGACCTTGGCCCACGTACAGGATGGGCTTCTTGGAGACGTTCACCAGGCGGGCGACACGGTCGATGGCGCCCTGGAGCTGCTTCTGGCCCAGCTCGCGAGCCGCCAGGGTCGCTGCGCTCGGCAGGGAGGGGATGGTGCTGTTCATGGGGATGGGCTTGCGGAGGATGCCGGCGGTGACATCCTTGGGCAGATCGACCAGCACGGGGCCGGGGCGGCCAGAGGTGGCGATCTCGAAGGCCTCATGGATGCGGCGGGGGAGCTCGGCGACGGACTTGACCATGACATTCCACTTGGTGCACGCGCGGGAGATTCCGATCACGTCGGCCTCCTGGAAGGAATCGGTACCGATCAGGCCGGTGGGGACCTGACCGCAGAAGACCACCATGGGGGTACCATCGGACAGGGCATCTTGCATCGGGGTGATCACGTTGGTGGCACCGGGGCCGGAGGTCACAAGGACGACACCGGGCAATCCCGAGGCGCGGGCGTAACCCTCCGCCATGTGGCCGGCGCCCTGCTCGTGGCGGGGAAGGACGAAGTCAAAGTGTTTGGAGTTGTAAATGGCATCGAACACGGGAAGGATAGCGCCACCGGGGTAACCGACTATCGATTGGTTAATCCCCTTGCGTCCGCCAGTAAGGACGGAGGGAACCTGAACAGAGATGACTCACAGACATGCTTCACGCCGAGTCTCAGCATCATTTCGTGGAAGATCTCTCCGCCACTCAGGCCGACGAATCTATATGCCAGACCGATTAATTCCATCCACCTTCCGGCGCCATCAAACTCATCGAAACGGGTGCACATACGAGTCGTCCAACTCGGGAGCATTGCGGGATTGCAACGGCGAGACCTCATTCCGGTGAGGTTCCTGGTTGAAGGCCGGGCTGGGAACGGGCCTGGACTCCCTGGGCGATAGAATTCCACCATTAGCTCAGTCCATTGTCTGGTCGATTTCCAGAACCATTGGAAGCCTTACGTAGCAGCGGCTGTTGCGGTGCTTTTGCTTCGTTTCTGAGTAGCGAAGCGGTGGGGCGAATTGGCGGCCGCCATCGACGCCGAGGTGAAGACTCTCCTGCTGGAGGTCATATACCTCTGATATTGCAGGGCGCGCATGGCGCTCTTCGATGGTCTTAAAGGCATCATCTTCGCGGCGGATGATTGCCAGGCCAACAAACGGAGATGTTGGAGGGGTGGAAGGGAACGGAGAGGAGAGAAGTGGCGGAAGAGTTGAAGGATGAAGAATCACAACGGCAAAAAAATACCTCCCGCTGGATCTCCTTCAGGCCGGGAGTAAAAAGACTCAAAACTGGGTCGGGGGGGGAATCCCCACCTAGTCCCAAAGGGGTTTAGTCGGCCCCGAATCAGATAATCTCGACGCCGTGATTGGCCGGATCTGCTCAGCGCCTCCGGTCATCGGCCTCTTCGGGCCTCACCTGATTGGCAGGGACCTGAGGCAGCGAGTGGCCGCATCCTCGGCGGTCGCTCGTGACAGCAGGATATGTTGATTATGGTCAAGGGGTAGAGAGACTAGGTAAGGTACTTAGAGGTACCTATAGTAGCGAGAATATACAGAGTTCTTCATGATGCAGGGACTCTCCCATGTCAGGGATTGCAATCCCTCGGACGATCGTGTCTAGACCATCAGCCTACATTAATAGAAAACATGGCAATACATACCGCCGAGGCTCTCCCAGATGTCCGGAATGTGTCAGTTCACATTCCTGTGACTGGTTTAGAGTCTACCCCCTTCATTATTTTTTCTTCTACAAGTTTTTACAATTAAACACCATCTACAGCCCTCTCTCAAGGCTACCTCAGAAGAGAAACCGAAGCCTCCTGGTCAAGACATGGTCGCGTGAGTCATGGTCTTTGTGTCAACAGCCTCTCCGATCCCGGAGCCGGTTGGCCAACCAATATGGAAAGTCCAGTCTTTGCGATTGGCGCCTCGAATTCGAATCCCATCTGAACGGTATCCTACTCCCATAATATCTACTCCGTTACTTACATCCTCTCCATGCCAATCCCTTCATCTTGAATAATGGGTGGTTGATCACGCGTGACACGATCGGGACCCACTGTCCAGCGATAGTCTGACTGCCCCGAGGAACGTAGTTACTCCGGAGGATAGGGATACTCGGTCCTTATATTGAGTCTAGGTAGGCGGCTTCAAAGAACCCCCATACTTACAATAATGTCATCGAAGAGGGTTGGTATTACTTGACAGCGTTCCGATCAATACAGGGTCACCATACAGTCAGTGGGTCGATAAATATAGACGGACGACAGATCTATCGTCCTTTATTCAGATCTCGATCACCATATCAGGGTGTTGACTATACGATTCTCGATCAGGCTGTCTACCAGCGCAGGTCATGAAGAACCAATTGCCCGGACCAGACATTAACAAAGTCAAGATGATGTTTCTAGCTTCGGTTAAATTCCCGGTTTAGCCAAGAATGCTGGAACCGCACGCATCGATTTCTTCTTCCTTTTTACATTTCATATTACCTTTTTGCTACTAACCAATAAATAACAATCATGCTGGTAATGATTGTTTTATCTTTATGATCATGTTTATTTATTCGTTTCCCTGTCAATCCCCCATCCCCATATCATGAAACCGATTGTTGGGGTTGATAGACTCTCGGCCCGGATGAGTTGGGGAAACTCGGAGTTCCGGTGAACAAAGACGAGGGAGAAATGCGGGATTGATTCAGGCCAGGGCATTTCCCACGCCGAAACGGGGCTGTCCGTCTGTGCCGAGCGCACCTGAGTGGCCATCCCGCCTGGTGGTGCGGAGCAGTCACTGCAACGCTGTACTCCGTACCTCTCCGTCCGACATGCTGAACCACCCCACCTTTTACTCAATCTCGTCCTCCTTGAATTTTATTACCTGATTCTTTCTTTCTTTCTTTGTTCTCGGAGACTCTCGCTACCTTCTTTTCCTTGATCCCATCCTTTTCTTCTCACTCCATCTCGTTCATACCTTTTACTCTCCCCAACTCCCCATACAGTGTCTATTACCCCGCCATGACTGCCCCGCAGGAACTCGTGCCCCAGACCGATTCGATCGCGGAGGTCTACGCGACCGATGACGCCTCCGCCACCTCCGCGGCCCCCGAACATGTCGCTCGATTTAATGGCCTGGTCTCCCAGTTTACCAAAGAGTATAGTCACCGCCCCGACTTTGTCGCGCGGAGCCCTGGCCGTGTCAACATCATCGGCGAGCACATCGACTACAACCTGTACGATGTCCTGCCCACCGCCGTGAGCGTCGACGTGCTCATGGCCGTCAAGGTCGTCCCTTCGGCCGGCTCAGAGACCGTGATCAAGATCGCCAACGTCAACCCCGACAAGTTCCCCACGCGCGAGTTCACCGTGCCCCGCGACACGGATATTGTGATCGACCCTAAGAAGCACGAGTGGGTGAACTACTTCCGCGCCGGCCTCCTGGGTGCGTTGAAATTCTTGCGGAAGCAGAATACCGATGGCTCCTTCGTTCCCGCGAGCATGGAGGTGCTGGTGGACGGCAACGTGCCCCCCGGCGGTGGCATCTCCAGCAGCGCGGCGTTTGTGTGCTCGAGTGCGCTGGCGGTCATGAAGGCCAACAACCACAACGTGTCCAAGCAGGACTTGCTCGACCTGGCGGTAGTGTCGGAGCGTGCCGTGGGCGTGTACTCTGGCGGGTAAGTACCCAACCCTATCCATGCATCCTCCAATCTAATCGTCGCTCACCCCATAATAGCATGGACCAGGCCGCCTCCATCTTCTCCCGCCGCGGATACCTGCTCTACACCCAGTTCTTCCCCACCTTCGCCGTGCAGCACGTCTCCATCCCCAAGGCCTCCGAGGAGATCACCTTCCTCATGGCCCAGAGTTTCGTCACCTCCGACAAGGCCGTGACCGCCCCCCGCCACTACAACCTGCGCGTCGCCGAGTGCACGCTCGCCGCCGTGGTCCTCGCCGCGCACTTCGGCCTGACCCTCCCCAAGGACAACAGCTCCCTCGGCTACAGCCTGCGGAACTTCCAAGAGGAGCTCATGCGCAAGGAAGGCCGCCTACAGGACCCCCTGGAGTACCAGATCGACTCCGTCATCCAAGCCACGATGGAGCTCCTCCCCCAGGAGCAGGGCTACACGCGCGAAGAGATCGCCCAAAAGCTCAACATCACGGTCGCCGACCTCGAAGCCAAGTACCTGTCCTCCTTCCCGGTCCAAGCCGACCGATTCCTCCTCCGCCAGCGCGCCCTGCACTGCTTCAAGGAGGCCCGCCGCGTGCTGGACTTCAAGGCCTGCCTGGCCAACGCGTCCACCCTCGACGAGAAGCGCATCCACTACCTGGGCCAGCTGCTCAACGAGTCCCAGCAGTCCTGCAGCGACGCCTACGACTGCAGCGCCCCCGAGATCGAAGACATCTGCTCCATCGCCCGCCGCGCAGGCACCTTGGGCAGTCGGCTCACCGGCGCCGGCTGGGGCGGCTGCACCGTCCACATGCTGCCGCAGTCCAAGGTCGACGCCGTCACCAAGGCCCTCACGGAGGAGTACTACCTTAAGAAGTTCCCTGATATCTCGGAGGAGAAGCTCGCGCAGGCGATGGTGATCAGCAAGCCCTCGAACGGGTCGTTCTTGTATGTTTCCCTCTCTACTTTTTTTACATTTCAATCCTGACTAACGATTTTTCTTTGTAGGATCTCGGGCTCCGCAATCACGCAAGTTGATGTTTGAACAAGAAACCCACGATGGAATACCAAATTATCAAGATTGATAATGAGACCCTAGCAGATTTGCTACGCACCCTGTTTTGTTTATTTTAATGACTACCTACCAATTGAATGTACGCGGGCTTTGCCTGTATCAACTTTGATTCCACGTTCAAGACTGTAGATCTCTTATCTAGAGTAGTGACTGTATGAACGCCTGATGATTAAATGGCGTGGTAGAGCGGGGTTATACGTATAGTAGAGTGGTTTGCGAAAAACTACAGTTGGATTTAAATCACGGGTTTGCATATCCAAGACAGTCCTGGGACTGATGAGCAGTATTGTATCGAAATTGGAACTCATGGGTATATGACCTCTAATGTGTTGGTCAAGTGTCTTGTTTGAGACCAGACTGCCCTTTTGACCCCAGCCTTATCTATACAGTATGTACAAGTCGTATCCCAAGTATGGCGAGCCCGACCCAGCCTGGTCATTATCTCATGAAAGCATTTCTGGCGGGTATCGACTCCTTCCTGTCGGGTTGATAAAGCCCCTGACTGGTATCCTGGCTGAAATGGCGTTCAAGTGACTTGGATCAGGCCTGTATATGTCATGTACCCGATATGATGCGCAGGTTGCACGGGTGCACCCGACAGTCTGGGGCGTCATATGCTCTTCTTCATCAGAAGCCCGTTGGTTCCGTGCGCACACGACTCGTAGCGCGCGAGTGCTGGGGCCGCTCTGGTGTTTGCTCTAGCGGTAGCCAAACAGAGACACATTTCAAGTCTTCTTCTTCGCAGCAGCCGACCTGGTAAAGAAATCGCTCATCTTCTTCATGCCGGAGGTATCAACCTTTTTCAGGTCCTTGACGCCGCGCGATACCGTGGCTTTCTTTTTCTTCTCTTCTTCCTCTTTGCGACGCTTCGTTTCGGCGCGGGACTCGGCCGCGTCGTCGTCGTCAGCGCTGCGCTTGCGGGTAAAATCTCCCGCTGACCGCGACGCGAGGGCCTCCTTGCGGAGACTGGCTATTTGCTTGAGGTGTTCTTGCAGGGGCTTGAAGTCTAGAGGGGTGTCTGATGAGCCTAGCAGCTCGTCGATTCTGGCACAGAGGGTCTTGGGTAGGTAGGAGTCTTTCATGAAGGATAGAGCTGTTGAGAGGCGTAGGAGATGTGCCATATTGTCGGGGGCTGAGCTGTCGGGGAGTTGCTCGGTTGCCGGAGTCGATGGAGTGGTATCGGAGGGCGAGTCTGTGGCCGTCGTCGCAGAGGGCGTATCTTTGGGATCCTGCTCTTCTCCTCCTTCCTCGCCGTTGCGCGTTGACGCGGCATTAGTAGAGGCATCCTCCCGTTTGACGGACATCAACGGCGTAGCTAGCGCCTGGCGGATGAAGCGCTCTTCCAGACTAGCCGGAAGTCCCTGGGCGACCATCCGTTCGGCCTTGACGATCAGCTCCTTGAGGAGCTTGGTCTCGCTAAACCGAAGCATCTTCTCGTCTCCAGCTTCCACCGAGTCGCAGATGGCCTCCGCGCGACTCTCGAGCACGGGTCTGAAGATATCATTGTAGAAGACCTGACGAAGGTGCTTGGGGAGCTCGTCCTGCGAGTCGATGATGTCGTCCAAGGGCTGGAAGAGGCCCTTCGTCTGGGAAACCGAGGTGGGTGCCAGCAAGGGGATCATGAAAAACATCATGTCGATCGGTGTCGCGACGGCTAACTCCGCTGCTTTTGCGATCGTCCCTTTTGTCGTCTGTTCGGATTTATCCGTGAATAGGAAACTCCGCGGCGCGTGTGGGGTCGGTCGGATCACGGTGAACTCGTACATGCCCAATTTCGGGCAGAAGAAGTAGCGATTGAGTTCCGCTGTCCGCGGATTGGGCAGCATGATAAACCGGGCATCGTCGCTGGCGGATGATGGGAGAATGAAGGTTTTGCTAGGTGGTTCGGGAGGGGAGGTTGTCTGGGTCTGCGAAGGCTCGTCGGACTCCGTCTGTTTAGCGGGCGCTGTCGACCGTGTTCGTGGCATCGTGGGTCAATTAGAATTTCTTCGCAGTCTAATTGAGGGATTGTAGACGGTCAAGTGGCATTGCAGGGGGCGGAGGTGACGGTGAGAGAGAAGAGAGAGAGAGAGAGAGAGACAGCGGAATGATCGACGCGTTCCGTTTCATTTCATGAACAACGCGACGCGCCGCTGCCCCAGGCCAATCAATTTCCCGCTCGGTCTCCGTTGAACCTGCAAGCGCCGTCTCAGCTCTGGTGTACTTGCATGAAACCAACCTTGTTGAATCTGTGCGACTCGGTCCTGGTTGCTATGACCCCGTCTTCTCCCTCCCTTGCTTCTCCATGATTTTATTATTGTGCTGGTGACACGACCGCTGGACCATCGACGGTTACCGCGCCCAGATTCAATCCGTTCTTTCTCCGTCGGTCTTTCCCCGCGTCACTGGCCAATTGAGCATGGCAAGTCGGAGCGCAACACTAGCCCTATACGAAGTGGCATAATTGCCGAATACGGTCTCAACTACGGAGGATTTGTACGACAGGGGATTTGTTCTAGACGCGATCGGTCGCGGTTCGCAACAGTGAGTGCCGGACTGACTCTCCCCCGAAAACATCTGTCCGATGGCTGACATCTGTGAACGTGGTTACAGTGTCCGGACCCTCGTGGCCGCCAAAGTCTCCGCGAGAGGCCCTTCTGAGCTCCCCCAGCGGTCGCAAAAGGTACGAGGAAATGCAGCGCCGTCGCGAGACTCTGGGGTCGCCCTTGCGCAATTCAGCTACGACCCCCAATCTCCGGGACAAGGCGAGGCAACAACTTTTGAGTGACGGCGTGGGAAGCGGAGACGACGATGAGGAGGACGACGAGGAAACTCTCCAGCTCAAGCTGGCGGCCATCGAAGCGAAACTGAAGCTCAAGCGACTGCAGAAGGATCGCGACAGGCCAGGGACCCCCAGGTCGAGCGTGCCTGAGGATGGCAACGCGCTGTCCAGACCAGAGTCTGCCTTTAGCTTTTCCCGGGCATCACTCCGTTCACCACAGCGTTCTTCACGAACCGATATTTCCCGAGAAGCAGGCAGTCGGCGATCGCCAGATCCAGTCCAGGTGCCTTTGTCGCCGACGAGACGACCAGCCCCATCGGCAGATCCAGTGTCCCCGCGGAGGTATCTGCTTGGAATCGACAAAGGTCTGAGGGGCGGCGAGGTGTCTCTCAAGCGCCCGCCGGCCTCCAGACTGGGACCCCGGCCAGCAAGCACGACCGGCAACCGCGGCGATTTCGTGTCCCACTCGGGCAATATTTTGGCGTCCATGACCGCAGGTGCAGACGCAAATCGTCCAAAGAGCTTCAGCGAACGGATGGCCGAAGGGAGGAACGTGGAGAAGGCAGAGAGGGCCCGGAGAGATCGTGCGGAGCGAGTCCAGGCGAGCAGGAGCTCTGCCTTTCAGTTTGATAAAGCGGAAGTAGAAGGGTTCAAAGCAACGGCCCAGGCGAGGCCCGGCTCCCCTGTGCGGTCACCGACGAGACATCGACAGGCGGAGAGTTTCAGTCGCGACGATGTCCTGCGATCATACAACCAGATGAAACCCCCGTCGTTGAAAAGAAGTCACACCTCCCCGAGCATGCGGAAAGAAGACGAAGACACCAGGGAGCCGAGGACCTTTTTTCATCGACGAAGCAACAAGTCTGAGTCGGAAGCGCTACCGAGTCTTCCAAGCAGCTCGTCTGGGGAGTACGCCAATGGTAATGCAGTCGTCCCAGAGAAAGCACCGGACTCGTCGAAATTTGAACCATTCTCTGGGATACACCTTTCCAACCGCATCCTACCCCATTCTTTTCTCAACCGCACCCTCGCCGATAAAAAAGTCCTGAAGATCCCAGACCTTCTCCGTACTATCAAAGGACCCGCCTTCGAGCTCCCCGAGGAGATTGATACAGACTACGTCGTGTTTGGCATCGTCGCGTCGAAATCCGAACCCAAGGCAATCAAAGATAGGCGAAATAACTCAACCAAGGAGGCTGATCCTTTCGACGATGGGTTGAATAACACCAGCAGATATATGGTTATTACGCTCACTGATCTCAAATGGTCCATCGACTTGTTCCTTTTCGACACAGCTTTCCCGCGGTACTACCGGATCTCCGAGGGCATGCTCATTGCCATCCTAAACCCGACGATAATGCCACCTCCAAAACACAAACTGGATACAAACAAATTCAGCCTTAACATCTCTTCATCGGATGACAAACTCCTCGAGGTGGGAAACGCGCAAGATATCGGGTTCTGCAAGGCCGTCAGAAAGGACGGTAAAACGTGCAGGTCGTGGGTGGACGGCCGCAAGACAGAGTTCTGCGACTTCCATCTCGACCTCCAAGTCCGTCGTACCCAATCCCAACGCATGGGCGTCAACAGTGGCCCCGGCATGTTCGGCCCAGGCGGACGCTCCGGTGCGCGGACCGGCTTTTTCGATGACGGAGGCAATGCCGGAGGAGGAAAGAGAGGATGGTCAGGAGGCCGCGGGGGCTATAAGAACGGGCTGAAGCCCGAAGGCCCCCAATATGATCGCATGTCCCAGTCAACATACTACGTCGCACCAGCTCCCAAATTTCGCAACGGCGCCGGGCCGTCATACATGCAATCAGGCCAGTCCCCAGCCAGCCTTATCGACGCTGACCACGACGACCCGTTCATCGCCGCAGGCATGATGAGCCGGGGTCTCGAAAGCAAAGAGGAACGACGTCGCAAGAAACTCGCCGAGCAGAAGCGCGAACGCGAGATCACCCAGCGACTCGTGCAGTCCCGCGCAGGCGGCGTAGGCGCAGAATACCTCCGCGCCAAAAACGCCGAGAACATCTCATCATCAACCCCACGCTCGTCCCAGGAGAAGACCGACCCGTCGACCCAGGGCCAGGCAAACAAAGATCTACTGACAGGATTCCGCAAAGCTGGCACGGTGAAACTGAGTCCGTTGAAGCGCGCTCACGACGGCGACCGCCCGCATGGCAATAGCGGCGTCAAGAAGACCCGATTTATCACTTCCAAGGGCATCAAAGAGGCTGGGAGAGACAGTCTTGGTGGAGTGTCTGATGCGACTGTCACGAAGAATAATTATGATGATGATGACGATGACGACGGGTTGGACATTATCTGATACTCACTCTTGTTTCCTCTATTCATTGGGCGCGCTACTTGCCGTTGCCTTTTCATATCAATTATGCTCTTTTCCCCAATACGCACATACACATACATACCCTAGACGACGAAGTCAATGACCATGACGAAAAACCATGGGATAGAATTTGGATCAAAGATGATCATAGATTCAAGAAAAACAAAAGAGGAAAATCATTATCTCACTATTACTATCATTATGCTGTCATGACGAAGAACCATGTATCCTTTTTCCTTTTTCCTTTTCACACAGATATCGAAGCGCCACTTGTGGGAGTTAAATCACACTGTCCTTGAACCATCATTCCTTTGTCTTTGCTTTGCTCCTTTGTACTAGACAAGCGACCATCTGGGACCTCTTTTGCTTGTTTTCTTTTCTCTGGCTAGAGAGACCCGCCTCTATTGTACTCCCTGCAGTAGGTAGTGCGCGATAGATACATATCTACCTACCTAGATAGATAGCTGGACGACTCGAATGGCCTGTGATTTGTACTTTTAGCTGGGCTGGGAGTATCATTATAATAATCTTCATCGTCCATTTTAATATTTCTTACTTCTCTCTTCCCTTTTTCCTTTTTCTGTTGGACTGAGGGAATCTACTTTCGTATGTTGTTTTGCTCTGTTGATTATATATTTTGCCTAACTTGGTGCTTCACCCTACACGGTACATATAGTGTAACAAATGTAATAGCCTAGCAAGCAAGAGTGACAAGAACAGACAGATACAGATAAAAAAGAGATGACATCGCAATTTCGTGTGCATTGGTATCTAACTATTCCTAAGCTATTTGATAAAAGAATTAAAAAAGAAAAGAAGAAACGTATCAGCCTCTTACAGCCGTAGCGACAGCGAGAGCAGACAACAGAAAGGAAGAAGAAATAAAAAAGGAAAGAAAAAAGACAAGAAAGAGAGGAAAACTCCATCCGATGACAATGCCTGCTTTGAAGCTAGTTGAATGCCAGTACCCGTCCAATTTCCCATAATTTACCCATATCAACCGGCCCATAGCTGTTCGAATCTGCGGGTCAAAAGCCCGGAAGAAGACGAAGAAGAGGCTTGGGGTACGGTGAGTCTCACGCAAAGATAGATCGAACCATGTCAAACTCCAAGCGCACGCATCCATAAACTGGTACCAAAGAGGGTGAAAAGATTAACAGGAAAATGAAAGTAATGATGAAAGAAACACATGAAAAAAAATTCGTCCAGTCTTGGGAAATGTCGGGTCGTCCGTATGTGACAACGATGGAGAAAGAAAACAAAGATGCGCTCGCTGTTCAGAAATGTCTGCAGATAGAGAGCCGTAGGGACAGTCGATTATGATGCAGCATGAGCCCGGGTGCTCCTCGTCTTCTTGGCCGCTGGCCCGATGGGACTTCCTGAGGACTCGGCGGCATCCCGCTTCTTGGCCTTGGAAGCTGCCACGGCGGGTGTGGCCTTCTTCCGCAGCCAGCCGTCGAAGGGACTGCCACGCTTCTTCCCTGCCGTTGCGGTAGGCGTCTCGCCGCTTTCGAGAATGTCGCGTTTGCCCCGAGGACGTAGGGAACGGATCGTCGCGCCGGGAGATTCGGGGGTTTCAACGGCTGAGTCCATGGTCGGGGTCTCCGCACGCTGAGGCATGTCCACATCCGCCACATGATCACTGCTGTCTGCATTCTCGTTGTCGGTAGCCACGGCGTGGTCTTCGATATCCGTAGCCGCCTCTTCCTCGTGGTCGTCATGGGTTGCTGGTGGCATGCGATGTTTGGCCTTCCTCGGGAAGAGTACCCGCGGTTTGATCGACGAACGAGTCAGAGGGCGAATGTTAGCCACAACGGACGAATCAATGAGATCTGGGCGGGACGCTAGCAGGCCCAGATCGTCATCTTCTTCATCCTCTTCTTCGCTCTGGGGTTCTTCGTGGAACTTGCGGAAAGTCTTCTTGCCTCGGCTGCGGGGGACGTTAGTTCATGTATTGATGATGGGGAACAAGGTCCTGAGATGTTACTTACAAGACATAGACCATGCCATCCTCACGATCGATGGCTTCGTCGACCTCTTTGTCCCGCTTTCCACCATCTCTGCGCCTCGAAGAACGTGTAGTTGGCATGCTGGGTGCCGGCTTTTTGGAGAATAAGTTGTTTTCGCTCTGAGCGACTTCGGGGATCCGGTCGCGGGAATCGGTGTAGATCTGGATCTGACTGCCGCTAGGGCCGCTCTCTTCAAAACTGTCCAAGGAGAAGCCTGTGTGTTTCTTTGTTTTCTTGCGACCGGTGCTGGAACTGGGGGGAAAGAGGGAGCGGGCAGTGGTTCCAACGTCTCCAACTGGCTTTTTCCTGGGGGTCTTGGCTGGTGTGGGAAGCATTCCCTCAGTCATCGTCGCTGTGTGTGGGTGAAGCAGACGCTGTGAATGAAGAGAGTCTGAGCTGAAGGGGTCTGTGTCAAGGCCAGAGGGACCGCCCAGTGAATCGGGAATGGTGGAAGAGCCATCACGGGCCAGCCGCTTCTTCCTGGGAGAGGTCTGAGCAGATTTAGGGGGCGACAGAGTCTCTGGTTCAGCATCGCTTTGTTTCTTTCCAGCCTTGAATTTGGATTGCGCGTGGGACGGAAAACTAGGCGGGGGAGTCGTGTTTCTGTCTCGCGATGTCCGTTGGCTTGCTAATCTGGCTGAGTGTCGCGTCGAGTACGGCTCATACTGATCATATCCAGCACCGTGTCGTGGAGTTGGGGGGCATCGCAAGGTTGACGGCGAGGGCGGTGGTGGTGTGGTCGCCATGTTGAGTCGAGTATTGAACCCTTAATTTCAAAGATGCTGAATCCTTCACAATACCCAATATCTTGGATACAAATAAATCACTACTGTCTGACCTGAATCCTTCCAAAGCCTCCAGATCCAGGTGTTGTGGTTCGAGCAATCAGGCGAGCGCCGAGCCAAGGGAGAGCAGGAAACGCGCGTGTGCACCAATCCGACCGAAGGGCGCCTAATCAAGAAACAAAACTGATGAACAGAGTCAATAGATATCAAAGAAAAGTGGAATTCCAATCGAGCAGATAATCAAAGTCAATAAAACCGTTGAATGACAGGGAAGTGGAATGATGGAGATTAATTGAAGATGGGGATAGACGATAGTGGAGGAGAGGAAACACAAATGATGAGTTGGGCGGGCGATGAACAGCGGAATGCATAACCACGCTAAGCCTGCACTATTCACCAGCCACGCCAATAATGCCCGACGCTAAAAGCGAGGGGGCTGCTCCAATTATATAGTAGGAATCAGACCCACCTTGATGTTCCTTTGATTCATCCATCACTGTTCTTATCCACTCACACCACCAGATTCGACTCAATGCTAATTATATTCAACAACTAACTCTTATTGTCTGACACCTAATCCCTCCATCGTCATCAGGCTGATCAGTCCCCACCATTGGGTGATTATTAGCACGTGTCTGGGGTAGTTGTGACATTGTTTGTTTACTCTACTCTATCTCTCTCCATCCCACCAACCCCTCCCCGATAATTGCTATTGCCCCCCACCATGGCGTTTCGCAGTACTGCGGAGGAAATGGAGAGGCTCCAGCTCTCCGATGAAGACACAGAGGACCTCTGGGACTCACCTTCAAAACGTGGAGCCAAGAAACAGAATCGGACTCCCCCGGTCGAAGAAAGCACCACCCCCCCGCCCAAGACCTCCCGCGACTCGGGGACTCTTTTTGACCGTCAAGAAGCGCGCGAGGCCGCGCTCCAGAACGAGTTGCGGAGTGTTCGCCATATCAATGAAGTCATTGAGGGCCTTCTGGGCAGCTTGGATTGCGCCAAGGGTAACATGGATGTATGTCAATGCAGATCCACTCCCAATGGGCAATCAAATGCCAGATGAGCTCAAGTCCTTGCTAATTGTTATTTCGAATTAGACTGTTTCGCGTACCGTCGACTCTGCGTCGACATTACTCAATACATGGACCCGCATTCTATCACAAACCGAACATAATCAACGACTTATCCTCAACCCGAATTGGCAAGGCGCCGTCCAAGATGCAGCCGACATGGAGAGCGAGGAACTGGTTCGGCAGCAGGCCGCCGAAAGACGTGAACGAGAACTCCAACAACAAAGGGAAGCCGTGGCCCGCAGAGCGCAGGAAGAAGAAAGGAGACGGGCGCAAGGGTCGACTGCCCGTGGGACGCGTGGCACTACCCGGGGGAGGGTCCCAAGCACCTTGGGACGAACCCCAAGCGTGTCTTACAAAGCTCCCGGCGCATCAAGAACCACAACGTCGTCGACAACCCGAGGTAGTACGACGACGACACGACGACCTGTCAGTGGTATTGCCCGGGGATCTGGGGTTACGCGTGGTCGGGGCAGAGAGTAGGCGAGTGCGAACTGGACCCAGGTGGAGCTTTTTTACGTGTACAACTTTTACCGTTTGATGATGTTTTATATGAGACCAAATGAAGATCTAAGCATGATACCCAAGCGATGACTTCTACTTACCTTACTTCACTTTATTTTCCACTGCTTTTCCTTGCCAGTATAGCCAGCCATCGTATGATCGTAAACAACATACACGGTTTGGGCGAGTTGTTGACGGGCTGATAGTCAATGCCTGAGGCACCATAAAGACAACGCGATAACCGATAAGGAGCAGCTCACCGTTCCGCCTCCGCCTGCGACTTAAGCCTCCGCGCCAACTCCGCGTCAAATGCTGCATATTCGCTCTTCGTGCCACTTCCACTACGCGCAATGAACTTCGCCCCCTACCAGGACGAGTCGCCCGAGGTCGAGCGGGCGTTCTCGCCAACGCTGCCGGGCGCCAAGTCCCCCCCAACGTCCGCTCGCCTCGCGGATCACCCCCGGTCCCCGGTGTCGCATCGCCGGGCCACTTTGCGCCCCCGGGTCCCATCGCGACCAGCGGACTCGGAAACACGGGATTTGGGAACGACGTGGAGAGTGGGCGATGGAATATGGGGGCTTTTGAGACGAGTCTGCCTATCCGGATGGATTATGAAGCTATGCTGGCATATTTGCTTCTGCCTCCGGCGGGTGGGGTGTTTCTTTTGCTGGTTGAGCATAAGAGTGATTACGTGCGGTGTGTATAACCTTTTCTTTCTGAGGATGGAGGATGGAGATGTTGGAGCCGATTGCGATGTGGGATATTGTGCATCGTGCTAACTTGTAGCAGCTTCCACGCATGGCAGTCGAGTATGCTCTTTACGGCCATCTTTGTAAGTCCCGGCGCACATTCAGTCTGCATCGACCACTGCTAACTACAGCCAGATAATCCACCTGCTTTTCTCATGGTCGAGTTTCTTTTCCTGGCTCTTCTTCTTGTGCGATCTCGTCCTGATCGGCTTTTTGAGCATGCGCGCATACCGTGACGGTAAACCTCCCTAAATAATCAAGACACGTCACATCAGTAGTACTAACCAACTCCAGTTGATACGCTCGAGCACTTCGAGGTCCCGATTTTCGGCCGTCTAGCGAACAATTTTGTCGACGATGAGTAGTCTGAGACACTTCGATTTGAACCGCGTTGGAGATGTTGTCTTTGTGTGATAGCTGTGTACTACCAACAGTCTTTGCAGCCTTATGCTGCTCTTCTGGGTTTATACCTAAGGGATTGATGATACCTTTGTACAGTGATGGCTTTGTGTATGCTTTGGGATATTTCCGTTTTCCCCCTCCCTTGTACCTGACTGGGAGGTCTTCGATTGTCATTTTTATTTCTAAGCCAATGTACCTATGCGCCTGTTTTTGATTTCGGCCTGTGATATACCTTTGAATACTACTTGTGTGAATACATGCATGCTCTCAGTTACTGGGGACTAGTGCAGTAATCTATTATCAGTGATAGTGAATAACACAGGTGGCTATTGTATCAGACAAGCAATGCTCTGCCGATCATGACATAGAAATAGTCCACTTTTCATGACGCTCGGCATTATCCATACCTAGATAACGTATAAACTGATATCTCTATACTACTTGCTTCACTTCACTTATAACAAGCCACTGAGAGCGTGGGACATACTTCTAGCAAAAGACAAAAATGAAATTATTCTCCCCCTGATCCTCTCCATCAACAAGCAGAGCCTAGATACAGGCAACAAGCAACCACCCAGTTCCTCTGCCCTAAAACAGCAACACATTCATCCATCTTTTATTTGCTTTCATCAAATACCTTCCCTATTGTACTATCATCTGCTCCTCCTCCAAGTCTGGTGCCGTCTCGCTTTTCACTCTAAAAGGGAAAGTAATCGAGAAGGAAAACAAGAAAACCACAATGTGTCACATCCAGCGCGTAAGCCAACACCTGCAACCATATCAATGACCACGTCCTGCTAACCTGCAACGACAAAAAGAAAGACCAAAACGAGGCCAGAGCCCAAGCTACTCCAGCCTCAGCTCCAGCCCAGTCTCAGGCTCAGACCCAGCCCTCCACAGCAGCCAACTCATTCCTAGTCCTCACAGAGGAGAACCGCACGCCCCTCAACGACACCACCTCTTGCCCAGTCACACGCGCCAGCACTGACATACACGCTTTTTTCACGCCCGTGAAGATATCTCTGCCCATCAGGACCAAGAAGCCCGTGGGTGGGACGGAGGATCCAACAAAGAGCGAAGGGGGCCTTGCCACGGTGGGATTCGATCCTTGTAAGGGGCCGTATTGCGTGGGGGTGGATGTGCGTGGGCTGGCTTCGCCGGCGGGGTTCAAGTGTGTCGTTGGTGGGTGTGGGCGTGTGGATTGATTGTTCACTGGGTTTTGTTTCTGTGAACTGGATCTGAGGTGTTTTGGTAGGGTGGGGAGGTGATGTTGGTCTTTTTCCTTCACTGTCGCGAAAGGTTGAGGTACTGAGGTTGACTACGAGGCGGTGGGGGGGGGGGGGGGGGTTTGATTATCGTATTACTGGAGACTTCTGGATAGATAGTCTTCGTTGTTGAAGAGAATGATAGCAGGGGAGAAGACTATTTTGTCATTGAACGATTGCTGTAGAGGGAGTACTATCAAGGCAATAGAGCAGAACATAAACGGCAACCATAAGGGGACATTCTTAAAGGGTAATAAGACATGGCTTCATAAACATGGCTTGCAAAATCAAGGATCATGTGCAGCATAATAGATAAACCAATTCAGTCAAAACATCAAAGCAAAACGTAGGGGGTTGTTGAAGAATTAAAGGGGTGAAGTGGTGAGGCAGAACGCATGACTGGCTAGTGTGAAGGGATGTACATATTAAGAAGAAGTTGCAAAGTCAAAGGCATAAGGGGTATCAGCTTCATGGTCACCCCGCGAAGGGGATATATGAACGTAGCCGGTTGTCCATGAGGCGGGTGGGCGTTAAACTTAAATCAAATGATTTGCAAATAGTTGCTCGGCACCAGTCCAGGTCGGCTTCGAGCGGTCGTAATTTCAGCTTCCCACCAGCCGTCGTCCTGGAGTCGGATGACTGACAAAACCTCGCCCTTGGTGAAACCGAGCTCTTCGGGGATGGCCGCAGTATAGTTATACAAGGCTCGAGCTAAAATGACATGTCAGTAAATATATCTCTGTGTGAGACTGGGGAAAATCGGCATTTCTTACCAAAGTGTAAAATGGGACGACCATCCCGACTGAATTGCTGGCCAGGGTCGGCAACAGCCATACTTCTGCTCTTGGACTGGCTTCTCTGGCTTCCACTATCGCCATAGTACGATGCTGGGCGGCCATCCCTTGGTGAGCTATAGCTGTCGTAGCCACTTGCATACGGGTCAGCCGGACCTGAAAGCTGGAGCTCCATGCCACCCGAGCTCGACGGGCGTGTCTGCTGCCTGAACTGTGGTTGAGGTGAAACGGCTCGTGGCATGGCGCTTGAGGATGGTCGGTTCGAGTAACGAGGCGAGTAGGGGGCATCGTTGGGCCGCTGTGGTGGCGTGGAGACGGTCGGGGAATGCTGGCTGTAACGACTTTTCACACTGCTGGATTGATAATGGCTGGGACTGGGGCTGGGGCCTCGACTAGGGCCTCGACTGTGCTGGCTCATGCGAGTGTCCACACGGGGGGCAACTTGGGGGCTGGCACTTCGTCGCGGGGCAGGGGATTTGGCACGAGGAGCCTCTTGGGAGTGCACACTGGTTCTGCTAGCCATACTCGGAGAGTTTCCGGTTCCTCTGAACATATTCTGGGTCTGTCCAGTGTATTTCTGTGTCGTCTTGTGCATCTGCGCCGATGTAAAAGCGGGCTGTGGCGCACCAAGCCGTTTCACTGGCGGTTCGTTGTATGCCGGGGGTGGGGTAGCAATAGATGCATTGGCATTGGTGGTGGCATTGTTAGAGGAGGAGGCGGTGTTGCCATAATTGGACCCAGGACCTGGGGGCGCTGGACTAGCAATTCCGTGGTACCTATCGGCAGATACTCGACTGGCAGACTGCTTTCCGCCCCCTTTCAAGTCAGCAAGGGCACGCGCAATTGGGTCGAGATCGTCTCCTTTTCCGTCCTTCGCCTGCGAGACCTTCTTAGGAGAACTCCCGTCAGGAGAAGCAACGTCAAACACATTATTTCCGACGTTCAGCTGGAAATTTGCTCTTGGATCGACAGGCTCTGGACTACCAGACAAACGATTGTTTGGAGCAATAGATATAGGACGCTGAGCTTGTTTGGGTTGCGGTGCTTTGATCGGACTGGTCTGCTTGGACGACGAGTCCCAGGTGTTGCGAGAGGAAGAACCAGAATTACGGTCCTTGTCATGTCGACTCTTGCGTCGGAAGGGGCTGTTGCTAAAGAACGTGCTCCGTTTCTTCTGGACCTGCGTGTCTTGTGCAGATCCTCGAAGAGCAGCACTATTAGTGGGTTTGGTTGGAGATTGCCTCGCACTGGTAGGCTCTTGGCTAGACACAGATGTAGGGTTAGACACCTCACTCTGCGAGTCTCGACTGGTAGGCCTGTATGCACTGTTCGTGCCCGAGCTGCGCTCAGAGGGAGGTCCCGTTCGGCAGAACATAGTCATTCCATCAGTCGGGTACGCATTGTGGGGCACTGCCGAAATTTCCCCATGCTGATTTGGGTCATAGTTCGGTGGAGGGTGGCCACCTCGGCGTAGGTCCAGCGGTGCAGGTTGCTGCATCGCAGACTGCTGCACCGTAGGCTCTGTCCTCGCAGGATGTTGCCTCACAGGTTGCTGCATTATAGGTTGTTGTCTCGCAGGCTGCTGCATTGTGGGTTGTTGCACTGTAGGTTGCTGCATTGCAGGCTGCTGCATTGGAGCTTGTTGAATTGCAGGCGGTTGCCCAGGGGGCTGTTGCATGGCAGTCGGCTCCCTATCCAGAGTATTCTTCGGCGATTCAGGGTTATTAACCACCGCTGGATCAGGCTGGGGATCATGATGTGATTCGTAGGTCGATGGCTGCGGAGAAGAACTGCGGAAAGCCGGGTTGATCGTACGCTGGAACTGAGCCACGGAGTAGCCGTCCTCCTCGGATGCTTCTGAGCTCGTGTCATTCACATCCCCACGGCAGAAATTGATGAACCTCGGGGGGTCGGGGATGTCCTGTCCGGTTCCCCTTTCCTTGATGAAATACATAATGTCTTTCTCTACCTCACAGTTCTCTAATGAGAGCCGAATTTTCTCGCAGGACTGACGAGTGGTCAGCAACAAGATTATTGTGGTGGCAGATTGGAAACTTACGGCATCATCACTGACGCAGACCGTTGATGCGATGTTGGCATATGTCCAAAGGCTACTCTTAGTGAAGTCAATTCTCTCTTCCTCCAAGTCTTGGAATTTCTGATTTCCGTTAGCATTTGAGGTGCTCGCCAATATACCACCGATAGGCCAGAACTCACGTCGCACGCAGCTTTCCATTCCTTATTCCAACGAGTAGTGGTTTCTTCGAGAATTTTGACAGCGGCCTCGTATTCGTTGCTGCTAGAGGCAAGTTGTATCTGGGTCTTTTCGAGCTTTGCTTTGTTTTTGCGCTCCTCATGGCCCATAACCATATGCCCCTGTGCCAGATAGCCTTTGATTCTCAAACAATCCTGTTCGAATCGATCCCTTGTCTGGATTTTGTGAGAATGGCTTCTCTCCGAGTGAGTATCAATTCGCCTTACCTTATTCACCACCTGGGTCTGCTGCACCTTATTCTTGTGCAGACGCTCGATTCCATTCTGTATGATTTTCCTTCTCTCTTTCGAACCTCCGGCAAATGCAACCAATGGCTCTTCTAGCTCCCTCCTCATTTGCCCAGCAATGGCTGCATGAGCTTTGGCAATGCCCTCCGTCTCGCCACGGACTGTGTCGAATGAAGAACGCAGCGAGCCCGTTTCGTTTGCCCCAAGAGATTTCCGACATAGGGCCATGAGCTTTCGGGCATATTCATCTTCAATGGCAGCTCGGACTATATATCAGTTAGATATGTATGTCAGTGGTAACCACTAGTGTTCATGATAGCGACGCACTGTTGTAGAAAGTCTTCAACTCGTCGCACGAGGACTTCGCACAATGCATCCGCTCCAGCATGGGCAAATAGCCAGCGTCATCTTTACCCCAGAAGTTGTTGGCAACTAAGTTGGCAGAGTTAGTTATTCTGTGCAGCTCATGCAATAAATTTCCGGAGAATAGCACGTACAGGACATGGAGACCGTGGGTCCCTCCGCCACCGTTCCCGGCATTTTGTAGGTTATATGCTGAAGGTTGTTATGAGCTTCGGCCAGCCTTTGCTCATATGATTACGATATAGACTGATGGAAGGAAGAACGAAAGAACAATGAATGCAGTGAGATCTGCTCAAAAATGATT